TAAAATTTTTTTGAATATATTTTTTATATTTTAATATTTTTTTAAATTTTTATTTTTTATTTAATTTCTTTGATTAATTTTTTTCATTTAAATTTTTAATAGATTTTTGAAAATATTTTTTTATAAAAATAATTTTTTAGAATAAAAAATATTTAAGTTATTTTTTTCTTATTTTAAGAAATATATATTTTTATTTTGTTAGATTTAATATTTATTCGTTTAAATTTTTTGAATAAAATTTTTTTGAATATATTTTTTATATTTTAATATTTTTTTAAATTTTTATTTTTTATTTAATTTCTTTGATTAATTTTTTTCATTTAAATTTTTAATAGATTTTTGAAAATATTTTTTTATAAAAATAATTTTTTAGAATAAAAAATATTTAAGTTATTTTTTTCTTATTTTAAGAAATATATATTTTTATTTTGTTAGATTTAATATTTATTCGTTTAAATTTTTTGAATAAAATTTTTTTGAATATATTTTTTATATTTTAATATTTTTTTAAATTTTTATTTTTTATTTAATTTCTTTGATTAATTTTTTTCATTTAAATTTTTAATAGATTTTTGAAAATATTTTTTTATAAAAATAATTTTTTAGAATAAAAAATATTTAAGTTATTTTTTTCTTATTTTAAGAAATATATATTTTTATTTTGTTAGATTTAATATTTATTCGTTTAAATTTTTTGAATAAAATTTTTTTGAATATATTTTTTATATTTTAATATTTTTTTAAATTTTTATTTTTTATTTAATTTCTTTGATTAATTTTTTTCATTTAAATTTTTAATAGATTTTTGAAAATATTTTTTTATAAAAATAATTTTTTAGAATAAAAAATATTTAAGTTATTTTTTTCTTATTTTAAGAAATATATATTTTTATTTTGTTAGATTTAATATTTATTCGTTTAAATTTTTTGAATAAAATTTTTTTGAATATATTTTTTATATTTTAATATTTTTTTAAATTTTTATTTTTTATTTAATTTCTTTGATTAATTTTTTTCATTTAAATTTTTAATAGATTTTTGAAAATATTTTTTTATAAAAATAATTTTTTAGAATAAAAAATATTTAAGTTATTTTTTTCTTATTTTAAGGAATATATATTTTTATTTTGTTAGATTTAATATTTATTCGTTTAAATTTTTTGAATAAAATTTTTTTGAATATATTTTTTATATTTTAATATTTTTTTAAATTTTTATTTTTTATTTAATTTCTTTGATTAATTTTTTTCATTTAAATTTTTAATAGATTTTTGAAAATATTTTTTTATAAAAATAATTTTTTAGAATAAAAAATATTTAAGTTATTTCTTTCTTATTTTAAGAAATATATATTTTTATTTTGTTAGATTTAATATTTATTCGTTTAAATTTTTTGAATAAAATTTTTTGATATATTTTAAGATTTCATCAAATTCAGAGGCACAGAATGAAAATTCATCACATCACGCAGCCCAAGAGAAGGAGGCGCTCGGGAAAGACTGGTTGGAGTGATCAAAACAGCTCTCAAAAGATTAAAAAATAGCACTCACTCAAAAGATTAACTAAAAAACATCTGAGCTCAACTGAATTAACAACACTTTTCTGCTAGATTGAAGCAAGTGTCAATTCACGGCCGCTTACATTTATGTCTGACAAAGAACCCTTACACGCTTTTTGATCAATCCTTCATTTGTCCTTACTCTCAAGTAGAAGATAAGGTAATAGGGGATCAGAATACTATATAAGAGGGGTAGGGAATTTATGATATATGGCTATTCTGATATGGAAATGGGGGATCAGAATATTATCTAAGAGAGGTAGGGAATTTATGATATATGGCTATTCTGATATGGAAATAGGGGATCAGAATATTATCTAAGAGAGGTAGGGAATTTATGATATATGGCTATTCTGATATGGAAATAGGGGATCAGAATATTATCTAAGAGGGGTAGGGAATTTATGATATATGGCTATTCTGATATGGAAATAGGGGATCAGAATATTATCTAAGAGGGGTAGGGAATTTATGATATATGGCTATTCTGATATGGAAATAGGGGATCAGAATATTATCTAAGAGGGGTAGGGAATTTATGATATATGGCTATTCCGATATGGAAATAGGGGATCAGAATATTATCTAAGAGGGGTAGGGAATTTATGATATATGGCTATTCTGATATGGAAATAGGGGATCAGAATATTATCTAAGAGGGGTAGGGAATTATATATCTCTATTCATAATTATGAAACGTTTGGTTGTTAATTTTTTGTGATTAAAAAAGTAAATTTATTTTACTATCATACGTTAAAATAGAAAAATATAATACTCCACTTGTTTGATTTTCTATCTTTCTTCTTTCAAAGTTCTCCTTTAAGATTGGGTTGATCAATTAAATGGTACATGAAGCTAAAAATAAATATTTTTGATTTAAACTATTTTTTAATTCTTTATATATTAGTCAAAATCATATTCCCTATCTTATCTACGAGTCCAGGACATCCAAAGTATCTCCCAGAGTATCGCACTCAAAGTATCGAAAGCCATATGCCGTATTTCCTAAAATAGTACGGCCGGCCGTACTATTTTTCAACCCTCTTCCAAAGGGCCGTACTATTTCAGGGGGCCGTACTAATTTAGGGGGCCGCACTATATTTCAACCCTTTTTCAGAATTATCTGAATCTTTTTTTGTGTAACCGGGCACTTTTCTATCGGGCACTTTTAACCGGGCACTTTTCTATAACCGGGCACTTTTCTATCGTTTATAACTTTTTTTGTTCATATCATTTTTAGATAATTCCAAGTTTATTTTGTAGCCCATTTATTTCTCTATCATATAGTAAAATTAAGGATTTTTTGATTAAGGATTAAAAAAGTTATGTAATTTTAGGTACCTTATCACAATTCCCCCCCCCCCCCCCCCCCCCCCCCCCCCCCCAAAATTTTATTTTCTGTATCTCAGAAAGGAGAAGTCAAACAGGATGATCTCAACAGAATTTAATTAAGATCATTAGCGAACCGGACAAATCTGAAAGATGAAAATTCCAACTCCCATGGATGGCTCTGAGTAGATGTAAATCAGTTTTGGGGGGAATGCGATTTTCTCATTTTGGGAAGGTTACGCGCAATCGAATATCTCTTTAAGCGTTAACCTAAAAAATTTTTTGCTTTATAATTTCTATAGTTAAAAGACTGCTCTAGATGTTTAAAAAAATTTTTGTGCCGGTATCGGTATCATGTGCCGGTATCGGTATCACCGAGCCGGTATCGGTATCATTAACTCAAATCCCAATACCGATTTAGGCTAATCCCGATCCCGAGTTCTCTGAATACCGGTAGCGCTGAACCATAAAATCAGTACTTCCGCGCGAGCATTAGGTTATCTTATCTTAGCCAAGGTTCGGGTCATCTAAAAAATAGGCGCGGAGATGGAATGAATACTAGCATGTTTTGATTTGCCCTTAATTTTTTAGATAGAAGGTTGTCAATCCAACTTCCTAGTACTAAAAACTATTCGTTATTCACTTTGATTCCAACTAATCCTTTTAAATTACTTAAATCACTCCAAGTCCATCAATATCCTTCCAAATCCAACAAAATCTCCATTAATCCACCGATATCCTCTTAAGCACTCCAATTTCTATACCAATAGATATTAAGATTCAATAAATTAGTTAAATATTGCGAGGAATAATTATTATGATTAAAAAATCAAATTTTGTCTATTTTTTATATTTTTTAAATGGGGGCCGTACTATTTCAGGGGGCCATACTAATTTAGGGGGCCGTACTATTTTTCAACCCTCTTCCAAAGGGCCGTACTATTTTAGGGGGCCGTACTAATTTAGCAGGCCGTACTATTTTAGGAAATACGGTGATTAAGTTAATTTTTTGTGATTTTGTGTTAATATCGAGTTAGTGATCGACCGAAAGTATTCAGTTGATCGATTTTGTAATCAGAAGAGATTGATAAACGAGATTGATATCAGATGATCGATCAAGAATCCTTTTCTTGATTAATTGATCAAATGATCACTCTCTCTGTTCAGCTGATCAAATTGATCAAAACAAACTTCCCATTTGTTGTAACAACCTTCCTCTCGTTAGAATCGATACTTTGAATCATTCGATACCTTGGGGCGATACTCTTGAATACTTTGTGTGTCGATACTCTGGGTCAGGGTGTCCCTTTTGCCTTATTTACAGGGCATTTGCCCTATTTTCGACCTTTTCGCCCTATTTTTTCCCTATTTTTGCATTTGCCATATTTTTGCCCTATTTTTACTATCTTGAAAATTTTAAAAATTCTTTGGATTTTGTAAAAAAATGGTAAAAATGAAGGATTATCGACTTCATGGCCTTCCAAAATCCTCAAAATTTTTGCTTGCGGCACAAAAAATGGAAGAAATTTGGCTCTTGAGCTCCTAATTTCAAAAAATTTTCGCCTGCGGCGCTGAAAATTGGAAGAAATTCTTTGATTATGCTGCGAGGATTTTGGGGATTTGGTCGTGAATCGATATCAGGTTTGGATTTATTTGCTTTCTTAAGGGTAATTCAATTAACAGTATTCGGGATTAAAGGGGATATCCCGATAAAATCGATTAGTCACAAGTTGATATTTAATGACAAGGAAATTTTTAATTGAAAAGTGGCAAATTTTGATTAAAAAAATCTCTTGCGTTGCGTTTTTGCGTCGTTTTTGGCCTTGCGTTTCGTCTAACACCGTTGTATCTTGCAACTTCCCTGATCCTGATTAGTTTAATTTAGTTTAAAATAGTGAAAAATATGCATAATAAAGCTTTCATTTTAAAATTTTGAGTATTTTTAAGGGTTTAAAACAATGCCATATTTTTTGCCCTATTTTTGACCAATTTCGCCCTATTTTTGCCATATTTTTGAGTCGCTTCGCCCTATTTTGGTGTTTTGAAAAGGGACACCCTGCTCTGGGTTGATCCCTCATCTACATATTTAAGCTTTTTCATGAAAATTATTTCTTTACCATTCTCTTATTTTGTTAAAATCATGAAGGCAAAATAAATAACGAAAATAATCTGTAGGGACACCATTTGTTGTTTCACAATAAGTCATACAACCACTTTGAACGCCTAAAAATAATAAATTAAATTAAAAAACGTCTATTCATTTCTAAATACCTAATGCACTACAACACCCGCTATGGTCTGCCCGTGTAGAAGCACAATCCCACATTTGGCCAACAGTTGGACCTGTTTTATAAAAGGGGAGAAAAGTTAGAAGAAAAGTTTAAACATGAGATTTGTTTATAAAATTATCAGAATTGGCGGACAAATACATTTTATTTAAAAGTTGTTTTTGTGTTTTTGCTAATGTTGCAAACTTTAATGTTTTACATAAAAAGTAGGTACCCTTTGAAAAACATTTTGAAAACAACGAAAAACAATTTCCGAGAAATCGAAAAAAACAGCAACTAAACATGCTATACTTTACTATATGCCCACCGAGATTGAAACTCGACCGAATTTTTCACCCCAAAAATTAGCGTAGTCCCCTATGGTTTTTAAATCTTTAGAAAGAATATCTCTGCGAGTTTCCGTCTCCGGCAAAAGATTCTTACATATTTGAACTTAGCTCGGCGAGAGGAATCAGCATCAGCTATATACTTCGAATTTCGAGCTCGATGGGCATAACCCCACAAACCGACCCCACAAAACACTTGTTTGCTATTAAACCATTACGCAAACATTTATTTTAATTTTGTGTTTTTTTGTTTACCTCTTCCATTGCAAGTTGACAAAAAGAATAAAACATTATTAGAACTTAAAGCGCTAAAATCGCAAAATCTATTTTTACAATCAGCATCCGCCTCATTTAAAGTTGCACAACACATTTTTAATTTTTCATTGGGGGTGTGACCATTAGGTTGTTTTTGTGGTAAACTTTGAAATTGCGGTTCTGGAGGTTGTAAAAATAAAGGAAATAATTGGTGTTGTCCAAACACTTGTTTTATATTCAAAACAAATAAAAATAAAGAAATAACAGTGAAATATCTTTTAATGTTCATTTTGATGTTTATGTGCAACAGAAAATACCCACTATAAATGTTTAGATAAACACAAAACATTTGTTACAGAATTGGTTTTAAACTTTCCGGAAAACACAAAAACAGAGTATTTAAACAAAACATTCCGGAAACATTTAAAATCAGAATTTTAATAACAATGTTTTGAAGATCAGAAAAACATTCCGAAAACATACATTTTATTTAAGGAATATATATTTCAATATGTTTAGCAAGTTTTAACAGAATTAAAACTTGCTAAACTTAAAAATTTGCTTCCAAACATTGTTTTTTAAATTTTTAAATGCAATATTGTTGTGTGTGTTTTTCCTTTAAACAATGTTTGAAACAATGTTTGAAGAAATGTTTAGTAAATATTAATTTCAGCAATTAACCTAAACAAAATGAAAAAGGACTCGTTTTATTTTAACTAAAACACAAAATAAAAATAAAAGAAGATGAGCAGCTTTTGATTTTATTCGATTTTGTAAAACCTGTTATCTCCTTTATCTTTTATCATTTATTAGTTAATTTTTATATTTTGTAAAAGGAGAGAAAATTTTGAAGGAATTCCTTTGTCCAAAATTTTACAAAGAAAATTCAAATTAAATTTATTTAGTTAAAATTTTAATGTTTCTTTGTTTTCAAATTTTTTAGTTGTTAAAATTGAAAGGGAAAAATAAAGAAAACACAAAATTGGCAGCATTAAAACTTTAATTTTCAAAACAAGTTCAGACAATGAATAGTGTTTTTATAAAAACACAAACATACAAAACAAAAACATTTTTTGTTGAAACAATGTTTGGAAGGAATGTTCGAAAACAAGTTTACAAACAAGTTTTAAAAACTGTTTAAAAACAAACTTAAAAACAATGTTTGGAAATGTTTAAAAATTAAAACATATTAAAACATTGTTTTTAAGATTGTTTTTGGTTTTTAAAACTTGTTTATTAATAAACTTGTTTCCAAACATTGTTTTTAAAATTTTAAATACAACATTGTTGTGCTTAAAAACAACAAAGTTTTTGTTTTCAATGAATTTCCAGATATTCTTTGAAACAATCACGAATTTCATTAAATGATTCAACACAAAATCTTTAAAATTAAAAAAAAATTATTTTTTAATTTTTAAAAATAAATACAGATAATCCAAATAATTTGTAGGTACTCCATCATGCGCTAAATAATTTAATTTAAAGAATTTTCGTAATAAAAAGATAATTTATTTTTATTTATTTTATAATTTATTTTTCTTAATAAAATTTTAAAAAATTTTATTATTCAAAATGTTTATTTCATGCTTTATTTTATTTATTTATATTATTCACGTTTTATTTTATTAATAAGAAAATATCTAACCATGAAAAGGTTCGAACCCGAGACCCCTTTTTAATTGGTTTAGTTGGTCTAATTGGTTTAGGGTTTTTCTCTTACAGTTATCAGAATAAAAAATAAGCTTTTTTTAAACTTGTTTATTCTGATATATTTTTATTCTGATTTGTAAAACTTGGGCCGGTATTGTGGCGGTATACAGGGGGGTGGTGGTGGTGGCAAACATCCAACTGAACATAATCCGAACACAAAATTTTCTTACGACAGTAAATTTTCAGATAATAAAAAATCACCTGCACAATATTCCAAACATTTTCCGCTTACTCCTTTTTCCTTTAAAATTTATTTAATAGAAGAAAGGCAAAATCAGAATTTTTTTTTAAATCAGAATTAGAAAAACCTCCCAGAAAAATCAGAATATTTTATACAAACAAAACTTTCCGGAAAACACAAATATATTCTGATTTTTCTGAAAATATATAAACTTTATTTAAATAAATTCTGAAAATATTCTGATTTTTTAAATATTTATTTTAATATTCTGATATTCTAATAGGAAAAATACAAACTTTACAACATTCTGTGTGGTCAATACGAGAACTCGCACAGTCCCACATATGCCCTACCTTTGAAATTTATTTTTTATAAAATTTAAAAAAATATATACTAAATTTATTTTTTACTTAAAAATTAAAATTAATTTTTAAAAATAAATTAATTAAAAATAATTTTTTTTTCTCTTAAATATTTCTACCGTCTCTCCCCTGTCAGTGCACGTTGACAGATAATTTAATACCTAAAAATCATTTTTTTTTCAAAATTTTTTTTAAATTATAAACATTAGCTTGAGATATTGCTTCAAAATCACAAAATCGTCTAACACATTCTTTATCATCATTTACCAATTTTTGACAACATTTTTTTAATTTTAAATTTGGGTCAGATTGAGAGAATGGGGGGAAAATTAAAAGAAAAATAAAAATAAAAAATAAATTTAATAACATTCAAGTATTTTAATGGAAAAAGGCCTAAAGATTAATAAAAAAAGTTTTTTAATTAGAAAATCCAAAAAAATAGGTTTTACGATAAACATTGGGGTTGTATGTGTGAGTCAGAGGCGGGTCGGAATTCCTATTTTCGACCTTTGACTTTTGAGCCAGTTCCGATTTCCGAAAGTTCCGATTTCCGGCACCTTCTTCAGTTCCTACCCACCTCTGGTGAGAGTTTAAAAGAGAAATATATAAATTAATGAGCACACTTAAACTAAAAATTTTGCTTTATATCCAAAATTATTTTTAAAAAATAAAAATTTATTTAAGAAAAAATTATAAGCACGTTTGCTTATAATTTGACAGAATTTTTGATGTAATGTCGATTTTTTAAAAATTAATTGACTAAAATTTTAAAATTTATCAACAGATTTTCTGTCACAAAATATGACAGAAAATAGATGGGAAATTGGCTTTGTAAGCTTTCTAAAGTAATTTTGCTTATTAACCGCTCAATGACTTACCGATGATTTTTTTAATTTTCTGTTTTTTTTAACTTGGTTATAAGGAAATTTTACCGGGTTTACAATAATTTAGAGTTTAACCATTCAAGTTTAAAAATCCTAAAATTTAACCAAGACACAATAATATTTATTAAATAAAATATTAAAGATTACAAATAAAATGATTTAATAAAATCCAAATAAATGTGACGTTTTCTTATGAAATTAGGGCATTTGGGTAAAAAAGAGAGATTGATTAATCCAAAGACAATCGAAAATGTTTTTGAAGGACATTTAAAAAAAACTTAAAAAAAACAAAATATTTTTTTGACTGAAAGAAGGATAAAAATATTTGGAATAAAATATTTCCAAAAAATCATTGAAAATTTAAATGATTGGAAAGTTTTTGAGATAATTTTTTTTGTAAATTTTGAAGGTAAATTTTAGAAAATTTTAATGTTTTTTAAAATATCAGTTTTTATTGCTGTATTTAATAATTTAATGATTATCTAAGCCGTCTTTAGCTTATATGTTGTTTTTTTATCCAAAAACAAAATTTCTGAAAATTTATATGAAGGCAAAATAGAAACAAAAATGACAGCGTAAAATTGTAAAAGCAGGGCCGTACTGAGAACGTGGTTAGCATAAATTCCGAAAACTTGGTTCAAAAAATAATAAAATTACAAAATTTTAAATTAATACATATTTTCTAGGGTGTTTTCAACCAAATAAAAAAATTTCAGAATTTTTGGGCAATTATGTATTTCTTTAGTTATAAGCAATTTTTTTAAAATTTAAAATTTATCAACACATTTTTTTGTCACAAAATACTTTTAAATAGGTCGTGGGCTTACTTAAAAGATACATATTACTTTAAGGAACCGAGCCAATTCCTTTAGCCAATTTTAATTCATCGGAAAAGTAGCAATATTTCTGTCAAGCGATTTCGTCATTTTAGGGGTATAGTCATTTTTACAAATTTTTAGAATAAACAAAAATATTTTTGTTTTTGAAAGGTCATTCTCGCCATTTGGAAAAAAATAAATTTGTATTATTTCCTTTTTTCTTATTATCAAAATATTTAATAGGTGTGGCCAAGTTTATTTAAAAAATGTAAATATTTATTTAGAAATTTCTACAAAGGGAACCCATAAAAATGCAGTCAGTATCAGATGATCATCCTTACTTTTGGGTTTTCTTTTTTCTCTTCTCAATAAAACTCTTCGCCTTTTTTTCAGTTTCTTTTTTTTCAATAACCCCGCACCCCGCCTTTTTCAAACTTTTCATTTTTTTGTTGGCACTATAAAATCTTGGTTCGTGGTCCATATAAAAAATCCCATTTTTAAAAAATAAGGACATTAAGAGGTTCGATTGATATAAAAGTTATTCGAAAAAAATTGAGAAATAAAAAGTGGCGGCCCAGAAAGACTATAAAAAGCTGAAAGACAACCGTCGATTTATTTATTTAATTTTGGCATAAAATTTAATTATTTGGCGTTCTATTTAATTTTTGCTTTTTAATCCTTTTTGATTTTCTTTCGTTTTCTTTCATTCATTTACCTAAATTGCTAGAAAATTTTTGTAATTTTTGAGGTCCGTGTTTGTTTTTATTTGCCGTATATCAACTCGTATTGATTGTTCTATTTATTACTTAAACCTTTTCAAATTTAAATAAATTAAGGATTGAGTCTCCATTCACATTTTCCTTATTAATTTCATATCCCACTGTTATTTAAAAATTTTTTTAATTTTTAGAAGACTCTTTTACTTAACTTTACTTAAAAATGAACAATTTTCAATTTATACTTTTACTGACCTGTTTTGGACTTTCTCTTTGCAATCATACTGACTCATTTTGCTCCTCTCCTGACTTTGACTTTGATTGTGGGGTTGGCGAACTTCGTAGTCGTTGCATCTCTTCCGTCTGGACTTGTGATTACATTTTTGACTGTTCTACTGGAGCGGTTTGTTTATTTTTTAATTTTTAGATGTTTGTTGGGGGGGGGGGGGGGTTAAATATTAAGGGGAAGCTTGCCAAGTTAATCGATCGACTTCTTGGTTTCACCATTTCCTTCTCTACTTGAATAGGTATTAAAAATGGTATGTATGCACTGGAATGTATACACAGCTTTGTTTTGGTCCGATTTCGGATTTCTTCAGATTTCTGGGTAATCTTCTAGTTTACTGGTCCCTAGAAAATTTAGCCGAATTCGACTTGGTCGAACTCGGGTCGGGGTTCGAAATAAATAAATTGTAACCTTATATTCGAACTCTTACCTACTGGCAATCCTCAAAGATATTGAAAAATGCCACATTGTTTTCTTGGGACCAGTAAACTAAAGATTAATACCTAGACTTATAAGGTGCTTAGCAATTTAGTTTTTTCACGTTTGACACAATAATTGTATACATATTTCAATTTATAGGATGAGGGCTTTCTTTGCAAATATTTACATAAATGCCCACCCGGCTATTTTATGTGTCGCAATGGTGATTGTATCTTGGCATCCAAACGATGTGACTCCATTAATAATTGCATTGACCGGTCCGATGAGCTTGCTTGTTTCGTTTCTACAACGGAGGAGGAGGAGGACAAGGAAGATATTCTTGACCAACGTGCGGAGGCTTTTAATGATCAAAACGATGGCACCACCTCAACATTTTTGCTCTTGGCTCTCTTTCTGCTTGTTGTCTTGGTGGTTCTTCTCATTGTTTGGGTTACTCGACGCTATCCGGATACCAAATCGTTTGTTTTATTTTTTTTTTCAAATTAAATTTGTTTTTTAGTCAACTTGACCTTGCCTTAAAGAATTTCAATCAGCGAGTTCGTGGCACTTCCAGCGAGGCGCATGTGAACATTCTCGTACCGGCAGAGGACAATTACTTTGACAACCCGGTATTTTTTTACAAAATAAAATTGTAAAGGATTTAATTTGGGAACATCCTAATTAAGGATAAACCAAACTTAAAAATCCGTTCTAGTAGGGCCTGTGCTTAGACGCTATTGGTGTTATTCCTTTCTCCGAAGGATGGTCTAAAGTCGGATTTACACTTTCCTTAGTGTTTGACTTTTAGTGGAGGTTAAGACTGATATTTAAATCCTGATCTATAATAGGTTTGGGCATCTTATTATTTCCCGCCTTTATATATTTTCTAACTTATTTTTAAAATTCATAGCTCTCTACGTTGCAACCTCCACTCTCACTCAATATCACCGAAGTTACCATTGGACAATAAGAATTTTTGGAAAATTTTTTTATTTTATACTTAAACAACAGGGGTGTGCTTGTTTCGCCTTTCGTCTTTTCGCCGATTTTCGCCTTTTTTGGACTTTCGTCTTTTGCCTTTCGCTTTTTAAAATCATTTTCGTCTTTCGCTTTTTAAAATCACTTTCGGCACACCTCTGCTAAATAAATACATGTAGACATTTAATTCACTTAAAATTAATTTTTGTAGGCTAATAAAATTTACATATTTTGACTTTTTTAACTGCAAAATAGTTTTGTTCTAATTGTTCAACCAACACATTTTTCTTTTTTTCGAACATTAAGGGCCAAAAGTCTGGCATTGAAATGATTAGGTGAGATCAGATTAGGCGAGAGTGACTAAAATTATAAATGAAAAAAATTTGTTTTCTTTAACTTAAGTCACGCCGGTTGTTTTTTAAATTACCCGATTTTTGAGTTAGGGAAGGCTTTTTCTACAAGTATTTTTCCTCCATTTTCTCGCTTTTTACAGCTAATTTTGTTTTTTGGTTACTATGACTACATCATCTTTAAAGAATTTTTCTTCCATTTTTCTCGCATTTGCTTCTAGAAAAATTCTCTGTTTAATTTTTATTGACAAAAAATGAATGGTTATTTATCATTTTTAAATTAATAAAAAAAATCTTTTAAATTTAAGTAAATACAAGCAGTAAATGGACAAGAGCTTTATGGGAACCTGCAGCAAATATACAAACAAGTAAAGATTTTGTAGTTTTGAGTGACCTGCAAGGAAGAGGCGATTATCAACTAATTCTTGTAGATGAGTCTTCTCTACCGTTCAAATTAAAATTGTTTAAAGGGTTGAAACCAATTGTTGAATCTGCCCTAGCTGAATGCCCAACAGGAATTGTTGGATTTGCTTGTGATTCGGTTTGTTTTAATTTTTTTTTTGAATAAGGGGGTGGTTAATAAATTATTGTTGGGGTAATTGTTATCCGTTTTTTTGAATTAGGGAAGGCTTTTTCTACAAGCATTTTTGTTTAATTTTATTGGGGAGCAGGCCAGTATACCGCGAGCCCAGTATACCGCCGAGCTACAACTCCGTTCAAAATTGTCGAATCCGGGAGGCCCTGGTATGGTTCGATGCGCCTCAACGAGCTGAATCGAACCATACCAGGGCCTCCCGGATTTGACAATTTTGAACGAAGTTATAGCTCGGCGGTATACTGGGCTCGCGGTATAACGGGGTGTACCCTTTTATTGAAGTCATTTCTTTGGCCTGTCATGACTTAATTTTGCCTCGAGGGTAAGACCTCTGTTTAATGTAGACAACTAAAGGTTTTTTAGTGTCTAACAAGGAACCATATTGAACTGTCCGGAAAAATTTTCAATTAAAAATTATACCATCGTGTAGAGCATGGAAAAAAACCTCATACGTATTTTTTCTTTTTTGGCCCTAACCCCCATTTCGGAAAGTGGTTCCTTTTTCCTAAACTAATATAAGTGTTTATATACCTCTAATATATTTTTGGAGAATCAACTCTTTTTTAAAATTAAATTTCAGGGCAATTCAGATTCAACATGTTTAGCTGTTGCTTGTGGTTCTAGCCTTCTCATCTACAGAAATATGAAACCATATTATCGTTATAATGTACCTCAAAGGGATATTTTGACACCTGAAATGGAATTGTGGGGGCTTTTAATTAAATCTCAAATTCAGAAAGGACAGTTATTGGAAGGATTAAAGGTTTTACAATTAAATATTTTTGACTAAGCTTCAGTCAAGCTTTAAATTTCACATGGGCTATTTTCACTTAAAATAGGACACTTAACATTAGAACATCCAATAATTGACACAGATCCGTTATTAATGTAAATTAATTTTTTTGGGATCTTCTTGTAAAAATATACCATAATCGTTTAAACAAGCCCACAGACAAAATAAAAAAAACCTTTCTGACATGAGAAGATTGGATGGAGAATTTTGATAGATTTCTCAACTGTGTTTTAATATTAGGGTTGCCGTTTTCGAGTCGGGCCGACAGTCGAAACATTTTTTTCGGGCTTGTTTCTGTCGGGCCGGTACGAGTTTTTTTCTGACCAAATATCTCAGGCTCGACTCGATATTTCGGTTTGAGTCGGGCCATTTTGTCAACCCTAATTAATATCTCCGACCCTCTCAATTTTTTCTACCCTTTTTTGGAATCCTCCAAATAATTTTTAAAAAAAAATTATTTTTAAGCAACTTCAACAGCAACATTCAATTTCTGAATTAAGCCATCAAAGTCAACGTTTATTAACTTTTGAGGAAGACAATTCAGTTGAAAATATTCAAGAAATTCAAAATTTATTTATTGACTTTGTTTTGAAGAATAATAGTAAAGAAATTAAAGAAAATGAAAATTATGGAAATGTTGAAAATTTGGTTAATCCCATACCTCCACCCTTAACTAATATATTAATTACTTGTATTTGTACAATTCCAAGGAATCAGTCAGTTAATTCTGCTGTGGTTTGATTTTTTAATTTTTTTTTCGAAATTGGTGGGGTAATTGTGTTGTTCTTCTCCTTTCCTTTTTTTGAAATTTATTTTTGGGTTCCCTTTAGAATTTATTTTTGGGTTATCTTTGGGTTCCCTTTATATTCTGACAATGAAGCATATTTTTTTGATTTGATTCCCTACGTTAACCGTGTCAGGGATATTTGTTGATTTATCTGTACAAGGGATGTCACGGGTTGAGAAAAAAGTTGGGTCGAGAAAAAGGCCGGGTATCGGATTTCGAAACCCGTGACATCTCTGGTTTGTACCTATTGTCCTGTTATATGTACATCAATTTAAAAAATTTGAATAGCACTTAAAACGGACCAAATAAGGTACAATTAAACCAATGAATAGTCTCAGGCCTAATTCCCTTAGGCCTTGAACCCAAATAACTTTTCGAATTCCAAAAGTGACTAACCCTCTAAAACTCCAAACATGGAGGACAGACAATTAATTTTTAATTTTTTAAAAAGGATGTTTTAATTTTGGGAACAGAAATGGGTTCAATTTATTTTGTTGATTCACAAGCGTATACTGTTATTAGAAAGGATAATATTGATGCTGTTCCTGTTAAAATTTTGCCAACAGGTTTTTTTGGAAGATATTTTTTAAAAATTCTTTTTAAAAATTCTACAATAATTTTTTTAAGTATTGTTGTTTGTTATTCTGTTGTTTGGTATATGCTGCGAATCTAAAATTATATTTTGTTTTGGAATAGCAGCATTTTATTTTTCCACAGGGATTTTAACCTCACGAATTTTCTTATTTTGTTAGTCTAATTTTAACGTGACCTTGTGTCTTAGTGGTATCGTTTGCGGTTTGACTAGTTTTCGATCAAGGTTCGAATCCTCCGGTGCTTAATGTTTTTTTCTTTTTGTCTCTTATGATTAAAAAAATATTTTTTGCAGGTCATTATGATTTAGAATATCGAATTGTTATTTGTACAAGAGAAAATGATGTTTTTGTTTTACGTAAGAACAATAAAGGGGATTGTCATATAAATTCTTTTTATATTCGAGAACATCCTTTTAATGTTATTTTTTGTTCTAGTCAGGTAAAGAAAATTTTTTTTAGAAAATTTGTAGAAAATGTTTTTGTGACCTTTTCAAAAAATCTGTGAATGAATTAATATAGTGAGAATTTATACTGTAATAGAGATTCAGAAATAAAGTCCGCAAAAATTTTCCGCAAATTTGTGACTGAAGTCGGACGTAATTCTTCAGTTGTATGAATACCCACGAATTAAGTTTAATGTACCCTATGATTTCGGGACCTACGGCCACAGGGTCGTGGATAGTATATTGTCCTATTGGGAATAGAGTTTTTATGTTTTAGAACAAACGTAAACATGCAAGAAATTATTTTTGTTACCACAATCTTGATATGTCCGTCCCGATATGTCTACACTCCCTACATATAATTCAATATACTTTCTTTTAAAATTCGGGTTGGCTATTAGCTGGTGGAATTTACTAAGTAAACCTCTTATTTAGGATACACCTGCATTATAAAATAAAACTTTTTCAACCCCAAGGGTGTATCCAAAAATGAGATTTTTTTGTTTTCAACAGAAAAAAAAATTAAAATTTTATTTTAAATTAAAATTTAAAGTTTGTCTTTGCCACACGTCGTCGCCGACTTATTTTTTACAGTCAAAAATTTCGTCGTCAAAATTCTATGCAATTTGATGAAGATATTGTTGATTTGGAACATTTTTATTATGAACCTAAACAGTTTTTTTTGAGTTATTTTTTTATAAAATTTTTTATTTTGAAAGATATGAAGGGGTTCTTGTTGCTCTGGGGAATGAAATTAATTTGTATATTGACCAATTAAGAGTAGATACAATTAGAATGGATAGACCTATAGAATGGATTAAATTTGGAAGAATGGGAAGGGAGGAAGGTGTTTTGGTTATTTCTACTGAAGGTAATAAATTTGTTAATTTTGATGAAAAGGCACGAATTTTTAATAATATTTGGGGCCGTCAAAGCATTCGTCCCCACGAGGCTTGAGATTTTGAAAAATTTTCTCTGCCTCGCTGGAACGTGTGTAAATGTTAGGTGCCTTCGTCCCGCAACACTAGTAACAAAAATTATCAAAATTTTGGGATCTATTCGAAAAGCTCTAAAAAATCTGTAACCAAAAGTTTATACTTTTAACATATACAAAAAATTTTATGACTATTTTTATAAAGCTTTACTTTTTTATCCCAATACTTACAAAATATGCTTGAAGAAAGGCAAACAAGACTATACTAAATTATTGACAGATAAATACAAGTATATATACTACAAATATCTATTTAAGATAATCAACAAAATTAAGAGCATACATATTAACAGTTTGGGGCATTAATAAACAAAAATTTATTTCCTAAAGATCTAGCCACGGAAATTCTTCTGACGCAATTTTATCCCCTAATGCAGTAAACGCAACAAGACACGTGTAGATGCAGAAGACCAATGAAAGCAACGTCATAATAGTAGCTATCCCAACCCACGTCGGATCACGCTTAACCTTCTGTCCCTTTTCTAAAATTGGAAATATGTCTTAGGAATTTTTTTCTGAAATAGGGCTGTCGATTTTACTAAATTTCTTCGGGCTTTTAATTTTTTTCTTCTTTAATTTCTTCGGATTTTTAAAAATCTTCAGTTTTCAATTCTGTCTGAAACTGACAACCCTTTTCTGGAATATCCCAACTTACGTTCTTCAGGTTCTTCAGGCTCTTTATTAGACTTTCTTTCTGACTTCTTTTTAGGAACCTCTTTTTTCTTCGATTTCTTTTCCTTTTTGGGAGGTTTAGCTTCTTGCTCTTCCTCCTCTTCTTCTTCATCTTCCATTTCATCCTCTGTTGTATCATAACTACGGGAGGCATCTGGCGACTTCTTTTTCTTTCCTAAAAATTAAAAAGAGGATTGGAAGCGTTTTTGACAAAAATACCTTTTTTTGATGTCTTCTTGCTTTTCTCGTGAGCAGTTTTCGTTGGTTTCTTCTCTGCAAAAAAAAACAAAAACATTTTAAAATTTTAGAAAAATTCTCAACTTACTTGATTTAGCCTTTTCGATCAGAGAAGAAGAGAGTTCGCCAATTGGTTCATATCCCTCCTTTTGCGTCTTCTCTGAACGGAGTCGAGAAGGCTCACTTTCTGTTGAAAGTTTATTGTCCGATGTTTGTTGTGGAAGGTTTACAAATGCCGAAGGTTCATCATATAGCGGCGGCTCAGGTCCTCCCTCAATTTCTTTTCTTCCTGAAAGTGATCCTGACATCGTTTTTACACTGCCTTTTGAAGTCCTTCTGAAAGCCCACTAAACGTTTAGATTGCCTGAAAGTATATTGTTATGGTTTTTGATAAAAAGAATACATGTGCCTTTTATACCATTTATGTATACTTCAAGAGAAAAACGAGGAAAACTCTGTATATGTTAAACTAATTGTGGTGGATGATTTCCTACCGAAGGTTCATCATATAGCGGCTCAGGACCTTCTATTTCAATGGAAATTCAAAAGTTCCTAATCATGATTTTCAATTAAGTTCCTGACATCTAGATTTCCAACAACCGACAAATCTAGTAACCGCACTTGGAGGAGAAGGACGAGAGAATGATTTCATACTCTCTTGAGTTTAATTGACATGTTGTCAACACCTCACGATATAAAGAGGGGGACATAAGAGGAGGTGCGCTCTTTGAGCCGATGGGCTGCTCCTATGTAGGTTGCTAGATCTTTCAAAAAAGAGTTACAACAAAGAAAATCAAAACAGAGCTTTATCGAAACGAAATCGAAAGAAAAACCTCGAAAATCTAAATTTCGAAACAGCGTTGGCCATAATTACTTTCATTTATTTTACCCAAAATTTGCCTAATTCAAATTTTTTAAATATTTTTTAGGTGGCGGTCTTTGTGTAAAAATATTTCGTCGTGTAGCCACATTTGATGAGGGAACTAGAATCACTACAAGTGGAATACAACAAAGAAAATCAGCAAATATTAGCTCTATTGAATTACCTAAAAGATCTCGAACATTTGTTGATCAAAGTTTAAGGGAAAGGGAAAATCCAAAATTATTACACCAGGCAAGAGAAAGAGGAAATTTTTGTTTTTAATTTCCCCTGACAGATTTATCAACGAAATTGGTTTATGGTTAAATGGCATTCTGCTAAAACTTTTGCAGCTTTGGAAGGCGGGGGTAGGGCTGGGGAATTGTCAGCAGCAACTGGAGGGTCTGAGCCTTTACAAGTTCAATATGAATTGTTGGGGTTTGGGCCCAATTTTCGACTTCAAATGAAAATTTTTTGTAGCAGGTAGGTTCTTTTGATATTAGAATTAGAGGCCGGACTGGGATGGTTGTACAAGAATTGAGATTGATATATCGAAAAATATCGATATCTATAATAGAGTTGGCAGGGATTGGGATTTCGACAAAAAATCGGGATAGAGATTTTGGAATAATGATCCCGATATATTGGAATAATGATCCCGGATCGGGATTGGACGAACCGGGATCGGGATTTGTTTTTCAGTTTCTGGATCAGCAAAAGTAGGATCGTGATTCAAAAAAAACCGGGAAATCCCACCCGATCCTGACCGGAATCCCGGCCAACTCTAATCTATAACTGAGATTTTTGTTCTAGGTCTTGTCTCGGTCCGGTCTTTAGTTACACTAATTCTAATTAATATTTTGATTAATTTTAAAGGGAAATAGAAAATGTTGAAAGATGGCTAATATTTATATTTAATGAACAAGAATATTCTTTTAGTCATCGGTTTGATTTTTAAAAAATTTTCCAAAAGTCTCTTTTCTTTTGAGAATGATTTTTATTCCTCGATTATTTCCAAATAAACAATTAAAATTTTATTCTGATATTTATTGTCTTCATCCAGACAAGCAACATTTAATTGGGGAAGAAGAAACAGAAATAAGAATTATTTTGATGAGAAAGGACAGAACAAAACCTGTTTGGTCTGCTAATTTTCAAATGCCTGCAAGTGAATTGTTAATTGAGTAGATGATATTTAGATGGAAATAAAAAGTTTAAAAAAATATCTAGAGTTGATTAATATAGGGATTGCTAAGCTAAAAAGCGGCTCAACGACTTTTTCCAAAAATCCGTCTCGAAAAAGATTAAGGGCCGCCCCAGTAAATTTAAGCTCGAAAATTTGCCATTTTACTGTTCCCAAACTTAAAAACGGCAATCCCAAACTTTTTTTTTAATTTCCCGCTTCCATATTTAAACTTTTAAATAAACAATGTAATAATTTTTCAATTTTTTTATTTAAATAAAAATACATATAAAATTGTGTTTATAATAATGTGCTTAATAAAATGATTAATACTTCTTTGCTTCCGATCAGAGGTCGATTGGAAATGACGGAGGTGCCGGAAATTGGAACTGTCGGAAATGGGGGGGGGGTCAGAAGTCGGAAATCGGAAAATGCTCAAATGTCGGAAATCAGCCTAAATTTTCGAAAATCGGAATTCCGATCGACCTCTGCTTCAAATATACTTTTAGCTAAATATTTCTCATAGCCATTATTTAGTATATAACAACAATATCAAAAACATCTTAATTTTGCTTCATTTTCTCATTTCCAACTTTTTTAATCACAGAATTTTTTCTACTACCATTTTTATTTAAAACTTGCTCTTTTTCTTCAATGTTTTCCTCTTCTTCTCTTTCATTTTGTTGTTGTTTTAATCGAAATAATAATTGTTGTTTTTGTTGTTGTTGTATTTGGGCAAATAACATTGTTGAAGCTGCTGCCATTTCTTCTCTACCAAATGGCAAAAATTGTTGTTGTTGGCAATTTGTCTGTTGGTTAAATGTCGTTCCGTTAGTGGTGTTTTGTTGTTGTTGTTGTTGTTGTTGTTGTTGTTGTTGTTGTGTTTCTTCTGTTTTTGTTTTGTTTGGTGTTTTTGTTTGTTTTTGATGTTCTAAAAGTTTGGCTATTAAATGTTGTTGTTGGGATGTTTGGATTGTTTGTTGTTGGTGTGATTGTTGTTCGTTTTTGTTTGATTGGCCTGGGGGTGCTCCCATCCACATAGCAGCAGCGGCAGCTTGAAATTGTGCCTGAACAGCAGCTAGACGTTGAGCGGCTAATGTTGTTGCCAACTCTAAAAGTTGTTCTGAAAAGTTTTTGGCCCATAATTATTTTATGTTCAGCTATTTTTTAAATAAACGTTAGTAAAGGGGTTTGTCGTTCCGTGTCGTATCTGTTCCATTTTCTGTCCCGACACGAGTAAAGGAAATGTACTAGAAGGAATTTATTTACAGTGCTTTGTAGTGATAGGCAAAGTCGTTCCAAACTCTTCATTTCACAGAAACCTGGGTAAGATCCTATCCACTCACCGCTGGCAAAAGGTTTAAATTGAAACATACTATACGACATGTTTCTGTGAGTTGAGTGGAACGGTCCAATTTTCTTGTGTGAAAATGCCTAGGGATATAGCTATCGGTCCTTAACTATCGAAAAATCGTAAGAGGGAGAAGCTTCTATTTTTTGTTTGTTAATTAATTTGTTTACCAGAATTTAAAGTAGCCAATCCCCCATTAGGTAATTGAAAGCCTCTAGATAACAAAATATTTTCCATTTGTTCTAATTGATTAGAATTTAATAAAGAAGAATTATTTTCTCCTTCTTGTTGATTATTTTCTGTTAATTCCAATCTTGGCCTTTTAATTAAATTAATTTTTGTTTCTTTTTTATTTTCCCCTTCATTATTTTCTTCTTTTTCAATTAAATCAGAATTTATTTTTGGTGTTTGGTTATTTGTTGAACATAAAAGGGCTGCTTGAATAAGCATTTGACGTTGAAAACCGGCCATTAAAGCTTCGCGTAATTCGTTTTGAATTGGAAGGTCACTGAAATTATTTTTGGAAAATTTTTAAATTTTTATTTTTTATTTGGATTTTTACTTAGAGAATACTAATTTAGATTATTCGAGGAAAGGAAAGGTGGTTAATTTAAAAATAAAAGAATTTACTTGGGGAAAGATTTAACTCTTAGTTGTTATTTTTTTCTGATTCTGGATCCCTAGCGCTTTGAAATTTTGATTTTACTTTCTTTACTTTTATTTTGAACTAAAAAAGCTCAGATCGGTTTTGAATACGAAAATTTTGCTATTTTTTAGTAAAATTAAACCGTTTTCTATAAAATTTTAAAACCGAGAATTGATAAATTGACAATTTCTTTAAGGTTTCCCTTATTTTTAATAAAGGTATGAAAACGATACGAGTATGAATCTCCCCTCCACTCATTCATATTTCGAAAAATAAATATTTCCCCCTAAACTATTAAATTTTTAAAAATAAATTTATCTTTTAAACATTTATTTTTCAGTATTTTTTAGTGAAATCCGAGATTTTACTTTCCTTATTTTTTCTACAATTTTCCCATTCGCGCAATCATTTGTTTATGTAATATACTTAAATTACTTTTTAATTCTTTATCCTTTTAAAATCCTTTTATTTGGATTAAATAAATTTATAAAATTAAAAAATTCTTTTTTTCCCTCTTACATTTTTTGCCTTTCCTTAAAAAAGGATTTTTGTCCCAACAAAAATCCTCATTCTCCTCTTCCCTCTTTCCACCACCAAAATCCCCCCCCCTTCCCTCACTTCTTTTTCCCTTCAATTTAATCCCAACAAAATCCAATAATCGAGTACAAGCTTTAACTAATAAAAAACCTTTTCCCCTTCCTTTCCTCTATTAAAAACAATATTTTATTTCCTAAAAATTATTTTCACCTCCCCACCCCCTTCCCTCCCTCCCTCCTTCCTTCCCTCCAAAAACATTATTTTTATTATTTAATTCAATTTGCCTTTTCTTTTTAAAAATATTTTTATGCCAATATATTCCCCAAAGCTTGGAATTATATAAATAATTATTGAAGAGAAAAGCATGTTAAATTTATGGTAGAAAAAAAAGAAAAGATTTTTTTTAATTTATGGGCCAGAAAAATATTTTTGTTGTTTTTATTAAAAATTCAAATAAAAATGAGAGAGAGATTAAAACTAAATTTGTGATACCTCAAAAAACTGTTAATTGCCTACTCAAAAAATTTTCAAAAAAATTTTTTAAAAAATATTCTAATAAAAAGCCCGCTCTCCTATAGTGGTTAAAAAATAAAAAGCGTTTATTAGAATAAATTAGTTGGAATCAGAATTTTTTAAAATTTATTTTTCAAAGACAGAAATTCCTAAAAATAATCATTAGTAGATATTTTAATTAATTTAAAAAATTTTTTTGCTAAAAAATAATTTTTTTATTTCTTTCTAAAATATTTACAGTAAGAATAACAATAGAAAAAGAAAGAAAAGGGGGATTTTACTTAATATTAAATATTTATTTGAATATGTCAATCAACTTTCTTTTGGATCATCCAAACAATTGTCAAGAGTTTATTATTTTGAATATTTAATTAAAAATAGTAAATTTACATAATTATAGCAACAGAAAAAGTATTTAGGGGAAAAATAAATTTTGTGAAGCAGAAAAAATTATTATTAAAAAAATTTCTTAAAAAATGGAAGGAATGGAAATTTAAAAAATTATTAAAGTAAATATTGAAATTTATTTTAAAATTTAGTTTTTCCTATTTTTAAATCTATCAACTTATTAAAAAATCTTTTAAAATTACCGTATTTACTCGATTAATTCCCCTCCCTCAAATAATTCCCCCTGCTACGGATGAGTGAAACAATAATCCCCCTCCCCCAAATATTCTACTACACGTTCAATTTTCAAAACTCGAATAATTCCCCTCCCTTGAATAATTCCCCATGGCACGGATGGGTTGAAGAAATAATTCCCCAGAGGAATTAATTGAGTAAATAAAAATTAGAGATAAGGTAAAAATGAGAGAGACACGAAATTTTTGAATTAAAAAATAGTCAAAAGAAAATCTAAATTAATCAAATTTATTATAAATATACTAAAAGGTGTTAACTACTTTCTCTAAAAATTTCAAAATTTTAGGTTGTGTACTCGAAAGATTATGTTCAAAAAGAGAAAAGAATTTTCAAAAAGGACGTCGATTTCGGTTATTCCTTAAATCATAACTTTCAGAATTTTTGACCAAAAATTCTGAAATTTTTAGAATTGTTAAATAACCCTATAGAGGATCTAAATATTTAAATTTTAAGTTAAAATGTAATTTCCCAGTTATTTTATATACGCCCGCGCCGAATTATCCTTCGCGCCGAAACTGTCTTAAATAATTTCCCCTCTTTAATTTTTCCCCTTAAATTTTAAATTTTTAAAAATTCTTTTTTACCCAATTTGTTCATTAATTTGAAGTCTTCTTTGTTGTAAATTAAAAGAAAGATCAACTGGTTGTTGTTGTTTAATATTATCTTCTTTTTCACAATTTTCTCCTCCTTCTTTATTTTTAATTAACGAAAAAGAATGCTTTCTTCCACTTTTATTATTTACTAAACTTGTTGAAGGTTCACTGGAAGAACCCCTTTCTGGTGTTCCTTTTAAAGATTTTTGTTGTTGCCTTTTATTTATTTTATCTGCATAGGCTACTGGACAACCACTTAGAGAACGGTGGGAATTGCGAGACTGGAAAAAAAGGAAAAAATTTTTTGAGAAATTTGAAAGTTTTTTTAAAGATTTTGAGAGATTTTGTGGACCAGAAAAATAACCAATTTTCAAAATTAAATTGTAATTCTTTTTTTCCTTACAAATTCTTTTTCATCCATCTCTCCGACGATTCTCCGATCTCTATTCCGATTTGTTTGAATACCGAAGTTTGAATACCCAATTGAAGCCTATGGCTATTAGAAGCCCCCTCAATGGCCCATTGAAAGTGGGTCTCTATTGGGATTCCTAAGTGTTTAGGTATTTATAAATTCTTTTAAAAATAGGTCCCTTTACAATCTACCCCAATTTTCAATAAAATATTTAATTGAAAATTTAAAAAAATCTTTTTTCTTTAAAAACCTACAGAATTAACATGCCCTCTTCCATCACAACCGGGATATGTGCAACGAAGTTGTTGGTCTGGCTGGAGGGCCAAAACTTGAAAAATAATTTCTTTATATTAAACATTTATTTTTTTATTTTTTATTAAATATTTTACATTAAAAATAATTTTTAGCTATAAAATTATTTTTTTTGAAATTAAAAAGTTTATTAAAGTTTTTATTACCCCAAAAAAGTAACTTTATTACTCTTATTTTACTGAAATTAATATCTAAATCTAATATCTACAAGGTGGCCAACTAACTTTAATAAAAATATCTTAAATAATGGTTAATCTAGTAGTGATGTTCGGGTATCCCGACACCCGACTCGGGAAATTTCCCGAGTTTTTGGCCTCCCGACTCCCGAGGTCATTTCCCGACTCCCGTTTCCCGAGTTTTTTCTTCTCCCGAACATCACTATAATCTAGTATTGGGTGTAGTTAAAGTTTCAAGTCTTTTTTTAATTTGAAAATTTAATTTTTAAAACATCCCCTTTGTGTTTTTTAATTTATCTTTGTTCCCCCAAAAAGTCGGCAAAACTACTTTTTCCTAAAAAAATAAATGACAAAAATGCATGGAAAATTTAATAGGAAGAGAGTAAAAAAAATAAATTTTATACTTAATTTTGCCGCTAAAAACATTTATTTTCCTTTTAAAAATGTGCAAACAATATAAAGCCATTTTTCAAGTAATTAATCTTATTTCCCAGTAAAAACATTCTTTTTTACATAAATGGACATTTAGTAAATATAAAAAGTTAATTTTTGGGTTTTTAAAAAATTACTGTAGATTACTGTAAATATTTTAAATAAATTTTGGAAGAAAATAATTTTATATTTACCCCTTACTGTAATTAAAAAATAAAAGAAAAGCTTGTTAAAAATGTTTTTTTGTTCTGTTAATTCTTACTATTTTCTCTTAATCCTTTTTTAGGGCCTTTAAATAACTAAAAATTTTCTTTTAGAAAAAATTTTTTTAATGGATTTTGAAGATAATTAAAATTATTTAAAATTAAATATTTATGACGAGATGGGTTGTTTATTTTTTGATCTTTAAAATACTCAAAGAGAATAAAAATAAATCTGAAATTTTGAACAGATATATTTTTAGGAATGTTGACTAAACTTCTCTAAAAATTTCAAAATTTTTGGTTAAATTTTTTTGGGAAATTCTAATTAAAAATAAAAACACTTTATCCCAAAATATTTATTTTCAAAAATTTTTTTAAATTGTCAAAATCATGTAAGAAGTAGGTGATTAATTAAAGGGCAGTATTAAATGCTTATAAAATTAAAGAGAAAGGATTTTCTTAAAAATTTTTTGAACAAAAAATTTTTTTTATTTTCTAATCCCTTTTATTTTTGTATTTTCTTTAGCGTTGCCGTTTTCGAACCGGGCCGACGTTCGAGTCTTTTTCGGGCCAAAATTCGATGCCCACCGAACCCAACAACCCTAATTTTCCTAAAAAATATTTTTTTAATATTTTTATTACAAAATATTTTTTTTCTCTCATATTTTCCTCTATTCATTTACAATCTGTTAATCTTTAAAGAATAGAGGAGACATGCGCCCCCAAAATATTTTTTGGAAATATCTAATTATTTAAAGGAATTACTAATTGGTTATTATTATTTAATAAAGAAAAAAAAGAAAAAGGGAAAAATTCCCTTAATTTAAGGGCAAAAGAAGCGCTCTAATATTTCCTTTCTCCTCCAATTTTTTACTGTTACAAACACACACACCTGTTCGTTTTTTACTTATTTTAGTAGCAATATTGAAAAAATAAAAAAATAAAATTAGAGGGAAGAAAAATTAGTTTATTATTTTATTTTTTTGGGGTTTTCTCCAATAGAATCTCTCCGGAAATAATAAAAAAATTAAATTTGAAAAAAAGAAAACATTCGAAATACCCCAAAAGAAGAAAAAGAAGCGCTAATTTTTTTTTAATAATTTTTTTTTCTCGCGGCACAAACAAAAAATTTAAATAATTTTGAGAAGTCTTTAATTAGAAAGCTGTCATATTAGTGAAAATTAAATTGTAATGTTTCTTTGTTTGGTACCGAGGGAGAGAGTTGGAGAGAGAGAAAGTTGATTGTTTGTATCTACCTATCAGGTAGAGTTATTCCCGGGAGGGGGGATGACTCTCTCAAAATTAGTAGTTTACGGATAATTAGAAGAATTTTTAGGGGAGGCAGTGCCACGGGAAGGGGACGGGCAAATTTTCAAAAAAGCTCTCAGATTCCCCGACTTTCGAGGACGGGGAACAACCCTTCTAGTATCAGGGGTGTGCTGAAACAGATTTTAAAAAACGAAACTGGCACACCCCAGGTATTTATAGATAAGTAGCTAAACTTTCCTTGATTTACCCCAACGTCAAAGAAATATTTTACAAAGAAATAAGGTAGAAAAGATTATTGTAGAAAAGAGGGATTACTAAAAGAATATTGTTGTTATTTAAGTAGCGGGTAATTAAAAAGAAATAAAAACAAAGAATACTTTTATGTAAAGGAATGCAACAAATAAAAAAAACACCTGCCTATTTTCTATAAAATAAATGAAAAAAGAAATAATTAGAGTTGTCTTAAATTAGTAGTTTTTGGATAATTAAAAGATATGGAAAAAAGAAAAAATATTTTTGTAGAAAAAAAGGAGAATATTTGGATTTAATTAAATCAGAGAGATTATTTGGGCAGAAATTTTGGGGGGATTTTTTGAATTTAGGATTGAGAGTGTATTTTTAGAAAGTTTTCCTTAAAAAAGTTAACTCGGGCAAATTAAATTTAAATTCTTTTTAAAAAAATTTTAGTAACCGAGGGTCTCAATAACTACATATCTTTCATAACAAAATGTTTTCCCGTTTAATCATTTTTTTAAATAGTTAATTAATTGAAAAATGAAATTCCCTCTATGCCCTTCAAAACACCCCCCCCCCTTCTCCTCAACTCTTCTCTTTTTTAAATAAAGAGGAATGGCATAATTTACAGCTGCATTTGTTATTATGTAAAATTGTGAAAATTGAAAAGAACGTGAATTTAGAGGAAAAAAAATTTTTAAATATGGCAAAAAATAATATTTAATTATTAATTTTTTTCCCTCTTAATTTAAATAAAAAAAATTTCTTTTGTTATTTAAATTTAAAAAAAAAGAATAATTTTTTAATGAATAGAAAAAAAAAGATTAATTTTTGATTTTTATTATTTAAAAGTTGAGAGGAAAATGAGTGGGAAAAAAAATAAAAAAATATTTTTTTGGAAGGCTTTCCAATAATTAAAATATTTTAAAAATTAAGAATGAAAATTTAAAGAAAAAATTATTTTTGAAATTTGTTGGCATTTTTCAAAAGTTTTCCTGTTTTTTAAATTTTAATTAAAAAAATAAAAATTTACGATGTATTGTTTGTTTGTCTGGCCTTCGAGGGCAGCCACTTAATGAACGGTGATGTGTGTAGAGACCTGTTTGATGACCAGAACCGTCACATCCGGGGGTTGGGCAATAAAGTTTGGCATTTTCTGAAGAATTTTTCAGAAAATTTTTTAAAAATTTTTTTGAAAATTTTTTTTTGAAATTTTGAAATTTTTTGAAATTTTTCAGAAATTTTTTCAGAAAATTTTTTCTCATTCAAAAAAACCTTTTCTCCTATTCATTTGCGGCACAGAATTATTCATTCCCTCCAAATTTAAGGCCATAGGAGAAAGAGAGCCATCAGGCCTAGAAAGTGGTGAACAAGCTGCAGAAGAAGAGTAATAAGGTTGTGGACTAGAAGAATCAACAAATAAATTGCCAACAACAAAATTTTGTTGCTTTTCTTCCTTTAAATTTTAAAAATTAAATTTTAAAAGTTTTGAAAATATTTTGGAATTTTAATTATTGTCTTTTGCTCTTTTTCCAAACAATTTTGGAATAGCCTGTGATATGTTTGAGAGTCTAATTGAAATGAAAGTTGAATTTAGAAATGAATTAATTCATTTACCCATTAAAACTTAGAAGTAAATCCTTAACCCATTCTAGTTTTAAAAAAGAAAAGCCGAAAGAGATCAGTGGGAAAGTAAAGGAAGTGTTATCAAATAGAAAGAAAACAAAGTCAAAAACTCTAATCTCTATTACTATCCCATCCTCAAAATCTCAATACTACCCTCCTCCCCCCACAAATCTCTATACTATCCTATCATCAAAAATAATTCAAAGTAGAGGGGTAACCATTTGTGAAAGATTTGGACACAAAGGGGAGGAAGAGGAGTAAAAACTTATTTTTAACAAATTTAAAAATTTTTAAACAAAAATATTCGCACCTCAGAGGGGCAACCATTTAATTGTTTTCCTCCTTCCTTATCTCCACCTTCCCCTCTCTCCCCATCAATTTCCTCATTTTTATTTAACAGTTCTTTTTCTTCATTTTTGTGTTGTTGTTCCTCTTCCCCAATACTTCCACCTGTAGAAGACCCCCCTTCCTCTAAATTAATAAAAGGATCTTTTTCTTCTTCTCCTTCTTTCCAATTATTTTCGATATTTACTGGTTGGAAAAGTAAGGATTCAATACTCGTTAATGGAAGTAAAGATGGGGAAGATGGGTTTGTTGTTGGTGAAGTAATTAAATTAATTGAGGAAGATATATCGTTGTTGGTGATGGTGGGGGTTTCCTTTTTGTTAAAAATTAAATTAGAAAATTTTAAAAGAAATTTCCCATTAAAATAATCAAAACTAAAGAGAATCCTCGTTTTTAGATATACCCCCTTTGAGGCTGAAAAAGCATATACCTTATAATTAAAGGTATTTTAAATAGAGGGTATTACTTAGGCAACTACATCCACCCATACAATGGCTAATCAAATTTTAAAAAAGTATTTACATATCTCAAATAGAAGGGTATACCGTATTTCCTCTAATTGAGCGGCGTCTCTATTTAGACGGCGGTCTCCAATAGAGCGGCTCTCAAAGAGAGGATTGAAAAATAGAGCGGCAGCCGTTTAATTAGAGGAGATACGGCATTTAGTATTGGGCGTATTTAACAAAGAGGCCGTTTCGGCACGAGCTAGTTAACATTTAATTAAGCAGAATGAGATTTCAAATTTTTAAAATTTTTCTCAGATTTCCTTGATACTTTTATCTTACTTCGAAAAACCCCCGCGCCCAAACAATTATCGCGCCGAAATAATCTCTCTTCCTACAATATATTATTCACCTCCTCAATTTGTACCTCTTCTTGTTCACCAACAAATGGGTGTTGTTGTTGAATTGATGACAACATTCTTTCCCCCTCTTCTTCTTCTAAAGGTTCTTCTGCTAATATGGTAAACGTTCCATTCTTTTCTTTATTTTCCGTTTTTTCTGTGATTTCTTTTGGGTTAATTAATATATTGTTGTTATCAGAAGTTGCTGATTTTTCTGTTTCTGTTGTTAACCGAATAATGTTTTTGGCTAGAAAAATAAAATTTGAAAACCTGCGATTTTACAAGTATTTTATTTAATTCTTTATCTCCCCTTCCCAACTATTCAACATTCCCTAGTTATAATCTCTTAGATATCCTCCATTCTGATTAAGGTTGGTGGCGGTTCCTGGGAAATTTTCGGATATCCGGGGGTTTTTTCGGTTCCGGATACCCGGAACCGACAACCTTAATTCTTATGTATTCCCTTCAATTTCTTATCCCCCTTCAGTTTTCCTCCAAACTATCATCCCCTCCTTCATATCACGAAATACCTATCTTAGTTATCCCAACTAAAAGACCCTCTCGATTGATGGGATAACGTAAACAAACGAGAGATATTAAAGAAGATTTTTAATTATTAAATTTAACATTTTTTTCCAACCTTCAGGCTTCCTTCTTCTCTTTTTAGCACTACAATCATTACTAAATCCTTCTAATGAATTTGGGGGAGTGGGGGTATTTGAGGGGGGAATAGATCTTGCTGTAGTCAAAATAATAGGGCAAAGAGAGGGGGAAGTAAAATTGTTTTTATTGTTGGAAGAAGTTGCTGTTTCCATTTTTTAGTCAAAAAATATTTTCTAAAAAAATTTTTTTTAATTTTTAAAATTAATTTTTTAAAAGAAAGTGTCTAAATAAAAAATCACAAGGAATGACTTTGAATGCCAAAAAATGGGAAAGGGAGGGAGGGAAAAAAGAATTGTGGAAGGGAGGGGGAAGGAGAAAGAAGAGAGAGAAGAAAATTTGAGGAGAAAATTTTAAGTTTTAGCTTTAAAGTTTTGCCAATATTTTGAGGGAAATGATTGAGGAGGGAAAAGGGTGAATTAATCAATAATTAATAGATTTTTAAAAGTTATATAAATAAATTTAAATAAATGTAAGAAATAGTGAAGGAATGAGAGGTTAGAGGTTAGAGAAAAAGTCGATGTTTTGTATAATGTTTTGATTTCAAAAACATCTAAAAACATTTGTTTGGTAAATTCTAGAACAAAAAATTTAACCCTGAAACATAGACATAAGATGTTTTTGTCAAACCCATAAAAACATGTTCGTCAGAAAATAAACTTTAAAATAAAGTTGGACCAAACAAGTTTTTAAGTTTTAATTTTTCTGAACAAAAGGAAAAAAGTTGGAAACATGTAAACATGTTTAATAAAACATCAAATCAGAAAAACATTAAATTAAGTTTGTAAAACATGTTTAGCAATCAAAGAAAGAGAAAAGAACAAAACATGTTCAAATCTCTAGTAAAACAATAAATATTAAAACAAGCTAAATTAATAATAGGTAAAGTAAAATGTTCAAGAAAGTGTCTTTAAAGTAAGGAATATTAAAATAAGAGGAAATGAGAGAATAATTGTAAGGGAAGTACCGCCTACTTTTTTTCTATTTTTTCTTTTACTTTTCTTCTTTTAACTATTTTCTACATTTACTTTTTAAATACGCCCAACTTGCCAAGCGGCTGACCAAAAAGTCTTTTATTTAGTAGATATATGTACAGTCTCCCTCTCCTTTCCTCTCTTAAATTTTTTTCTTGTAAAAATAAATTTCCCAAAGCCATCTTTGGGATTCTAAAAAGTAAAAAAAGAAGAAATGAAGCTAGTTAAAAACCTATATGTAATAGTCAACTTGGCCTGACTTGGCCTGAGTAACAAAAAAAAGTAAGAGAGGAAGGGGGGAAGGATGCAGCTGGTTGAGAGAAAAGAAAAAGCTTTTTTAGTTTTCTTCTGTTTGCCATTTCTTTAAAAATTACTTTTAAATGACAACCAATAGGGAAAGGAATACAAGTTAGTAGTTCTCACAAACAAGTTGTACATATACTTACTTTTTTACTTACATATTTGTCCCGCCTATTTTCTACCTAAACATTTATTTTAGTTTTCTTATAAACATATTGTTCACAAACAAGTTTTAATGGAGGAAAAACATGTTCAGAAACAAAAAATAAACTTTAAAATAAACATGTTCAGAAGAAATTAAGAAAACTTTAAGATAAAAATAAAAACAAAACAAGTTCAAACATGCAAACATCAAAACAAACATCAAAACATTAATAAAATTAGATGTTTTTATCAAAGTTTCTAGTTTTTGTTTTTATTATTCCAAGTTTCCAAAATATTGTAAAAGTTGCGAGGAAAAGGATATAATGAGAGAGTAATCCTTCTTAACAAAAGGAAAGAATATATTTCCTTCAAAAAAATTAAATTAAAAAATTTTATATTTGCATAAAGAATAGAAGAATATTAAAAAAAGTATTTCTAAAGAAAAAAAAACTATTTTTAAATTAAATAAAAGACGCTGAAAAGAGCTTATCTCTTCTATTTTTCTATTTATTTTAACCATCTGTGTGCCATTCAAGAAAATCTTTTTTTAAAAATCTTTTAATTGGACTTTTTCCCCAAACTTTAAGTCAAAACCCCCAAGGGATTGCGCAGCCTTTTTATTTTCTTTTTGATTTTGCCTTTTTAAACTTAAAATATTTTTAAAAGACTGGCGACAGGAGAGGGGGAGAAGAGAGAATTGTCAATAAGGAGGGAAGAACATTAATTTTATTTTGTGAGGTTAATATTGTTGAGATTTTGAATTAAAATTTGTTTTTGAATGTTTGAATGATAAAGAGGAAAACACGAACACGCTTTAGACAAAAACATGTTTTTCACAACAAAAACATGTTTTAAATAGGTAAACTTGATAAAATGTTCGTAAACATATTAAAAACAAATAAACATGTTTAGGAAAAATAAACCTTATTTGTTGTTTTTGTAATCCTAGATGTTTTATCTATATTTATAAGTTTTTGGGTCTAGTTTTTATTTTTGTTGTTCTTATTTTGTAATGTTTCTGAACATGTTTTAATTACTTTTTATTACCAATATAATAAATATTTTTAAAAATTAAAAAAATATTTAAAATACAAATTTAAAAATTAATTTTAAATCAGGACAGAAAAAATAAAAAAAAAGTTGATGGACGCCAAATAAAAAAAAAGTGAGTGTTGAACGAAGGCATGGATTTTGTAAATAATAAAAGGGGGGATATATATTCTTTGCTTTAAAAAAGGGAAGGGCAGATGCGCGTACAATGGCAGATGGCCAGAGTTTGGAAAAGTAGAAGAAGAAGAAGAGAGGGAGATCTTCCTCAAAAAGGGGGCGGAAAAATATAAGAAGAAAAAAATTTTTGATGAGTTTTTGGGGGGATTGCGGGGAGGAGGGAAGGAGGGGGAGGGGGGGGAAGGAGGGGGAAATTATTTTTAAATAATAATAAAAGTTTTTTCGGCAAATGACCGTCAGAGATTTTACTCAATCTTTTCTTTCCTAAATATATCCATATATAAGTTATATATGCCACTGTTTTTGAATTTTATACTTGCCAAACATCTGTCCCGCGCAACAAAAAATTTTTTTAGAAAAAAGGAAAAGATTTTTTGTAAATTTTAAACAAAAAATAAAAGTTTGTAGGGGGGAAATATTTTTTGAAAATTTAATTTTTAAATTTTAATAAATCTTTTTAAGTTTCCAAATTGTAAATTGTCTTTTAAAGGTATAGAAATTATAGAGAAATTATTTAAAAAATAAATTTGTGAATTGAACAAATTGTTAATTATTAACAAGAGGAGAGGGGAAGCTACTTCCTAAATTCCGAAGAAACAAAAGAATATTAATTTAAATAATTGACATGGAGGGAGAAATCCTTTAAAGAAAATCCAGGCCTTTTAAAAAATAAATTTTTTCTCTTCTCCCGAATAGTTAGAACAATCAGAGATGTTGGGAACAGAACTAGTCCAATTTCAGAACTCGAAAAACTTAAAAATATTTTTGGAAGAGGGTCGGAACATGGTAGAATAATAAGTATTTTTCCGTTATAAGATCAACTCTGATCGGCCATAACTTTTTAATGCTTGATCACATACAAATAAATTTTATATCATTCGAAAGACCTCGATAAGCGGTATCTTTTTTCCAAATAATAGATAAGATAATCACTCCTTAAAAAGTTATATCCCGAAAAATTTGAAAAACATCAAATAACATCGGTCTTCCACAAAAGTAATTTTATAATTTAAACAATTTTAAAAAATTTAAAGAAAGGCCTAATCATTTCCTTTAAAAAAATTCCTTATTTCCTTCACATATTTAGTCATTCAAAAAATCAGAGAACATTCAACAACAAATATACAGTAATATAACAAATAAATATGTAAAAAGGGGGGAATGTGGTTGAGATGATTGACGATTTAGCGCCTCAAAAAGGCATAAATAATTTGCCGGGAAAAAAGAAAAAAATTATTTTTTAAGAAAATAAAGGAAAAGAAATTGCCGGCTGGCAGAATTAAAAAAAGGCCAAAAGCCTTTTTTTGTTAAAAAAATTATTCGCGCGTCTCCCTTCCCTTCCCCCTCCCAACTCTACCAAAATAATAATAATAAAAATGTTGGGAGAAAACCTTTAAAAAGAAGGCTTTTCTTTTCTTTTTCTACACGCATTCTGCCTCAATTTTAATTTTTTTTCTAAAAAATATATAAATTCCAATTTTAGAGAAGCTATTTATATTGAAAAAATGAGGAAAATGCTCGTTTTGAATAATTAAAAATTGGACAAAAATTCTGAGAAAATGGGTAAAATTGATTTAGAATATTTAGAGACAATAATAAATATAAGAGAGAAAGGTAGAGAAAAAGAATAAGGAAATGATTAAGTTGTCAAGTTATAAAAACATGTTTAGAAACATAAACATCTCACAAACATGTTTATTAAAAAATTAAACTTAAAAACACGCTCGGATAAACAGTAAAATAAACTTGAAACCCAACAAGCTTAAAAACAAGCTTAAAAGAGAGCTAGTATACTGTACCTAAAATAAGAGAAAGTGAGAGAAAGAAAAGCAACTTTAAAATAAAATAAACTTGTTTCTAAAACATTTATAAAAACAAGAAACTTGTTTTTGACCATTTATACTAGAATGGAAAAATGCTGAATTTAACATTTTAAAACAAAAAAAGCTATGAGGACACAATTTACGCCTTTTATATTTTCTCGTCGTTTTTAGTAAATGGATCGAATTTCGTTTTATTCAGTGAAATTTATATAGAGGTGGACATTTAAAGGAAGGAAGGGAGAAAAGTGCCAAAAATGTTTTTATTTGTTTATGAAAAAATAAAACAAAACTTTGTATTGACTCTTAAATATTTTCAAAAAAAATTTAATTTTTTTTGGAAATACCTAATAGAAAATGGAATTTAATGCCGTGGAATTATAGTGCCAAAAGATAAACTTGGAATAAAATCGGTTACTTCATAAATTTCAAAGAAACGTAGAATGAATATTATAATAAAATCAAAACAAACATGTTTTTAAAAGAAACTTGGAAATAAACATGTTTTAAAACATGCTTAATATGTTTACTAAACAAGTTTAAATTTAAATAAACATTAAAATAAACTTGGAATAAAACTTGTTGAGAAACAAGTTTAATAAATGTTCTTAATAACCTTATAAACCTTAAAACTTAAAAAATTAAACTTGTTTTATATTAATGTTTTTAAACAATTACAACAAAAATATTTTAAATGTTGGAGAAAGCTTTTATTTAAACCTCGTTTCCAAAACATTTGTTTTGAATCAAGTTTGATTTGTACATTTATATATTTATAACTGTAAAATATATTTGTATTGTTTTATTAAATATTTTTAGTAAAAAATAAAAAGGACAATTGCGCAAACAAAGCGGGAAATTTTGGAAAAGAAAAATAATTATTTTGACGGCCGGCAAAAATATTTTAAAGGAAAAATATAGGTAAGTAAGAGATATTTATTTGTATTTTTAAAAGAAAAGTCTCTCCCTCCTCCCTCCCTCTTTCTCAATTGTTTTTGTTTTTATTAAATAATCGGCCAGCTATTGTTTAATTGTACAAAATTTCTATAAAAAAATTTCAGACTGTAAATAATTAAATATATATTTTGGAGAGGATTTATAAATATTTTTTATTATTATTGTTTTTTTCTCAAATAAATTATTTTACAGTAAATTATTTTTGGAAACAAATATATTAGTAATAAATTAAGTAATTTTTGGTAGGCTTGAAAATAAGTTAAGCTGGGCTGGGATTTGACAATCTTATTATAAAGAACAATAGCGAGATTGAGTTAACTAGTTTTATTTTCTCGGTTAGTTTTTCAATTCCCTTTTTATACCGTTCATTTTTTTGGGGAAAAAGTACCAGGTTCTTATACCTGTTTTTTGCATACCTTCCCAGAAGAATTAATTAAAATTAATCGAACCTTTGATTGCCCAGGTCTAAGAAAAATTAGAAATGTAAAGAGGATCGTAAGAGATCCTAAAATTCTGCTTGCAATTTAATATTGTAAAAGAGGGATCATTCTGAAATCACAGGATGCCACGCTCAAGTAACGGAAGTTCTCAAAGCCTTACTATAGGCTTACTACAGAGCCTTAATTTTCCCTTAAAATAGCAGTTTTTTGTTGAAAATAATATTTATATATGTTTGGAAAAGTATATATAATGAATGAGGATGATTGGGATTGGAATTAGTTTTTAGTTGTAGTAAATGAAGAATAATGAAGAAACCCTTTTAAAGTAACTTGGTTGAATCATCAAAAAAGCATTGACTAAAAAATATTTTTTATATACTCACTACTGGTTGGTTGTTGATTTTTAAATGGCAACAATCTTTTTAAATAAATGAGAGTGTCAATAAAGCTACTGTTTAACCTTTTTTATTTAGAGTTTGGTAGAGTTTAGTTAGTTAATGTTGAAACGGGAGAGAGGAGTTTAAAAATTAAAATAACTAATAGAGGGGGAAAATAATTGTTTTTTAACTATTTTTTAAAAAAAGTTTTTGAAATTTGATGTAGCTAATGTAAAGCATATAGTAGCTATTTAATTCCTAAGGCTGTGCAGTAGGGGTACACCCCAACCTACCGCGGGGCCAACCTACCGCCGAGCTATAACTTCGTTAAGAATTGTCGAATCTGGGACCCCCTGGTATGGTTCGATGCGCCTCGACGAGCTGAATCGAACCATGCCAGAGCGTCCCGGATTCAACAATTCTGAACGAAGTTACAGCTCGGCGGTAGGTTGGGCTCGCGGTACGTTGGCCTGCTCCCGTGCAGTAGGCGGCGTGGTGTAATGGCTAACACATAAGTCCGGTCTACTGAAGATGCTGGTTCGCTTCCAGCGAGCCGAGTAACCCTTTGCACTAGCTAAAGGAGAGAAATAGCTATGTATAGCCGAGCTGCTTTACTCTAGATTTCCATTCAATAAATATATCCAACTTGATCTACTTTATGTAAGCATATCTCGTTAACTTCAATGTTTTTTGTTGAAAACGCTAAAAACATGTCGAATTTTTTGATTTTTTCTTAGCCCTATGTTAAGAAAAAAAAGATAATTTTTGAGTTAAATAAAACAAAATTTAAATAAAAAATTTTTAAATAAAAGAGGAAGTTGTTAACAGAGTTTTAAATAAACAAATACTTGCGCAGTACAATTTATCCCTAATTCTTTAATAAATTTATTTTTTCTTTCAAAAACTATTTTTATTTAAAAAAATTTTTTTCCTCTTAATTAAGCAGGTATTCAATAATTTTATTTCCAACTTAAAATTTAAAAACTTTATTCAAAAAAAATATTTTTACAAACAAAAATTTTAAGAATTATTTTTTAGTTAAAAAAGTATAACCGAACAAGCAGACTAAAAATTTATTTTTAAAAATATTTTTGTAAAATAAAAAAATAACTAAAGTATGGAGCTGGATTAAGGTTTATGAATAGAGTAGAAGAGCCTAACTGAAAAATCCTTTTACCTTTGCTTAAGAAAATCCCCGAGATTCTTGAAACAGGCACTTGGAAGCAGGCCAATTACCGCGAGCCCAACCTACTGCCGATGCAACTTGACGAGCTGAATCCAACCTTACTAAGTCGTCCAAGATACGACAATTTTGAACAAAGTTATAGCCTCGGCGGTAAGGGGTTTACCCCAGGCACTCTTCCTAAGTTTTCCATTGATTTCAAGCCAAGGAATCAATGTATCAGTAAACCACCAAATCTCAAAATCCAGACTCATTATCAATTAATAAAAACAACTCTTTATTAATTTTTAAATTTAAGAAAATCTCTAATTCATTTTACTAAACAAATTAAGTCAAGAAAATAAAGGTGAAGAAAAGATGTCTGGTTGGGCGAAAAATAAAAATTTAATTTTAAGGACCAAAATTACAATTATGTAAAATATATTTGAAGAGAAAAGAGACCGGAAATTTTAGTTATTGAATTTTGAAATTTAAATATTTATTGTTGACTCTGGGATATGTCAGCTCTCTTAAAGTTAAAATTGTTAAGATTCATTCCAAAAATAGTATCAACACAAGAAAATGATTATTCGGTTTTTAAGGTAACCAGAGTCAACTACAAATTAACAAAAAATAATAGTCCAAAATTTTCCCCCAAACTAAGGATGAAGACAGTAGATTATCCAAGCATTTACCCTCCTATAAAATCAACTAAATTCCAAAAATATTGCGATCTCTAATAGAAAATAAAAAGAATAAAGTTTAGAAAAAAAAGAGAAATGTCAAATAAGAAAATTGGTCTGTTGACAAATAAAAATTGTTAAATAATTAAAAATTTTTTGAAATAATTTCAATGTTTCTTTGTCAATTTCCAATTTTCAAAAAAATATTCTAAACAAATAAATTTAAAAATAAAATATATGTATATTTATGGTCAATTTGAATTTTACTTTCTTCCTTTATATTTTTTATTAATTAATTATTTACTTCAAACAAAAATAATTATCTCTCTCTTAAAATGGATTGGTAGATGGATAAGTCACCGGCGCTGAATTTAAAAAAAGTTATTAGGTAAATTAAATAAAAAAGTTGAAGGGAGTTCCCCCTAGAACAAAATAATCATTGGATTTAATTTAGGAGAAATAAAGCGATTGTAGAGAATTTAAATGATTTTACAATTATGGATTTTAATATTTTTTACGAGAAAAAAATATTTGAATTTGTAAATTTTCGAAATTGGAAATTTTAAAGGCAATTAAAATTTAAAAAATTCCCTCGTCAGTTATCTTCCGGTTTTCGTAAGGATTATATAAACCAATACTCAAAAGTAGGGACGTCGATTCGGAACCTAACTGAAAAAATTGAGGATTGGTTCTGTTCCGGAGATTTGCAAAGAACCTACAAGCCTATCCAAAAATACATATACTTGTGTGACTTGTTCCTATAAACCAGGGATCAAACCGACAAGATCCCGTGCCCTACACCGTCGTGTACAATATAAGTTCAAGTTCGATTGTATTATTTTTAAATTCAATTAAAAACTAACCCCCAAAAGGATTGCTGCTATTATTTGCTTGTGTAAAGGATGGAGCAAACCCAGAAGTTGTTGTTGTAGAAGGAATTCCAAAATTTCCAACTAAATGAGAAAGTGTTTCTGCCTCAGTTTTTTGTATTCCATTATTTATTGGTGGTTGTTGGGGTGGTAATGGTGGACGTTGAGGTGGTTGTTGTTGAGGAATTGAAGAAGGTTGTTCAGTTGTAGTATAACCAGCAGTAGTTGAATTGATACCTAAAAACAAATTTATAGAATTATTGAAAAAGGGGTAGCAAGAAAAAAATTTTTTTTAGAAAATTAAAATTTATTTAAAAAAAATTTCTTTCGTCATTTCCACAAAAAAATTAAATTTCAAACCCAACACTTGAAATTAAAAAAAAATTTTTTTTACCAAATTGTGGATACATTCCTCCCCCACCCATTTGTTGCATTTGAGGAGTCCAATAAGGTGTAGTAGAAGTCATATTATTAATATTTTGTTGTTGTTGTCCAGGATATATTTGACCACCAAAAGGATTTGGGGCCATCATTGGAGGAACTAATGGGGGTTGAGGAGGGTAATTCAAAAATGGATTGTCTAAAGGAGGAGGTGCACCTCCATTAAATGGTGTTGAATGAACTGAAAGTAAAAAAATATTTTAAATATTTTTAAAAATTTTCTATTTTTTAGCCTAAAAATAAATTATTTACCCCCCATTTTCCCTCAAAATAATTTTCAAAAAACCCCCAAATTTACAAAATATATATTTTAATATTTAAATAAAATTTTAATTTCTCTTTTGTCTATTAATTTTATTAGTAAACAAATAAATAATTTTTTTCCCGATTAAACGCAAATAATGAAGACGAGAGCATTATTAAAAATAAAAATGTCTCGAAAAAGAGTCTTCCCGAATGAATTAAAAGAGGTAATTTAGAATTTTCTCATGTATTCCCCATTAGCTCAGTCGGTTAGAGCGCTGTACTTATAAGCAATATGACATGCAGATGTCGCCGGTTCGAGTCCGGCATGGGGAAGCAAATTTTTTTGACAAATATTTTTAATTTTTAAAAGAAAAAATTGAAAGGTAGCCCTCCCAAAAAATTTTAAAATTTATTCTTAACCTAAATTTTGATAAATTAAAGAAAAACCTGGTTGAGTTCGATTATTTAATTCAGCCACCATAGCAAAAGGATTGGTAGAATCCAAATCTTGTTGTCTACTAGATAAAATCCCTCCTCCTCCATCACCTCCTTTTGGTGGAGTATCAAACATAAGAAGATCAGAAGCAATTGGAAATTGTTGCTGTAAAGGAGTTGAAGAAAATCCTCCACCAAAAGGATTGTTTGTGTCAATTAATGGTCCAGACGATGTTGGGACTTTAAAAAATAAAAATATTTTCGTACTAGAAAATATATTAGACAAAATATAGGGTTATTTTTTAGTTTATTTATTTTTTAATCAAATTTAGAAAATTTAATAACAACCCAAATTAGTCAAAAAATCACAAAAATATTTTTTAGTCAGAGAGAACAACCGGTAGTGCAATTCCCTTAACTTTCAAAAATGTAAATTCACCCAATTTCAATTTTTTTCGACGAAAACCCAAAATACAATAAATCCCCAAAAAATTTTAAAATAAAAACCTCCTTGTTGTTGAAGTTGAATACGTCTTTGTTCTTCATATTGACGTAAACGCTCTTTTTCTTCGTCCAAATAACGCTGTTTAACAGATTCGTCTACACTATAATCTTGATAGGATGGATATTGGGATTGATTTGAATAAATTTGTTGGGCAGAACAAATTTGTTGAGAAACAATCTTTTAAAAATAATTATTATTTAATTGATAACGGAAAGAAGTATGAAACTTCTATCCGAAAATAAGTATAAAATGAAAGCGGACTTTTTAAGCTTTAAAATGATATATAAATTAAGAGAAAAATATTAGAGTTTAATATTTTATCCGCGATTGAAAAAATGTGTCACTAATTATGTCCCCACCGAATAGTATAACTGGGATTCTTGACGTTTAGAAAAATAATTGAAAAAGTAGTAGAAGTTTTTTTAAGAAATATATCCAAAATGAAAATAAAAAAGATGAAATGTGTTCGAAGGGTGAACTTACAAAAAATCTCTATTTTTATTTATACAAAACTCTGACAATTTGCTGTATTGATAAAATACAGATTTTCTCGTAACTTCTAAAATCTTATGCCTTCAAAAATTTTTCGGCTCTATCTGAAATGAGGTGCGTAATCATATTTTTTCTCCTTCTTTTCACGAGGTAAAAAGGGTCATTTTTTCCTTAGTATTTAATTTGTGTTGTTTTGCCTTAAAGAAAAATAATGCAGGAGGACTAACTTTTTACATTTTCTTTTCTGTGCCCGTGTTGTCTGTCCGTGTTCGTCCTTGTTTGGTACGTGTATATGTCAGTCTTCGTCCGTGTTTTGTCTGTCCGTTTCGCCCGAGTTTTTCTGTCCGTGTTCTGTCTGTCCTTGCTCGTCCGAATTTTGTCTGTACATACACGTACCAAACAAGGACGAACTCGGACGAACACGGACAGACAACACGGGCAGAAAAGAAAATGTAAAAAGTTAGTCCTCCTGCATTATTTTTCCTTAAGGAAAAATCAACACAAATTAAATACTAAGGAAAAAATGACCCTTTTTACCTTGTGAAAAGAAGGAGAAAAAATATGATTACGCACCTCATTTCAGATAGGGCCAATTTTTCTCTCTATGATTTTTAATTTGTCGTATACTTTTTGATAGATGTTACCGACTTTTTCGAAATTTAAAAAAAAATTAAAAAAAACTTGTTGCGCCGAAGATTGAGATAAAGTTGGCTGTTGAGCTCCACGTCCACCTCCCAAATGAAATAAATGAGCTTCTAATGCTTCTAACAAAGAAGCTGGAGCCCGAGTCAAATCAGGAACTTCACCCCGTTCAATCCCTGCAGATTCAGCAATTGTAAGGAATGCTTGGACTTTGTCTAGACGATTCTAAAAAAATATAAAAAATATTAATTAAAAAGGATTTAACGTCTCTAAGAGGTCAAACATCTCAAAATCCATCAAAAATGTTAAAAAATTATTAAAAAATAACCAAAAAAGCCTTATACAAATCCAGCGCTTCTTTACATTGTTTTTTATTCATATCAAAATATTTCTCCAATAAATTAATTATTCCATCATTATAACAAGCAAATAAACGAATCAAGTCTCGAAACAGTAGAATAAAAGAGCAATTGATTACGCTATTATTTAATTCTGAACTGGTCACCTTAAAAATAAAAAATTTTTGAATGATAGATTGAAAGTTAAATAAATTAAATAAAGACGACAAAGGTTCTAAACCGAAAAAGTTCCAAACCCGATAATCCGCTATTGTACAGAATTGCCGGGGAAAGTCCAAGACCCCGGTAAACATGGGAATAAACTTGGGAATCCCTAGAAAAAATAAGAATTGCTCTTTAGATATTTATGAGGGTTTTGAGATTTTTTCTAGGGGCCAGTAAACCGAGATTCCCACAACTTTCGTTCAAGGATTCCAAAATTTTTCGGATCCAAAAAAAGACTGTCTTATTGAAAATTTTAGAAGCTGTCCATAAAAGAATACCAGTAAAGGGTTAAAAATTTAAAAAAATAAAAGAAACTTGAAATTCCAAAAGAGCATCTATTTGTGACTGCAAAATAGGCATAGTTTTAAGTAACTTGTCAGTATATAAAGTCCTCAAAAGTCCATCATCTCTTCCCCGTTTTACTTTACAAAAGTCAAAAGCACAGAGGCGATAAGTATGGATTTTCTCAGAAATATATTTTCCATAACGGCGAACATGTGTTGCCATATCATAACCTAAAAATTTATAGAGATTAGTTTTACTAATTAAATTAAAAAATTCTAAATAAATTTGCTGAAAAGAGGTAAGTCGGAATATTAAAGTAACTAAGCGGGGTGAGCGCATTGCGTTTTTTGAGATTGTCTATTGCACTCATCCCTGGTAACCAAAATTCATTCAAAAATTTAATTTTTTTTCAAAAAATTTTGAATAGAAAATATATACTTAAAACTAAAAATCATTAAATTTTTAGTTTTAATGTAAAACTTCTAAAAGGAAAAGTCACAACCTGTGATAAAAGAATAAGGGAATAAATAGTGTAAAATATGTGAGGAGATGACTGAAAATAGTCTTAAAGAAAGAAAGTCTTAACCCCAATACATTTTTGGGGGAGGACCGCCGAAAAAACAATGTTGGCAGTAAACTATCGACTATTCTCTACTAAATAGAAGAAAAAATTTGCCAAAATTTTTATTCAAAGTTCGTGACTATCACTTATTTAAACAATTATTAAAATTCAACCTGCAGCTATAGCATCACTTCCCAAAGAGGATTTGTCCATAAAATTGGTCAAATTAAATGTTGTATTACAAGAAGCCAAATATTGAGAAAAACGCTTTAAAAATTAAAAAAAAAATTATTTAAAAAATTCCAAAAAACCTCATTTCCATAACACATTAAATTTTGGATTGTAATTAAAGCCTTTAAAAATAAATTTTAAATTTAAAAAAAAATTAAAAGAAAACTTTATAAACAACAATCCAATTTGGATTTTGAGTCCTCTCAATTAATAAATTGGCCATTGATGGAATAGAAACGTTAGGTTCATTAGTGCAATGAAGTAAGTCTTTAAAAATTGAAAATTTTTCGTTTGTTAATTTTAGATTTGCGGACAAATACGGATAAATAAATGGGTGAATCACCTATTAATTTTGACTTAATTTTAAAGCTAAACAAAATTTAAATGATAAATGTCTATTTTATGAATTAAAAATTTTTTTTAATTAAATTAATTTCGTAGTGATTTAAAAATACTCATGACCATTGGGCACGCTCTCAAAAATCCCACAAAATTATTATAAAAATTTGTCCGCAAAAGTTGTCCGCAAAAATTTAAAAAATTATTAAAAAAAACAAACAGTCCAAATGTTTCTTTTTTGGTGCCATCAATTCTTCCGTAGTAGCTTTACAAATAGTTTTGCCTAATTGAGAACCAGCCAAAGAATGTTTGGCAGCATTAAATCTGTCAGTAATTGTTTGTCCGCCAGAAGTAAAAGGCATTTGGGCATGCGCAATTTTCTCGAGAGTTTGCATTTTTTAGATATTTAAAATAGAAGAGAAAATCACAAAAAATAAAGAATAGTAAGTCGACTAGTTAAATCACTGAAAATTTTAATTTGAAAAAAAATTTTTCTAAAAATTTTTAGAAGGCCAAAGGCTTCCAGGCAGCCAACCCAAAAGATCACCAGGACATTAGAGTCTGGGCTTCGCAAAAATTAAATTTTTCCTTTTAATTGGTTTTACCGAGAAACAACGCAGACCTAGAAAACGTTGGAATAAGAAAAAATAAAAACTTGCGAAACAACAGAAAAATGAATAGAGATTTTAAACTGGTTTTGAGCCCACTTTTATTAAAAATAAGACTTTAGCAGCAAAATTTTTGATTTATTTTATTTTGATCTTGCAGGGTGACATGAAAGTTAAAATGTCAGCAAAAATACACAGAATAGATCAGGCGATGGTGAGTCACAAGATTTATTTCCCCTCCATATTGTTTTAAACTCCGAAAATTACCAGCATTTTATTATAAAACAAAGGAACAATTTACCGTCAGACAATTAACCGATTGGACAGTTCAACGCTAATCAACGTTCTTGTAAAATAATACTGTATGAGAGAAAATGGAGTATACCTAATCCGGATTCCTAGAAAAAAGCTGTAGGTTCTCATTCGATTAAAAGGGGATATAATTTTGTTTAGATACCACTTAATTATGGAGAATGTGAGTGACAAAAACGGACAATTTTAAAGCGGTAAATTGTCTGTCAGTGAATTGTCCTTATAAAAATATTTAAATATTTAATAGAAAAACGATGAAATCATTTAAATAAAAAATTATTATGGGGGTATTTGAAAGGACTTTTTTACACTCTCCCTATATAAAAAGAGTAGTAGTTAAAAATAAATAGCAGCAAGCACAGTTTAAAACTTCACAAAAAAATATCGAAAAATTGCCGAGGCAAAGAATAACTAGCTGGCATTAAAAAATATAAAGAAAAATTTATTGGCAGTCTCTGTATGAACTCATGAGGCAAGAAAAATGCATATTTTTATGGAAGCCCGCGGCTGTGAAAGAGTTGAATAAAATAAAATTTTTTCTTTTACAAACAAGCAGCGACGGGAACACGTTGGGGGGCTATTGAGGAAGTAATAGCTAGGGGAGGGAGGAGGAGGGGGGGGGGGATCGATATATTTACTAGTATTTTTCATTTCCTTTTCTTTACGCCCACTTTTTCTTTTCTTTTTTAATATTTCGTGGCAGCCAACAAGAGTTTTGCTTTTTGAGCCGAAAAATGCCGAAAAGGATTAGTTGATGAATAAGAAGAGAAAGGGGGGAATTTGAATAGTTTAATAACTAGGGAATGTTGCAAACAAATTTTAAAAAAGTAGATAAAGGAAAATAAAGATTTATTGGAAGTAAAGCTAATTTAACAGTTAATTTAAACGGGCTATATCTCCTTCAGTTATTGCAAATAGTGTTGCGCCCCGACCCGTCCCGAAACAATTCGAAAACCCCGTGCCCCGATACACCCGTCCCGAAGCGTTCGGGGCGCAACTAATTGCAAAAGGTTATTCGGACTAGCTGGCATTAAAATCGGGTCGGTTATTTGGGGGAGAACCTGGGGGTAACCAAGCATCTTCAATTAACCTGACTGATTACAACACATCTTTAGGAATTAAATAGCTACATATCCGCTTTAGATAACCGACCACCAGATCCCGAAAGTTTGGAATTTATTTTTACTTTGATCCGTGATATGTACTCACAAAATGGGTTTATCTTCATTATTATTTTTTAATATTCAATCTAATTAACGTTACTTTTATTTTTTTATCAATTCTCAAATTAATTTCACCGGAATTTTTTTTCTTTCTAAAATATCAATACAAAATAAAAAATATATAAAATTATTTAGTAAATATTTAAACGAAAATTTAAAAAAATTGAGCGATATCTTTTGGCAAACAAATTCTTCTTCCCCTTCAATTTAGAATTCCCTCCATCTGGTTAAATCCATTTGAGGAATTTCTGAACAAGAAACTAGAGGTCCAGTTCTGAAAGCTTCTCTCGGGACAATTCTGATATCATCAGCATTATCACAAACAATTCTAGCTAATGATGAACGCCTAATCTCTGCTAGTTGTGCTCTTGTAAATATTCCAGGATTTTCAAAATAAAAACGGTCACCGTCTCGTGTACGGGCAAATTGGGGGCCAATTACACAAGCACTTTAAATTGAAATTTTAAAAAGAAAAAACACTCCTTGGATAAATTGAGGGGTAATAGAGGTTTTAACCTGCAATAAATATGAAACTGGAAAAATGAAATATTATAAAGAAATCTATCCTGGAATCAATCCCAAATCTATGAATACCTAGGAATCTAACTAGGTTTACCTGGGATAGAAATGAACTAAAAAATGAAAATATTGGAAAAAATATTGACTAGAAGAATCAAAAAATGATGTTTGATGGATAATTAGAGGCCTTTGAAACCCCTTGAAGGATAACTGAGAAAACTAGAAAAGTTGTGAGATAAAAAGTTTCTATTTATTTAGTTTCTATCTAACAACCTTTCTAGACCTCTCAGTTATCCTTCAAGGGTTTCAAGGGCATTATTCGTCATTATTTTTTTGTTTCAAAGGCATTATTCCTCAAACATTATCCATCAAACATCTATGTATTAGAAAGGATAATTAAAAATATTTTACTAGAAAATCTCTTGCTTAAAAACTTACACAGTAGGCCCAACAAGCCCCCTAACAACCGGATCTTCAAGTAAAGCACCAACAAAAAAGTCAATTTTATCTAGAAATTTTTAGAGATTTTTTTTCACAATTTTTTTCCAAAAACCTGGAGATCCGTAAATTCTTTGTAAATTATTTCTAGCTTCAACACTTAATATTTCTCTGCTTAACTGTTTAAAGGGAAAAATAAAATTAATTTAAAAAAATTTAAAGAACATGATCAAAAGTTGATGCCCCAGGTAATCCACAAAGTTGTCGAAAACGTAAATATGAAGGCAACTAAAAATATACTAATTAGGAATGATCAGAGGGAAAAAGATTTTGAAAATTTGGATATTTAAAATTTGCGGACAAAAATTCTGTCCGCAAATTTTGTCCGCAATTAGAATTTTCTATCCGCAAATTAAAAAATTTTTTCAACATTTTTCTAAAAATTATTTTCATTTTTAAATGATTACTTTCTCAATCTTATTTATTGCTTTTCAATTAAAGTTATTTTAAACAAATTTTTAAAAATAAATAAAAGCCTACTCCGTGATCTCGACCTCGCTGAATGTTTATTGTTCCTATAAAAAATATTTAAAAAAATAATTTTAATTTTCAATTACCCAAATCAGTTGTTCCAAACATTTGTTCTGTTACCTTTTTAAAATTAAAAATTAATTTTAAAATTTTTTTAAATTTATTTACCGTTCTAGTTAACCTTTGAGGCCTTTTTAAAGGCTGTGACATCATCCCTCTAATTATTGGGTCTATTCCTCCTTGGAAAATTAGACGGTCAGATTTTAATGTGCCATCTACAAAGGCGAAGCCCCCAAAAGGAATTGTTCTGTTGAAAGCGTCCAAACGTTGATAAAATTCCTGAAAAAATATTTTTTTGGGGGGAATTTCTGAAGAAAAAATTTTTTTTTAATTTTCAGAATTTTTAAAAATTTTTTCAATCCCTCACTTGTATCATTCCATGACCAAAACGATAGGCCCCCGAAGTAAATTCATTAGCTACTGTAGAATCTACATTTGGATCATATCCACGATAAGAACCAACTAAAGAATAATTTTTCCTTAAATTCTTCCTGATTTACCTGTAGAAGCAAAAGAAGACCCCAAAACTTTAGGTAAATATTCTCTATAACAAATAGCCTTAAAAACAATTTAAATTTAAAGAAAATATTTTCCTCCTCCCCCCAAACTTGAATTTCTGCCCCAACAATTTTTCGAGTTTCTTGAAAAAGTCTGTCGCCGTTCCAATGAGGGTTAAGTCTTTGTAAACGGGAAGCAATTCTTTAAATAAATTTTTGAAAATTTTATTAAAGATTTTCTTTAACCGATTATGTTCTCTTGTAAGTAGTAAATGAAAGGAGGTTAATCCCAAAAATAAATTTACTCTACTATCTCCAGCAATAAATGTTGCAGAACTTTAATTTTAAAAATATATTCAAAGATTCAGTTTTTAATTTTGAAAATAAAATTACCAATCCCCAGAATTGCGGCATTTTGAAGAATCAAAAGGTAATAGACGCATTCTGGAAATTAAGAAAAGATAGATGTTTTGAATTAAATAATAGAAAAAACTTGGAAGGTTATTGAAAGTTATTTAGAGATTATTAAATAATTAATTGTAAGGCCGTCGGACTTGCCCCCCCACTTCCCCAAGTTTGTAATTTTGAAAGAAATTAAACTGTTGATAAAACAATAATGAAAAATGTGTTGGGAAAGCTGAACCTACGACGACCTTTCATTAAATCTCATTATAAATCTCATCAAAGAATCGGTAAATTAACCGTTATTTTTCGACTAATTACCCCGAGTAATTATTTTAAAGACAATCGCCAGAGGGTGTAATTAATTAAGAGTAATTAATCGAGGAAATACATTAATAGTCACTCAAAATTGAGCCTTTAACTTATTAAAAAGTCATAAAAGGAAATTGAGGATTAAAAAACATTTTTAATTAATTCTCCAAATAAATATTTACCCATTAAAATTATTTAATTTCAAAAATCCAGTAGAGCCCTCTCTAAATTTGTGTAAATCCCCAACAGAAGAGCCATATATCGGAGATCCATCAATATATCCAGTATTTTCACTTAATTGTTGTCGAGGCTTAGTTCTGCCCGAACCACAAATTGGAGAGGAACGGGAGACCCTCAAACATCCATCCGCTCGGAAATTGGAATTTGGGTCTGCGGGGGCGAGGAATATTGCCATACACTGAAAAAGTGATTTTTAAAATTTAAAAAATAATTTCCTTTAAACTTACTCGAGAAGGAATATTTTGACAAACATTACATTTGGCAGAGGGCACCAAAGTAGTTTTTGCCATATCGTGGGACATAAATTGGCCAAATTGCATTAATAAAGCATTGTATTCTTGATGGACTACTTGCTATTTTAAATTTATATTTTGATAGAGAAAAAAAAATATTTTTATTTTTAATTTAAAAATAGGATAAGTGGGAGATTAAGAATATAAAAATAAAACAAAAGTTAATTAAATATAGGGAGATATACACCTTAGAGATCGGACCGAGACCAAATCTTGAACAAAGATATCAGTCATCAAGAGTTCTTAAGATATCAATACTCGATTCTGGTACGACTCATCCAATCCGGTCTCTCCTATCATCTATTTTAACTACGATATTACCTTGGCAGTAGATAAAACTTGTCGATTAATTTCTCTAGGACTAGGGCGAATATTTGTAATTGAAGCTATAAATAAATTTAAAAAATAAATTTTTTAGATAAAGAAACATACAAACAGGTTCAGACAATCCCCCATCATATTCTGGAGGCATTAATCTTTAATTATTTTAAATTAAAAAATAATTTTTCTCTAAACTTGCCTGCTATAAGGCCGGAAAGCTGCACCTCGAAGGGGAAACTTTAATTTAAAAAATTATTTTTTTTTATTTTTTTATGAGAAAATACCTGAAAATTATTACAAGTTCCGTCCATTGTTCGAAAATGTAAATTATAACAGAGAGAACTAAAAAATATAAATTAAAAGAATAAAATTAAAAACTAATAACCGTTCACATTCTGCTTCATCTAACCTAGGAACACAAGCATTTGCAATGTTGGAACGAACTTGAAGAAAAAACATTGCAAAACATTAATAAATTTTATTTTACTTACCAACTTGTTCTTGTGTTAGAGGATGACGACCAGAATTATCTAAAAACATTTAATATTTTGTTTTTGTTTTCAAAGTTGGGGAATGTTTTCTAGAAAAATTGTTTTTGAGAGTGTTGGGAAAGTTTTAATTAAAGTTTGTTTTGTTGGGAAATGTTTTAATTAAAGTTTGTTTTGTTCGAATGTTTTGTTTAAATTGTTATTATATAATGTTTTCCTTCAAGTTTGTTTTTATTAAAGTTTAAAAATGTTTTTGAAAATGTCGAGAAATGTTTTGAAAAAAGTTTTTGTTTAATTGGAAATGTTTTTGGTTAGTTGTTAAAATGTTTTTATGCAAGTTTTTTTCAATGTTTTTCTTTGTTTTAATTAAACATTTTAAAAACACCTTCAGTTGCAACAACTAATCTTTCTCTAAGTAAAACTTCAGCAGCATTAGAGGGATCTCTTTGTATTTGTCTGCACCTTTCTGTTGGGTTAGACACTATTGTTTGTGTAGTTGTTGTTGTGTGTATAGTTGTTGTTGTTGGAGGTGGGGGTGGGGGTGGAGGTCTAAATGTTGTTGTTGTTTGTGTTGTTGTTGGGTGTGTTGTTGGGTGTGTTGTAGGGGATGTTCGTGTAACAAATAAATGAGGAAATGTTTGTGGCTGTCTTGAATGTGTTTGTATAAAAGGGTTGTTGGGAAAACGAAAGGGAAGAGTAGCTGCTTGTGTTTGTGGCGGTCTTCTTGTAACAGGCGCTAAAAAACATCAAAACATTTAAAACAAATTAATTTGTTTTTATTTACGTCTTGTACAAGTTCCGCAAGCTAATTGGCAATTAAGTGCTAAAAAATTTTAAAAATAAATATTTTTTTAATTTCAATTTAATTTACACATCCATCCAGAATTACTTCCACATTCCCCCATTGTAGCCCAAAATCTACACCATTCATGTTGATCACAACACCCATTTAGACGACATTTAAAATTTCGTATTATTGGGTTTTCATCACTTCCAAAGACTATAAAATAAAATTTTTTATTTTATTTTTCAAAAAAAAAGGGAAGTCCTTTACCACTAAAAAATATCTTTCTATTTTTTCTCTGAATTTATGCTCTAATAATTACCCTGGGTAATTATTGTTTCGATCTCTCACTGGAGGGAGTAATTAATAGAGCATATACGGTAATTTGTTTTTATTTGAAATAAAATCTCCCCTTCTAACCCCTATCTATCATTAATCTCCTATTCCAACACCTATTTGCGTAACATTGCAATTTTTATTTTAGAATAATTACACATTTTCCAAATTTTATTTGAGTAAATGGAAAAATTAAAAAAAAAATTTTTTTTATTATTATATTATAATCGTTTCCTCTTATTTTTATAATTAGCAGTTGCAAACAAACAAAACAAAAACAAATAAAAACAAACCTGTAGTAACTGTGCAAAACAAAATTAAATTAAAACAAATTGTTAGTGTTGTTATTCTTTTATATAAACAATGTTTTTGTTGTTTTTGTTTGTTTAAATTATTTGTTTGTTTTAATGAATGTTTTACAAACATTGCTGGAATATATAATTAAAAACCCTATAGAATTAAATTTATTGCGGACAATTTTTGCGGAAAAACTTTGCGGAAAATTTTTTTGAAAATTTATTTTAAAAAAATTAAAAAAAATTTTTTAATTAATTAAAAATGAAAATTAAAAATTATTATTTAAATTTATAAAAATAATTTTAAGGTCTTAATTGAAGAGAGACTTTGAGAGAGACCAACACTTTCCCTCTCTCTCTTTCTCTCCTCTCAAAGTTCTTCTAATCACCAAATTATTTAAATTTTTGTCTTCGAAAGTATTAAAGTTTTTTTTCTCTAAACTAAATTTATTAATTATTATTTTTATTTGCCAGACATAGCATACTAATCTATATTTTTTAAATTTTATTTTGCCCAGCCCCCCCCCTTTGATTTTAAAACATTCACTTTAACAAGCAATAATTTTAACTAAAATAATTAAATTAATTTTTAAAAAATATTTAAAATTTATTTTCCTTTTATGTATTACCTAATTTTAAAATAATTTTAATTATTTTTAAAAATTAAAAAAGTTTAAAATTATATTAAAAAAAATTTTTTTAAATAAATCGATTAATAAAAAAATTAAAAAATCAAACAAAGAATTTTTTTCAGAAAAATTTTTTTTTTCGTTTATTGAAAAAATGCGCGAATAAACTCAAATTAAATTAAAGAATTGTTTGTAAAGTTTTGCTATTTACACCGAAAATTTTTGAAGGAGTAAAGGAAAATTAAAAGGAAAGAGGGGAGAACAAGCCAAATAAAAATTCAAGAAAAAAATTGTTTTAAATTTTTGTAATGTAACTGGGGGAATTGGGCGTAGATATTTAGAGGGTTGGGCGTGGATATTGTTGGAAATGAAGTTAAAAATGTTAAAGGTTAAGTAAATAATTTAATTAGATATTTATCCATCATCATCCTAGCTCTATTATGTGTGTGTGTACCGTGTAAGTCTATTCCTTTAAAAAAATTTTATGGAAATGCAGATACCTAAATTCAAATTAAATTAAAGAACGAAAATGGAGAGTTAGGGTTTTAGGTTGGGAGGTGGTGGCCGGTGGAACCCTATTTTGTGATTATTCTTTCCACTTTAAATTCTTAGGTTGCAAGTTAATTTGGTAGGGGAAGAGAGGGTTGGTGTCTTGGATTAACGATCCCTCGTGAGTTGAATGAAAAGGAAATAAGAAAGTATTGTTGCCCAAGACGAAGGTGAGTGTTTGTTGAAGTTGCTGGGATTCCATAGGTGGGTTACCAGGAGGTTACCAGACTAAATGTTCTAAAATTCAGAGTTAGATTTTGCCATAGACGGAAAATTTGGTAACTTTTGGGCAGAAGGAGGAAGGAAATAAAAAAAAGGAAAATATTTTTTCAAAGAAAATGAGGAAGTAAAACTTTAATTAAGAAAAATTTTTTAAAAGATTTGAATATTAATTGTCCAACCATTCAGAATTCTTGTTTTATTGTTTTAAAAATTATCAAAATAAATTTTCGAAAATTAATAATTTTTTATATTTTCAGTTATAATATATTAAAAAAAGAAATTTTTTAAAGAAAGTAACCCTAAACTTTTTAATTAAATTTTAAGCAAAAATTCACGTTTCCAAGTTTTCTCATTTGTTTGTTTTATATAAACGATCACGCAAGCGTTACTTTTGCGCCTAAACATGCCAATTTGTAAAGGCGGAAATTAGACGGAAAATAAAAGAGAAAGAAGGGAAAAATGTTTTAAAAAGCTTTACAATAATTAAATAAATATTTTAATATTTTTCTTTTAAAAAATAATTTCCGATTGTTGAAAAGGGGAGGGAGGGGAGGGGGGGGTTTAGTTTATTTCGCGCAAATTTTAGTTAAAGTTCGGGGGTCATTTCACCATTATATTTCAGAAAGGGAAAAAAATGAAAGGAAAAACCTAAAAAAGCTTTTTTATTTTCTTTTAACAAAACTGAAATAGGCACTAAAAGAATAAGAATATGTATGACAATACCTACAAAGAAATTTAGAGGGAAAATTAAAAGGCTACTTCCTAATTTTTGATGAAAGGGAAATTTCCGAGACCGGAAATTTTCTACGACACAGACTAGATCCCAAGACCAAAACTGAAGAAACTCCAAGAAAAGTCTTGAGCAAGACTCGTGACAATCTCGGACGTCTCTAATAATTTTCTTTAAAAACTAAAATTTACTCATTTTACAAATAAAAATAAATAGAAGCAAGGCGTTACTAAAGGTCTTTGGTTGAGTGGGTTAATGCGCAGCAGGTGAACCTTGGGGAGTAGGGTTCGACTTTTTGATGTCAAACATTTGTTGACAACTTTTTAAAATTTCTTTTATTTAAAATTTGATATTCATGATTGAAAAATAAGTTTAGGAAAAAATATTATTATAATTATTTAATAATAATAATTAAAAATTAGCGGAAATAATAAAAACAATTAAATTGAAGGGGAAAGATTACATTAATTCCATTCTTTCTTTTCTGTTCCAAAAAATTACAAAAATATAAATAATTAAAAAAAGAGAAGACCATAAATTTGTAATGCTCAAATACACACGTAAATATATATTTATTTATTTTTTTTTTTCGCGAATAAATCAAAAACGTAATCAATTGTGGCCCTTTCTTTTCCCCCCCACAATTTTTGTTGTGGCATTTGCGCGGCTTCTTGGGGGCAACGTGTTTCTCTCTTTTAAAGAGAAAAGGAGAAGAGAAAATTGTGAATATAATTCTAAAATAATTTTAAAAAGAAAGGCGTCAATTAATGAAAAAGTGAAAATATATAGGGTGGAAATTAAGCAAAAAAGGAAGGAAAAGGGAAGGGGGTCTTTCTAATGCCCTTTGCTCTATTTGATTAGAAGAAGAACTGACGAAAGGAATTAAATAATTAAATGATTTAATTTATGTTTTTTAGAGGTGAGAGAGAGATAATTTTAAAATTAATTTCCTTTATTTAGAGGAATTTTAGGAATTAATGTAAAGGACGCAGGCATTCAATCGTCAAGAAAAAAGGGGGGATGAGAGAATTTTAATAGGACAAAGGGGTTGTTGTTTTGCTCCTCAAATATACAAATCTGGACTTGACATCCTAGCCAAAAATTTCTGGATATTAAAATCCTCTAACTCTACAGCCATTTCACCAAATTAAATTGAGCAGGGTTTTAAGAGAGTTCGACACGGTATCGGGGTTAATTCATTTACCGAACACAAATTTTAAGCTATTAGGGCAATGAGGATATTTTATATTTATTTGAGGTTTGAACGAAAAATTAATTTAATTTAATATAAATTAATTTAAAAAATAATTAACTAGTTTTTCATTTCTAGCCAGTTTAACCAAAAATGTATGTAGATTTTTCTTAAATGAAATAATGACCTTGAAGACTAATTGCAAAATGTAAAGACGTATATATATATTTAATTCGCTAATCGACTGACTAATATATTTAAATAGAGCTAAATAAATTAATTTAAGAGAAAATATGTATTGGATTTTATTTAAAAAATTTTAAAGCTCAGACAAAAAAATATACGGAAAATTGACTTTATTGTATGTAGATAAAAGGAGGGGGTGTAATGAACGGGAGATATCCCTTAGATCTAACGCAAAATTCATTTAAAAAAGAGAACATCAGGTTCATTGCAGGGGTTTAAAAGGCGAAAGATGGAAGGTGAAAGTCAAAAAAATACTCCGAAAGATGAAAGGCGAAACGGCACACGCCTGATTCATTGCCCTCCGATAGCTTAGGTAGAGCAACAACAATAGAGCAAATTTTTGCTCAAAAACTGCCATATTTTTAAATATATTATTTTTGGCAAAATTTAACAGAAAAATTAAAATTAAAAATAAGAACAATTATTATTAAACATTTATCCCATAAAGAGAAAGGGAGTTCACAAATCGTCGGCCTGTTCCCCTTCCCCTCCTCCTACACCTCTCATTTAATGCCCCGATCCAGTCAATTTCTATAAATCGTCTTCCCTTTCATTTTTAAAGCATTTCCGCGACATTTTCTACATCTATTTTTCCTCATTCTTCCAGACGTTCTAAAAGAGAGAAAGACAGATTCACTTCCTCTTCCCTTTATTTTTTCCCCTCTTGAACAAATAAATAATATTTTAATATATTTTTCAATTGTCGGCCCGCGCACCATCACTTTTTGATTATATTGCCGCAGGCAATATAAATAAGCCTAGAAGCACATAAATATTTTTTATGAATTATTGTTATAATAAATTTTGTTTTTAGCGGTGAAATAAATGAAAATGTGAATTGGATAATTAATTTTATTTTTTTTTAATTTTATTAGAAAACTCTCCCACTCTCGTCAGCGAAACTCATTAGAGAGGCTTTAGAGTTAGCTAAATCTCTAGGCCATTCTCTACCGATTAAAAAGAGACTTGACAAATTTTTAGATTCAGTGAGGACTTACAATTAAATAACCAACATAAGTTATGATACCTAGAAAATTTTAGGAGAACAAAATTCAATATGAGAAATTTAAAAAGTCCACCAACTAAGAAAGGCTTTAATCTCGATTCTTTTTTTCAAAAAAATTAGGTATTTTTGAAAAATAATATAGTAAGAATGTCTTTATTCCAACATATATAATAAATCTGTCTAAAATTTAAAATTAAATTCTACAAGATGTTGTGCAATGTCTGGAATGTGCCAGGAATAAATAAATACATAAAAGTGATTAAATGTCATTGAAAAATAAATAAAGGAATTGAGTACATATTTGTTAAAGACTGGAATTTTTAACCAAGATAATAATTTTTAAAAATTCAAAATGACCAAAAAACAGTTAAAAAGCACAGTCTTTTAATTATAATGAACAAAATTAAAAAAATATTTTTGAGCTTTTTATTCTTAGTCGAACCTCATTTTTAGATATCCTTTGAGATTTAAATAAATTGTGTGTTATAATAAGAGATATTTTAAATAGGGGTATCGGTTAGGCATCGGCCAACCAACCTTAAAAGACTGTATTTTAAAATTTGAGGTTTATCTAAAAATGAGGTTTGACTGTAAGAAGATCTATACATACTTCTACTAATTTAATGTTAATTTATTTATAAAAAGTGTGTCATTTAAGTGTAGAAAATGCTGATGGCCTAAAGCTTTGTTCTCTAACAACAGAAGGAAGAACTCCTGGGCCTCTTTCAGAAATATCAGAAATTCCCTGTCTTGCTGATCTTGTCCGACGCCAATACCAAAGAAATGCAGACAAAACACCCAAAGTTAAAACTCCAGCCAACCCTAACGAAATTGCTGCAATAAATCTCCAAAATCTTGCTCTGTCTTCTTCTTCTTTCCTCTCTTTAATTACCAAATCAGAGTCAACAACGTTAATGTCATAAGGAGAAAATGTTGATAATTCTGGTTGTTCAAATTTTGGTAATTTTAATAAAATCTCTTCCACGGTCATTTTGTGCTGAAAAAAGACAGAAAAAATATTGAAAAGGGGTTGGCGACTTATTTAATTGTTCTGGGGAGTTTTTAAATAGACAGTCAGTCCTAAGACTAAATAGTGATTGAAATGAAAAATGAGTAGAGAGACGATATTCCTTAAAGACTAAAGAGGGATTCGAGAAAAAAACTTCAGGAAATTCTAATAGAAATCGAACAAAATGAGAAGCTGGCCCATAAAAATCAAAGCTTTGTTCAAACTTTGTTAAAAATAATTTTATTAAGGCCTTAATTTCGGCATTGGCAAGTCTTCACTTTTCATTGGACAGTTTATTTTAAACCCCGAACTTTACACTATTCCCTATAAAAATCTTTTTCCCACATATAAACACCACCAAAAAACACTTAAACGTTCCCAGAAATCATTTAAAAAAAACAACTCACATCCTTACTAAGAGAAGCCAAAAGTTTATCAAAATTGTCTTTAATATGTTGCTGTAAATCCAAAGGTAATTTAGTAAAATCAGGCATTTCTCCTTTCATAACTTGTTTAACAACTTCTGGTTGAAGTTTACTTAAATTGTAATTTTTTGGGAGAAGTTGCATCATTTGAATAACTTTTTGAGGTAATATATCAGAAATACCAGTTGTTGTATTGATACCTTCTATTGAACCGATTGGAGCATGTTGGGTATAATATTCCTTTAAAAGGTAATAAATTATTTTTTAAGATTTTAAAAATTTTATAGGGGAGAAAAAGTCTTAAATAAAAGGTATAGTATGGATTAGTGTTTCACCGGAACCGAAATTTTGACCGGAACCGGAACCGGATCCAATTTAAGTTCCGGCCCGGAACCGGAACCGGAACTTTTAAAAAATTTTTTGCTAGCACATTTTAAAAAATTTTTATTTTAAGTAGGGGTGCGGTTTCGCCAAATTTTTCGATTAAATTCTGCCAAATTCTTCTGTTAATCGAAACGAAAAAAAATCCAAGTTTTGGAAGACCAAATCCCCAGCTATTCAATCCCTGATATCTACTTTGACATCACACCCAAATCCCTCTATATTACCTATAACCCCTTGAACTCACATAATGTAACTCAAAATCCACCTTCATCCATCCAAATCCTTCGATTTACCATACAACTTCCCTTCATAGCGCCGCAGGCGAAAATTTTGGGATTTTAGGTGAACCAAGGATACAAAATTCTTCCTTTTTAAGCGCCGCAGGCGAAAATTTTGAGAATTTGTGTGACCAACTAGCTAGATTTCTTCCTTTTCTGGCGCCGCAGGCGAAAATTTTGAGAATTTTGGAAGGCCAATCGGGGAAAATATTGCAGAGACTTCATTCTATAAAATAAAAACAAAATTAATTTTAGGAAAAATCAAAAAAAAAGAAAAATTTTTAAATAAAAAAATATTTAGCGACAAAATATCTGTGAACTGTTTCCAGACAAAAAGGCACACGACAAAAAGGTACTAGGGGTAAAATAAGACAAAATGTCACAGAGTTTTGCCAATTGATTTTTTAAATAATCTGAAAGTTTTTTTTGATTATTTTGGTTTAATATGAAATCTTCAAATCAGAAACTTGTTGATACAATAATTGGACTTGAGGAACAACAAAAGTAAGAATTTAAACATTTTTTTATTTCTTAGTTTTTCTCATTTTTCAGGCAAATAGAAAAAATTCTTTTAGAGTTTGTGCAAACTGGTTTAGGCGGTTCTTGTTTAATTTGTGGAAGAAGACGTTCAGGCAAATCTCTCGTTTTGGATCAAATAATTAAAAGACTCCCAAATGATCTCCGAATTGTAAATGCTGACGGAGAGAAATGCAGCAGTTTTGCTGCGAGTGCCAAAATTTTACAAAAGCACGGATTGTATATTGGAAATTTTGAAGAACAAAAATATAAAAAAGAAGCTGGGGAATCGGTTGGTTTTTTAAATTTTAGATTAGCATTAAGTAAAATTTCTTTAGAATTCAAAAATTCTTTTTGTTGTTGATCACTTTGAAAGTTTTGCTAAAAAGAATAATCAAGTATTTTTGTATAGTCTTTTAAATGGTTGTCAAAGGCTTCCTTGGTTTGTAATACTTATTGGAAATACTGAGGTTATTTTTTAAATTTTATTTGCCGATATATTTAACTATAAAGTACGCTCCTTACTCTTCTAAAAATTATTATTAGCTTTATCATACATTTATTATTCCAAAAAAATTTTGGGTCCAATAATTTTTTTAAATTTAAAATCATGGGAAATCTTGACTTATAGGGGACTTTTTTTGGCTGGACCGATTTCGACAAATGATATGTCATTCGAAAGAGCTCGTCGAGCTGAGTCGAATGACACCAAAATCAGCTCGATTGAACTAGATTGGACAAAGTTATGACACAAAAAACAAACAACGTAAACCTATGGGGCGTCGGCGAGGCGCTTGTGCAAAACTCCGCGCTTCGCGCGGAGTTTTGCGGCACGCGCCTCGCGGGGAGTCTACGGGCGCTGGTTCTGGGCTCGTAACATAAACCTATTCCTATTTCCCTTGTTCTGGACGTACCCGGGGCCTTGTAGCAGCAAAAACCGCGGAGACCATAGGTAAGGAGCTAAAAACGACACATAACTTTGTCCAATCTTGTTCAATCGAGCTGATTTTGGTGTCATTCGACTCAGCTCGAGGAGTTCTTTCGAATGACATATCATTTGTCGAAATCGGTCCAGCCAAAAAAAGTCCCCTATAAGTCAATAGTACCAAATCATGTTCCATGAGCCTATTTCTGTTCCGCAATGACAATTATAAAACATTAAATTTTCAGACTGGTTTGTCTATACTGGAAAAACGTGTCCGTTCAAGACTTTCAAAGATTTATATCCACTTTAATGTTCAACTTTCTATTGACGATTTTAAATCGGGCTTCTTTCAACTTCTGCAATGTACTCAAATACCAAAAAATATTTTAAAGGTAATTTTGAATTTTTTTATTTTGTTGTAGGAGGTCTATTTTTTCTCTTTTTCTTACAATTAATTTACTTCCTAAAAATAATCCATTTTTTATTGATTTACATATTTGGTGGGAGTTAAAAATTGAGGAAATGAGCCCGTAAATTTCCGAATATTTTTTTTTAATTTTTCAAATCTTTTTGGACAATAATTTGTCCGCAAATAATCCCTTTTTACTAATTTTCCTAAAAGCTTAAACCAAATAATTTTTTTCATTCTAGAAAATAGAAAATGAGCCTTCTGTTGATAAAATGTTACAAAGATTATATGAAAGGTTTGGAATGATTGCTTGGCTCAAAAAAATTGTGGCACTTTTTGAATTTGTTTATATAAAAATTGGAAAAATGCCTGATCCTGTTTCAATTTTAAATTATTGTTTGGAAGCCGTTCTATGTGAAAATGAACAAAGCAAATTGCTAAACAGTTAAGGGGTTTATTTAATTGTATTTGAGTAATAAATGGGAAATTTTAACTTTGAGTGGATATATTATAGGTAGGGTTGAGGGCCCGGTCCGGTCAGAGAGAAAAAGACTCGGCCGGGCCGGCCCGGAAAAAAAGACTCGGGCCCGACTCGAGACCCCCAACTCTAATTATTGGGTTACCTTAAAGTGGAGTTGTGCACACTCCTGCCCTGATATTTGACTTTAAAATAATAATTTCCTCATTTCCATGTAGTTTTTGACATTGAATTTTTGAGAATTTTTTATCCCACGTCAAATATTATCAAAATTCAAATATAATATTTTTTAAGAATTAAGTATTCGTCAACTTGTATTATTAAATTGTATTGCCAAATTGGATGGAAGAAATAATCAAATTTTTGAATTTAATTATCGAGAAATTATTAATGGTTTTTTTTTTCTTTTTAAATTTTAAATATAAATTAATTTTTTTAAAAAGAATATTATCGTTTTGCTAACGAAAATAAAAATTCAATGAGAGTATCTGATGTTGTTCTCTACAAAGATTTACAAGAATTGGTTGATTTGGATTTTTTGGTAATTGCTAAAAAAGTGGATAATGGACAACTTCCTTTTAGGTTTTTTAATTTTAAAAAATTTTCTAGGGGGTTTTCTGGCTTTTAACATTTATTTCCTGAATATTCTTACATCCAAAAATATTCTCAAATTTTAAAGTATTCCAACTATTTTTCAACCCGACATTTTTCTGGTTTTTAAATTTTTTACTCATAATTTTTGATATTACACTTAAAAACTAAAATAGAGAAAATCCTTTGGGATTGGATTTTTCCTCTTATTTTTTATTAGAGGATAATTTATTAATCTTCACATAAATATTCCTTTTCCTATAAAATAAAATTTTATAAATTTGAACAATTTTTTAAAAAATTTCAGAAGAGTAATGCTAAATATTGAACAAGAAGCAATTTCTGATTGTGCAAAATTACGAAAGAAATTAATTCCGGAGCCTGTAGTTGATTGGTTTAGTTCTGATTTTTAATTTAAATTATTTTTAAATTCCTTAAATATTGATTTTTTGAAATAAAAACAGGATATTTAATATTTTAATAAAAATTTTCCCCCAGTCCTTTGTTAGCAAATATAAACTGGAAATTCTATTGTAAATATATATTTACAAAATAATTTCACTTTTATTAAAGAAGAGAGAAAATCCTTTTTTATTTGTTTGCCTTTCTAGTTTTGTTTAAATTTAATAAATATATTTTTAATCGGATTTTAAAAAATATACAGAAATTAAATTTATGAGGCAAGTTTTAAGGAAGGGAGGGTTGGAGTTGTTTTAATTTAATTTAATTTAATTTATTGAGTAAACCACAAAGTACATAAAAAAGTACAATTATAGTGGTAAAATAAAAAATAAATTTTTAAAATACTATAAGAAAATGTCATAATAAATTTATAAAAAAATGTCAATCTAGGAGGATAAGGGAGTTGCGAACTAAAACCTCTATTTTATAAAGTTATTAACAAGTACTCTAAATTTTTGCGAATTATATGTTTGTAAAATTTCATTAGGTAAGCTATTCCAGTTATTTATGATTCTATTAAAAAAATTATTTCTAGTTTTACCGTTAAACTTTTTGTTCCTTAAACAAAATATTTTCCTTTTAGCTTTTACTGCAAAATCAAAGTATTTTTGTGGGTCTAGATGCGTCTTTAATAAAAGTGAAATTATTTTGTAAATATATATTTACAATAGAATTTCCAGTTTATATTTGCTAACAAAGGACTGGGGGAAAATTTTTATTAAAATATTAAATATCCTGTTTTTATTTCAAAAAATCAATATTTAAGGAATTTAAAAATAATTTAAATTAAAAATCAGAACTAAACCAATCAACTACAGGCTCTGGAATTAATTTCTTTCGTAATTTTGCACAATCAGAAATTGCTTCTTGTTCAATATTTAGCATTACTCTTCTGAAATTTTTTAAAAAATTGTTCAAATTTATAAAATTTTATTTTATAGGAAAAGGAATATTTATGTGAAGATTAATAAATTATCCTCTAATAAAAAATAAGAGGAAAAATCCAATCCCAAAGGATTTTCTCTATTTTAGTTTTTAAGTGTAATATCAAAAATTATGAGTAAAAAATTTAAAAACCAGAAAAATGTCGGGTTGAAAAATAGTTGGAATACTTTAAAATTTGAGAATATTTTTGGATGTAAGAATATTCAGGAAATAAATGTTAAAAGCCAGAAAACCCCCTAGAAAATTTTTTAAAATTAAAAAACCTAAAAGGAAGTTGTCCATTATCCACTTTTTTAGCAATTACCAAAAAATCCAAATCAACCAATTCTTGTAAATCTTTGTAGAGAACAACATCAGATACTCTCATTGAATTTTTATTTTCGTTAGCAAAACGATAATATTCTTTTTAAAAAAATTAATTTATATTTAAAATTTAAAAAGAAAAAAAAAACCATTAATAATTTCTCGATAATTAAATTCAAAAATTTGATTATTTCTTCCATCCAATTTGGCAATACAATTTAATAATACAAGTTGACGAATACTTAATTCTTAAAAAATATTATATTTGAATTTTGATAATATTTGACGTGGGATAAAAAATTCTCAAAAATTCAATGTCAAAAACTACATGGAAATGAGGAAATTATTATTTTAAAGTCAAATATCAGGGCAGGAGTGTGCACAACTCCACTTTAAGGTAACCCAATAATTAGAGTTGGGGGTCTCGAGTCGGGCCCGAGTCTTTTTTTCCGGGCCGGCCCGGCCGAGTCTTTTTCTCTCTGACCGGACCGGGCCCTCAACCCTACCTATAATATATCCACTCAAAGTTAAAATTTCCCATTTATTACTCAAATACAATTAAATAAACCCCTTAACTGTTTAGCAATTTGCTTTGTTCATTTTCACATAGAACGGCTTCCAAACAATAATTTAAAATTGAAACAGGATCAGGCATTTTTCCAATTTTTATATAAACAAATTCAAAAAGTGCCACAATTTTTTTGAGCCAAGCAATCATTCCAAACCTTTCATATAATCTTTGTAACATTTTATCAACAGAAGGCTCATTTTCTATTTTCTAGAATGAAAAAAATTATTTGGTTTAAGCTTTTAGGAAAATTAGTAAAAAGGGATTATTTGCGGACAAATTATTGTCCAAAAAGATTTGAAAAATTAAAAAAAAATATTCGGAAATTTACGGGCTCATTTCCTCAATTTTTAACTCCCACCAAATATGTAAATCAATAAAAAATGGATTATTTTTAGGAAGTAAATTAATTGTAAGAAAAAGAGAAAAAATAGACCTCCTACAACAAAATAAAAAAATTCAAAATTACCTTTAAAATATTTTTTGGTATTTGAGTACATTGCAGAAGTTGAAAGAAGCCCGATTTAAAATCGTCAATAGAAAGTTGAACATTAAAGTGGATATAAATCTTTGAAAGTCTTGAACGGACACGTTTTTCCAGTATAGACAAACCAGTCTGAAAATTTAATGTTTTATAATTGTCATTGCGGAACAGAAATAGGCTCATGGAACATGATTTGGTACTATTGACTTATAGGGGACTTTTTTTGGCTGGACCGATTTCGACAAATGATATGTCATTCGAAAGAACTCCTCGAGCTGAGTCGAATGACACCAAAATCAGCTCGATTGAACAAGATTGGACAAAGTTATGTGTCGTTTTTAGCTCCTTACCTATGGTCTCCGCGGTTTTTGCTGCTACAAGGCCCCGGGTACGTCCAGAACAAGGGAAATAGGAATAGGTTTATGTTACGAGCCCAGAACCAGCGCCCGTAGACTCCCCGCGAGGCGCGTGCCGCAAAACTCCGCGCGAAGCGCGGAGTTTTGCACAAGCGCCTCGCCGACGCCCCATAGGTTTACGTTGTTTGTTTTTTGTGTCATAACTTTGTCCAATCTAGTTCAATCGAGCTGATTTTGGTGTCATTCGACTCAGCTCGACGAGCTCTTTCGAATGACATATCATTTGTCGAAATCGGTCCAGCCAAAAAAAGTCCCCTATAAGTCAAGATTTCCCATGATTTTAAATTTAAAAAAATTATTGGACCCAAAATTTTTTTGGAATAATAAATGTATGATAAAGCTAATAATAATTTTTAGAAGAGTAAGGAGCGTACTTTATAGTTAAATATATCGGCAAATAAAATTTAAAAAATAACCTCAGTATTTCCAATAAGTATTACAAACCAAGGAAGCCTTTGACAACCATTTAAAAGACTATACAAAAATACTTGATTATTCTTTTTAGCAAAACTTTCAAAGTGATCAACAACAAAAAGAATTTTTGAATTCTAAAGAAATTTTACTTAATGCTAATCTAAAATTTAAAAAACCAACCGATTCCCCAGCTTCTTTTTTATATTTTTGTTCTTCAAAATTTCCAATATACAATCCGTGCTTTTGTAAAATTTTGGCACTCGCAGCAAAACTGCTGCATTTCTCTCCGTCAGCATTTACAATTCGGAGATCATTTGGGAGTCTTTTAATTATTTGATCCAAAACGAGAGATTTGCCTGAACGTCTTCTTCCACAAATTAAACAAGAACCGCCTAAACCAGTTTGCACAAACTCTAAAAGAATTTTTTCTATTTGCCTGAAAAATGAGAAAAACTAAGAAATAAAAAAATGTTTAAATTCTTACTTTTGTTGTTCCTCAAGTCCAATTATTGTATCAACAAGTTTCTGATTTGAAGATTTCATATTAAACCAAAATAATCAAAAAAAACTTTCAGATTATTTAAAAAATCAATTGGCAAAACTCTGTGACATTTTGTCTTATTTTACCCCTAGTACCTTTTTGTCGTGTGCCTTTTTGTCTGGAAACAGTTCACAGATATTTTGTCGCTAAATATTTTTTTATTTAAAAATTTTTCTTTTTTTTTGATTTTTCCTAAAATTAATTTTGTTTTTATTTTATAGAATGAAGTCTCTATTTTTTGTTAATATTTTTAATCCTTGTTGTTCTCGTTCATTTATTCAATCAACAATTTATTTAAATAAATTAATAGTTAGATTTTATAGTCAACAAGACAAACCACTTATGTATCAACTTGAACATGTTCAAAAAAGGCTAGAATTTACGGTTTTCTTTTTAAAATTTCAAAAAATATTTTTTTAATTTATTTTTTAGACTCCATTAATGTTTAAAATGAGAATGGATTATACTTTCCTTAGAAAAGATGTTTTTTTGGATGATCAAATAATGGGGGTAACTAGAAGGTTTATTTTTTATTTAAAATTATTTTAATTTTAAATTTAGTGGCCTTAATGAGATTATGCATCATTTTGGAACAATAGCTGTGGCTGGGAATTTATTACGGGCTAATATTGATGCTCAGGTTAAAAATATTTTTTTGGATTCTGTCTTTTCAAGTTTCCGGGCCTCCGGGTTTTTTGTTTTGATCTGACTAGGACAGGGGTTTCAAGGTAAATCCCTGAAATCTGCCGTAAAAAATACCAGACGGATCCTAGAAACCTGGTGACAACATAAAATGACCGAAACATTTTTGAAAGAATTTTGTCTATGTGGCTTAAATGCTTCCAAAATTGTTTTTTTTTAATTTTTTATTCACAAATATTGTCCAAGAGAAAAATTTCAAATTATTTTTGATCTTAAATTTTTATTTTTTTTTGTTGGAAAATAAACGAGGTTGGGGTTACCTAAATTAAAAATTTTTTCTGTTTAAGTTTTTCGATTACTTCCGTTTAATTTAAAGTTTTTAAATCTAAATTTTATTTTAAAAATTTTAATCAAATTTAGGCACTCAACATTGTACCTATATTGGAGGATGGAACAGTTAGGCTTCGTTGGAGACTAGTTTATCATAATTGGATTGATTATTTTAGCTTTAAATCAGACAAAGAAAATGTATATTTTTTTAATTTAAAAATTTCCTAAAATTAATTGAACCCTTAAATTTTGTCAATTTTCAAATGGATAGAGTTTTAGGATTAATTAAACTTTGTTGGAGTATTTTAAATTTTTTGGGCTATAATTCCAATTATAAATTCGATTTGGGGTTTATTTCCAAAAATAATAAAAATTATAAGTATTTAAATTAAAAACCTAAATTGAGTTTCTGATATATAGACATGAGACACTCAAATTAGAAAATAAATTTATTAAATTAATTATTTTAGGAAAAATGGTATGATGGTTACTCGGTGAGTTTAAAAAACTTTTAATTAAAAATTTATTTAGAAATTTTTTTCGGATTTAAAAAAATAAGTTGTTGGGGAGGGGGTAGGTTATGAACAAGAATCTAAAAAAGCTTGGAAAAGTTTAATTTTAAATTTCTAAAAATTTTTTGTTTTAAAAAAGATTTTCTACGTTGACGGTGATGGTTTAGTATATAAATTTACATTACAAAAAATAATGCCAGATGATGAATTTTCACTACAAAAATTTAAAGGAACAAAAGAATTTGTTAAAAATGTAGTTACACAAAATGTGGCAAATTATAAAGAAAAACAACAAATTGTTAATTTAAAACAAAGCTCAATAAAAAATTAATTTTAATTTATTTGCATCCACGGAAGGTTTTGATACAAATGGGGGTAAATTCAAATCTGTTATAAATTGATAAATTTTAAATATTTTAGTTTATATTTTATTGCACCATTTTTAATGCTTTCTACCGATTATAAAGTTCTAACTGAGTTAGATACTAATTAAAAATTTAGAATACATAAACCTATATTATATGAAAGAAGTGCCGAAATCATATTTTTCCTTACTTTCATGGACTGGCTAGGAATGGTTAATTTTCTTGAGTGGTTGATGTTTGTTGATTTTTGCCGTAAGGAAAATGGTGCAAAAGGATTCTACACTAATGGTTCTACACTAGTGCTGGGGGTACTTTTCCGTTATGCCACCTCCCCCAAAATTAATGCTCAAAATGTCATACATGGGATAATAAAAGGTGCTGAGTCGAACGGTACCACTACCAATTTCAGGAAATTACTGTGGACCGAGTTATAGGTCCCCGAAAATCGAAAAACCGTAGGGGGGAGGGGAGTAAGCTCGATTTTGGGTAAAAAATTCGAATATGCAAATAATACCTCATTCGAAAGAGCTCGTCGAGCTGAGTCGAATGACACCAAAATCAACGTAGTCGAACCAGTTTGGACTGAGTTACAATACAAAAAATTGTGTGGTTCTTCAATTTTTAGGGACCTGTATCTCGGTCAAATCAAATCAGATTTCGGAGATTTTGGTGTCTATCGACTCAGTTCGATGTGCTCTTTTGAATCACTCTTATTTGCGTATTCGAATTTTTTACCCCAAAATTACCGTATTTTTCCCAATAGAAGCGCATGCGCTTCTATTTTTCAACCTCCTCGCAGACTGCGCTTCTATTGGGACGTGCGCTTCAAATGGGACGTGCGCTTTTATTTTTCAACTCCTATACGAATTGTTAAATCCGGGATTGTCGTCCGCATTTGTCGTCTGTAATTGTAATATCCGTAATCGTCGTTCGCAATTATCGTCCGCAATCGTCGAATCAACACGTGCGTATCCGCAATTGTCGTAACACCGTTTAAAATAGCAACTATTTATGTAACAGAGTAATTGCTCAAATAAAATATTCATAGGGTGCGCTTCTAATAGGACGTGCGCTTCTAATGGGACCTGCGCTTGTATTTTTCAACCTCCTCGTAGACTGCGCTTCTAATGGGACGTGCGCTTCAAATAGGACGTGCGCTTCTATTGGGAAAAATACGGTACCCTATGGTTTTTGACCATTCCGAGCCCTCATCTAAATCCACAAACATCTCCGGGGAAAAAGAGTGGTACCGTTCGACTCAGCACCTTTTATTACCCCATATATGACATTTTGAGCATTAATTTTGGGGGAGGTGGCATAACGGAAAAGTACCGTGCTGGGTTCTACACTAATACTTAAACCTATTCCTTTTTGTGATTTCTATGGTCGCAACTTGGTCTTTAATTATGTTATTTCTGTTTACGTAAAAAAGGTGATCCTTTTGCAACTTTTGCGTGCGGCGAAATCAACAAACATTAAAAATGAAAAATGACCATTTCAATAAAATAAGGAAAAATATGATTCCTGCACTCCTTTCATAGAGTGCCAGAATTGATCTGGGCCCACTCGATGAGTTGAAAAAATTCCGCACAGGATCTCGGAAATGCGCTTTTCCGCACATTAATTGTAGTTTTTTTTAAATTTTCTTAAAATTTGCTTTCAAAATTCTTGTAAGAATATGGCCTTTTAAAAGTAAAAAAATCGCCTTGCAATGTTTATAAATATTTTCGCGCTCTTCATCACAATAATTTCAATTGTTTTGCCCTTTCAACAAACGGTCTATTTTTTCTCTTTTTCTTCTACATATGGTCATTTCCTCTGTGAGGGAAGAGTAAAAGAGTAACGGAGGTGAAAGGGGAAGGGGCAACACAAGATTTTGTATTGACCCACCCACTCGATAAGTTGAAAAATGCGATTGTATGTACACTGCTCCACATAACTATAAGTTCACCCTAAATTTTCGTTTTTCTTAGCTTCTTTCAAATCAATCCGGCTGATTTTTATTTTATATTTATTAAAGCGGGTGTCAATTCAATTAAACCCGAGAAATCGAAAAAATTTCCATTTAAAAATTTTTTATCCAATTTTTTCAAAAAACACCCTCCACATAACTATAAGTTCACCTACAGAAATCACATAAGGAATGCTTGAAAAATTCTACAAAAATTCATGCACACATTTTCATCGATAATACAGGGTGACAAAAAAGTAACCGGGCACTTTATTTTTGGCATAACTTTTTTCAAATTAAAGATAATGAGATCAAATAAGGATGAAATTATAGAGAAATAAATGGAGAATAAAATATAAAAATCTTTTAAAATTTTCTCTATTCTACTTTGAGATAAGGTTCAAGGAAAGTGAGAAAAATTATTGCTCCAGGTCGCACCTTTTTTTGAGACATTTTGTCTATAACATAAGAATAGATTGCAGGAATTACACAAAATTTTTTCTGGCATCTAGAGTAGTCTTTTATCTATAGAAATCATAAAGCAAAAAATTTTTTAGATTAACGCCTAAAGAGATATTCGATTGCGCGTAACCCTCCCAAAATGAGAAAATCGCATTCCCCCCAAAACTGATTTACATATACTCAGAGCCATCCATGTAGGAGTTGAAATTTTCATCTTTCGGATTTGTCCGGTTCGCTAATGATCTTAATTAAATTCTGTTGAGACCATCCCGTTTGGACTTCTCTTTTCTGAGATACAGAAAATAAAATTTTAGGGGGAAAATTTTGACATGGTGCACCTAAAATTACATAACTTTCTTAATCCTTAATCAAAAAATTTTTAATTTTACTATATGATAGAGAAATAAATGGGCTACAAAATAACCTTGGAATTATCTAAAAATGATATGAACAAAAAAAGTTATAAAGGATAGAAAAGTGCCCGGTTACTTTTTTGTCACCCTGTAAGTAAAAAATAAAAAAGAACGAAGTCTGTACGTGCTTTTTTCATCGAGATCCAAAATCTCGAAAATCAACGGGAAATGGGGGCTACAGTACTTTAAAAATATTTTTACAAGTGTAGACTGTACATAAAATTTTTTATTATAGTCCATCTGAAAGCCCACAAAATTTGCTACAAAAAACAGTTGGTCCAATTCAGGAATAAAATTCTACCTTCGAGGAGCCTTGGGTTAAATGAGATGATGAATAAATTCTCCCAAATCACCCCACAAAATGTCATTATTTCGAGTTTCTAAATTTAACCTGTGTCTCCTCAGTGATAAAATTTTTCCCTATGACAGGACCAACTGTTTTTTGTAGCAAATTTTGTGGGCTTTCAGATGGACTATAATAAAAAATTTTATGTACAGTCTACACTTGTAAAAATATTTTTAAAGTACTGTAGCCCCCATTTCCCGTTGATTTTCGAGATTTTGGATCTCGATGAAAAAAGCACGTACAGACTTCGTTCTTTTTTATTTTTTACTTATTATCGATGAAAATGTTTGCATGAATTTTTGTAGAATTTTTCAAGCATTCCTTATGTGATTTCTGTAGGTGAACTTATAGTTATGTGGAGGGTGTTTTTTGAAAAAATTGGATAAAAAATTTTTAAATGGAAATTTTTTCGATTTCTCGGGTTTAATTGAATTGACACCCGCTTTAATAAATATAAAATAAAAATCAGCCGGATTGATTTGAAAGAAGCTAAGAAAAACGAAAATTTAGGGTGAACTTATAGTTATGTGGAGCAGTTTATAAATATTTCGGTATAATTTCGGAAAACGAACAGAGCCGAAATAAATCGAAATATATGTCATTCGAAAGAGCTCGTCGAGTTGAGTCGAATGGTGAAAAAATTTTCGTGCGGACTCATAAAGGGGCTGAGATATAGGTCCGCTAAAATCGAAAAACCATAGGGGGGACCAAGCTGATTTTTGGGGTCAAAAATTCGAAAATGAAAATGATACCTCATTCGAAAGAGCTCTTCGAGCTGAGTCGAATGACACCAAAATCAACGAAATCTGACTTGATTTGACAAAGTTATGATCGTTTGTTTTAGCTCCTTACCTTTGGTATCCGTCGAGGTTTTTCCTGCTACGGAGGAAGCCAGATAACCCATTACAGCGATAATTGGAATAGGATTAAGTTACGAGCCCAGAACCCATCGCCCGTAGACTCCCCGCGAGGCGCGTGCCGCAAAACCCCGCGCGAAGCGCGGGGTTTTGCACAAGCGCCTCGCCTACGCCCCTTAGGTTTACGTTGACCATTTTGAGCCTCTATCTCGGCTCAGAATTAAGATTTCGAGTTGATTTTGGTGTCATTCGACTCAGCTCGACGTGCTCTTTCGAATGAGCTATTATTTGCATTTTCGAAATTTTCACCCCAAAAAAGTGCTTGGTCCCCCCTATGGTTTTTCGATTTTCGGGGGCCTATATCTCAGCCCCTGTATGAGTCTGCACGAAAATTTTTTCACCATTCGACTCAACTCGACGAGCTCTTTCGAATGACATATAATTCGACTTATTTCGGATCTGTTCGTTTTCCGAAATTATTCCAATATTTCCTTTTTAGTTTTGTTTTTGTTGTTTTTTTTTTGACTTTTATTGAAACTTCCAAAAAATTTATGTATCCCGAGATAAAAATAGAAGTTTAGGCGCTTTTCTTTCCGCAGAATGTTTTTAACTCCCAAAATCACCCCTCGTTTTTGTCACGTTCCATTTCTTCAATTTTTTGTTTTCTCATTTTGTATTTCAAAAAAACGTTAATAGATACATACCTATAATATTAAATTTATTAAACTTATTTTCTTCAAAAATTCACTTGGTTTTATTTACTTTATGGTTACTTTCACCCATTTAAAGACACGCATAATTCATTCCAAGGATCCTCTACAAAATTGTTCACAATTATTGGTTAGTTTTTGACTTTTTTAAAGTAGGAGGTTTATGTCCTACTCAAAGGGTGGTTTTTTATTGTTTTTACTTTGTACATTGGCATGAGTACATATGAAGTTTGTTATGTTTTAAACAATGCTCACTCGTGGACCTTCCTCAGATAGTTATAGTAAGGCGACCGGCCTACATATTAACGGAGTGTATCACATGAAACTGCTCACCGCAATAGAGTTGAGATAGATTTTCAAAAAAACATTTTTAAGGGCTCTGGTATTTTGTTTATTTTTATTAAATTTTGGGGTATACTTGAGTTGGTATCGTGTTATCTCGCCAAAAGCTTGACTCGCCAAAGCTTGACTCGCCAAAAGCTTGTTTCGCCAAACCCCCAAAAGCTGTTGACTCGCCAAACCGTGGAAAAAAGCTTGTTTTGCCAAATAAATACCAAAACTATTATTAAATTTTTTACTAAAACTGTAGAATTTTTTACTATTTATCTCCCGGCAGAATAACTTGTTGCTTTTAGCCTGTTGGTTTTTAGTCTTCGCTGGAAAAACTTTTTGTGCCAAGCTGATTTTTGGGGTCAGAAAATTCGAATATGCAAATAATAGCTCATTCGAAAGGGCTCGACGAGCTGAGTTGAATGACACCAAGATCAGCTCGATTGGATGATTCTGAACAAAGTTATGAACAACAGAATCTTCGCTGGAAAAACTGTTTTTGTGCTGCTACGGAGGGTAGGCCGGGCATGGTCTTCGCTACACGATGGCCGTGCTTCGCTGCGGTCGTGCTCGCTTCGCTCGCGGCGACCGTAGCGAAGCGGCGGCTGTCGTTCCGCTCGACATGCCCGGCTTCCTCCGCAGCGGCAAAAACTTTTTTCCGCGTAGGCATTATGTTAGAGGTTTCCATACTTTGGTATTATGAAGGATTTTGGAGGAGGATTATATTATACACAAAGAGGAGTTTTATGAAATTTTTCCACGGTTTGGCAATTCAACAGCTTTTGGGGGTTTGGCAAGACAAGCTTTTGGCGAGATAAAACGTGCCGCTTGAGTTTGATTTTTCTGGTATGAGATTTTCTTGTATCCGTTCAGATTTCCATGTTAGCAAAGTTTGCATACTTTTTCTGTACATGCTTTTTTTACTTCAATTCCCAACAATTGGAGTTCCAAATTTTTTAAATCTTTTCTCTGATTTTTCTAAAAAATTTTCCCCTTTCCTTCGTTTATTTTTCTTATTAAATAAATGGAAAAATTTCGGAATACTAAACAGAACGCAAATGGGTCAAACGATATGTCATTCGAAAGAGCTCGTCGAGTTGAGTCGAATGGTGAAAAAATTTTCGTGCGGACTCATACAGGGGCTGAGATATAGGCCCCCGAAAATAGAAAAACCATAGGGGGGACCAAGCACTTTTTTGGGGTGAAAAATTCGAATATGCAAATTATACCTCATTCGAAAGAGCTCGTCGAGCTGAGTCGAATGACACCAAAATCAGCTCGATATCTTAATATTGAGCCAAGATAAAAAGGTTCAAAATGGTCAACGTAAACCTATGGGGCGTAGGCGAGGCGCTTGTGCAAAACCCCGCGCTTCGCGCGGGGTTTTGCGGCACGCGCCTCGCGGGGAGTCTACGGGCTCTGGGTCTGGGCCCGTAACATAAACCTATTCCTATCTCCCTTACTCTGGACGTACTTGGGGCCTCCGTAGCAGCAAAAACCTCACAATGACCATAGGTAAGGAGCTAAAACAAACGATCATAACTTTGTCAAATCAAGTCGGATTTCGGTAATTTTGGTGTCATTCAACTCAGCTCGATGAGCTGAGTCGAATGAGCTATTATTTGCATATTCGAATTTTTTGACCCCAAAAATTTTCAAATTTCGGGGGTCTGTAACTCGGCTATATAAAGTCGGATTTTATTGATTTAGGTGTCATTCGACTCAGCTCGAGGAGCTCTTTCGAATGAGCTATTATTTTCATATTCGAATTTTTCACCCCAAAAAAGTGCTTAGTCCCCCCTTTGGTTTTTCGATTTTCGGGGGCCTATATCTCAGCCCCTGTATGAGTCCGCACGAAAATTTTTTCACCTTTCGACTCAACTCGACGGGCTCTTTCGAATGACGTATGGTTTGACCCTTTTGCGTTCTGTTTAGTATTCCGAAATTATACCAAATAAATTAGTGGATAGCGAAAGTGCCAACCAACAAGTTTGAACCCCGTGGGCTCTATGTGGAGATTGCGCAAATCAGTATGGAAAATGCCGTCAAGGCGATGATTCGAGGGGAGGGGAAGCCTTCCAAAGGTCACAGGATCGATGCCTGTCTTGGGCTTAACTTTTATTTTTCGCTTTAACTATTAACTTATTTTATTCTTTTTAATGAGGTTCTTTTAGTGGAATTTTTTCGTTAATTTCTATTATTTAATTTCTTTTAAAAAATTTATACTATGTTTCTTTTCTAGTTCCTTTTTTCGTTTCCAAAATTTTCAATTTGGACTACCTATTAGTTAGTTTGCCCAGTCCAAATTTGTTGCGAAGAAAAATTTTTATTAAAAATAAAATTGAAGAAAAAAGAAATGGAGGAGGGGCTGTTTCTGATACTTCCCAGAAGGAACAATTGAATACTTTAACAACAATTAATTCTATGGATAAAATATCAGAATTAAAAAATATTAATTTAAAAGAAAATAGTGGATCAATGTATTCGGTTACTGACAGGCTTGAATTGGAAGAAGAAAGGACTTAGAAAGAGTAGGTTTTTATTTAATAATTGTAAATGAAAAATCAAAATTGAAAATCAGATTAAAAATCAAAATTATTAATTTCGAGAAAAAATTTCTTAATGTCTTCATTGGAGAGTTGTGGTCATGTGATGATGAACAACCTGCTGGGAGCAACATAACAAGACAAACAACAATAACAAGCGTTGAAAGCTTCGTCAACAAAGCTTTATCATCAACACTTACACCCACAACCTCTACCTCAACAAAATACAACAACAAACACAAATATTACTGAAACAACTTCAACAGTAACAGAATTGAGTGAATTAGTTACTTATGTGGGCTATAAAAATATTTTTATTTAAAAATATTTTTTTATTTTAAAGATGCGTGCTATGTGAAAAATAATAAGCTTTGAACGTTGTAATGAGCGTCAAATTAGCACGGAGTTATTTAGGTTATTTAGGTACTTTTCGCTTATCTCCCACCATTTTTCTTTTGGCTGTACTTTAGTATAGGTCCACCGAGATCGGAACTCATAATATATACCATTCGATTCGTTTCGCCGAGCTGAGTTCAAATATGCAAGAATTTTCTGCGGGACGCGAAAACTCGCAAAGATACAGGCGCTTGAAAATCGAAAAACCATAGGGGGGACCAAGCTCGATTTTGGGGTGAAAAATTCAATATGCAAATTATACCTCATTCGAAAGAGCTCGTCGAGCTGAGTCGAATGACACCAAAATCAACAAAATCCGACATGATTTGACAAAGTTATGACCGTTTGTTTTAGCTCCTTACCTATGGCATCTGTGGAGATTTTTGCTGCTGCGGAGACCCCAAATACGTCCAGAGCAAGGGAGATAGGAATAGGTTTATGTTACGAGCCCAGACCCAGCGCCCGTAGACTCCCCGCGAGGCGCGTGCCGCAAAACTCCGCGCGAAGCGCGGAGTTTTGCACAAGCGCCTCGCCGACGCTCCATAGGTTTAGGTATTTTGTTTTTTGCGTCGTAACTTTTTCTAATCTTGTTCAATCACGGTGATTTTGGTGTCATTCGACTCAGCTCATCGAGCTCTTTCGAATGAGGTATAATTTGCATATTCGAATTTTTCACCCCAAAATCGAGCTTGGTCCCCCCTATGGTTTTTCGATTTTCAAGCGCCTGTATCTTTGCGAGTTTTCGCGTCCCGCAGAAAATTCTTGCATATTTGAACTCAGCTCGGCGAGACGAATCGAATGGTATATATTATGAGTTCCGATCTCGGTGGACCTATACTAAAGCGACCCCTTTCTTTTTACCAAATTTGATTGACTATATTATAACTTTTTTATGCTTGACCCAATCCGAATGAATCCCATATCATTCAAAAGCCCTCGATAAGCACTATCTTTTACCCAACTGTATGGATTATTATAAAATTTTATAATTATTTAATTATAAAATTAATTATTAAATAGTTATAGTATCGGGAAGAATTTAGTAACCATAATATACGACAAGTTATACGTGTTTATCCCAAAGGGTTGGTATATTTTTTTAAATAATCTTTAATTAAAAATATTAAAGATCCTGTGTTGATTCAAGCAACCAAAGAAGGTTTTCAAATTAATTTCTGAACAATCCAAACCTCAGGTTTTTTGGAAATAATTATTATTTTTTTATTATTATTCTAGTCTGCTTTAAATATTTTACTGAATGAGAGTGGAAAAAGGTAAGATATTAGTTTCCTTTTCTATTTATTTAATCAAGACCCAGGATGCCCAAAAGGTCAAATCCAAATATTTGGGAGATAAAGAAGGATTTGTGCTGATTAAGAAAGGCTTATGGGCTAAGGGGGATTTCAGTGGATTTGGGCGGATTAAGATGGATTTTCTGGGATTAAAGGGACATGAGAAGGAAATTCTCTTGTGCAACTTTCAACTAAGGTAAAAGAAAGGAAGCAAACGTATTCTTGATACTGATTAACCTTTATCCACCCAAATGGATTTGACCTTCTGGGTAATTTGACCAATAAGGACTCGACCTCCTGGGCTTAACCTTCTGCAATTTCCATTTCAATGGAGTAATGAAAAATGATTTGACTCTTCTCTAGGGATAGGATCTAAAATATGATGTTGATCATATGCTTTGGATATACAGGGGCATTCGATATAAAGCGATTCGATATACAGGAAATACAATAAAAATGGTGTCGATATACGAGGTTGACCCTGTTTTTACTATTTTAAAATGGTATTACCGCAAGCTGCTACTATTTTATTTTTCTTCTCCTTAGTTATCAGTTCTCCAAAATGTGTAAACATGGGTTTAAGGAACATACTAAGGATCAAATAATTTGAAAATATAAAGGAGATGAAAAATAAAAAATGGTGGCAGCTAATGCGATAGTACCTATAAAATAACTGAACAAGTTTTTGTACAAAGATTTATTATACTAAAACTTTTGGAATGAAAGGTTTTTGTAACAATGATTTATTGATTTTATGTAGAAAATATACTATTTGAAAACATAATTTAAGAATATTTTCTTAAAATTCTCTCCTCATTTCGATTGCATCTGTTTAAGATGAATTGGTTCAGTAGACAGGTTTGTCGATTCCATTTCCTGATCAACAACTTCAGTACTAAATGACACTCCATCATCATTTTCAAGTTCTGATCGATCCTCTATAAATAACAATCAAATTTTAAAGAAAAGATTTTCCAAAGAATTTTTAATTTTGTTAAAATTTTTATCTCGTGTATCTTTAACTTGTATCAAATAAAACTTATAAAATTAACTCTTATAAAAAGGTATTTCGATTATGGGTATGTGTGGAAATTTCGTGAAAAGATTGTAAAATCGAGACTTTTTAACAATTGCAACTTAAGCAAAAATTAATGGTCTTCGAAATGAGTTTAAATCAGGGTTTCGATATCTGCAGATTTTACCTTATTTTGTGGTTTTTTGATAGGGCGATGAGGATTATTTTTAAAAATGCGGATTGGAGGATTTTTGTGGTCTTTTGAAGATTATTGAGGATTTTTTATATTTTCTTGTAGTTTTTAGCATAAAATGTCATTATTTTTCTGCTAAGACCTCTAAAATCCTCAAAATTTTTGCCTGCGGCGCTGAAAAGGGAAGAAATCTGGCTTGACCTTCCAAAATTCTCAAAATTTTCGCCTGCGGCGCAAAAAAGGAAGGAATCTGTGTCCTTGATCTTCCAAAATCCTCAAAATTTTTTGCCTGGCCTGAAAATGAAAGATTTTTGGCTTAAGGATCTTCCAAAAATAAAAAAAATTTTTGCCTGCGGCGCTGAAAATGGAAGAAATAAAAATTTACGACATCTTCCGCGACAAAAATGCAAGCGTAATTTTTCAGATAATTGTCGGATATTCAGACATGATCATTAGTAATAAAAAATTGCTTAATTCAATTGTAGAAGACGAAAAATATAATGCATAAAGTGATTTTAATTCAATTTTTGTGTTTAATAATTTTTTGCGGATTTTTGATATAAAATGCGGATTTTTTCTATCAAATTTGCGGATTTTTAAAAATTCGAGATCGAAAAGATCGAAAAACGGCGCGCTTATCCTCACATGGTAAAGACGAAAATTATTCGCGGCAATTGGTAAAGGGGTTACAAATGATTATAACCTCGTCTAATTAATTCTAATCACGTGGTTCTATTTTTACTTGGCTAGACTTTTGCAACTTATTATGTAAAGTAAACGAGCTCAACTTTTAGTTATAGATACACGATTTTTATTTAAGAAAAAATTTTAGAAATTAAAATTAAGAAACTTTAAAGCAAAGGTGAAGAAAATAATATAAAAGTCAGGCCTGAAACAAATCGTGGGTGTCTGGTGATTTCGCCAACATGCATTTATGCAAAGTTAAATGGGCAGTGAACGATATGGGCAGATTTTGGCAGAGAGCAATTTGAGTAACAATAGAAAAATAATTATTGCTGATTTGGACAGCAATTTATTTCGTTTACATATCTTATGCTTTTTTAAAAATATAAGTTAATACCAAAATACTCCATAATTATTTTTTTAATGTTACTCAAATTGTTTTTGTAATAAAAAATATTTTTAAAAAGTTTACTGCCCAAAACACTCACTGCCCCTCACAGTCCAAGTCGTTCACTGCCCAATTCACTTCTGGCGAGATCACACGGCACCAAACAAATAAGTCGATTTAAATCAAGTTCAACTTCCTTCACCTCGATTAGAATATAAATAGAAAAACTTGACCCTATTGAAAGTAAGGGTGTTCGTTTTTTCCCTTCATTTTTCCTTTCCATATTTTTCCTTAATTTTTACATAATGGACAGACCTTTTCCCTCGTTCACTACTAATGAACTTCCCTGTGGCCAAAGCACGGACATACGAAACGTATACAAACAAAACACGGACAAAACCAGGGCAGTAAAAACACAAACACAAAACACGCACAGACGAAACATGCAGACAAAACGCGTACAAATAAAACACGGACAAACAAAACACGGACAAACAAAACACGGACAAACAAAACACGAACATACAAAACACGGGCAGTCAAAACACAAAACACGCACAGGCGAAACACGCACAAACACAAACAAACAAAACACGGACAAACAAAACACGGACAAACAAAACAGACAAACAAAACACAGACAAACAAAACACGGACAAACAAAACACGGACAAACAAAACACGGACAAACAAAACACAAACAAACAAAACACGGACAAACAAAACACAGACAAACAAAACACAGACAAACAAAACACAGACAAACAAAACACGGAGCAGTCAAAACACGCACAAACACGGACAAACAAAACACGGACAAACACGGACAAACAAAACACGGACAAACAAAACCAGGGCAGTCAAAACAAACACAAAACACGCACAAACGAAACACGGACAGACAAAACACGGGCATCAAAACACAAAACACGCACAGACAAAACGCGTACAAACAAAACACGGACAAACAAAAATGGTCTTTTTTCCTTACGGCAAACATTAAATTTAAATAGTAAGGAAAATGAACCTTCTAACAAGGAACCATCGTCTAATGAAAACAGAAATTTTGTATATTTTTGGTATCATTCGATAAAGGATCCTCGATTTACTGTCGTTGAATGCGGGTTTTCTTGCAAAATTAGTTTGGGCCGAGTTATGGTCGTTCAAAGTTAGACCACTAGTCTGTAGTTAAAGGGCAAACGATCAACTTTTCGGAAAAATGAAGGAAAAAACCGATTACTCTTACTTTCATATAGAGCCAAAAATTTTAAAAATTAGTTAAATTTGGTCACATATTTATAAGTATAATGAATACCCGACAATGAAGTTTCGCCTGGCTTCTCTCGGTATCTTTCCCACATTTTTGAATCCTTCAATGCTTCTTTAACAGTTTCCGGTTTGATTGTCCGAAATGCTTTGACCATTTTTTTAACTTTCTTCATATAAATCCCAATTTGTTCAATACTATCACAAGTCTTGCCAAGACTAAAACGATGAAGCCTAAATAAAAATTAGCATCAGATGCACTTATGTTAGTGTCCAATGATTTTTATGAATACGTGCTAAAAATTTTGTACAGGCAATCAAAGCATAATACTAATCTGCTTACTAATCGTCATTGTATTTAAATAAATTACAATACAATGACAAGCGGAAAATTATATAGCATCAATCAAAAAACTAATATATTGCACGAAAATGTGATTGGACTCAAAAAAATTTTAATTATAAAAATCGTTTGGGCGTATAAAGTGCATTAGAGGCCAAAATTTTAAAATAATTAAATCAAATTTTAAAAACATTTACAAAATACTCACTCTTCTCCTGAACTATAACCATGACCCAAAATAATTGAGGTAAGTCCATTGTCGACACAGCGAAACGTTTCGTTGAACACAAGAAAATCACAAAATTTTCGAATTTCATCATGTGATGTCAAATGTATTTGCTGATCAAGAGCCAAAAACTTTATACAATAAACGGCTGCTAGGTAAGAATTTTCTGCCGCTTGAATCCAGTCGCCTTTCTTAAAGAGACGATCCGATGTCTTAACAAACTTCTCTGGCGAATACTGCTTAAACATCTAAAATTATAGATTTTTGAAAAACAAAAATATTATTTAAAAGAATAAATTCTAACACAAGTATAGAAGAATAAGAATGTGTTTTTCAAAGAAATTTCAAAAATCAGTCTTTCCTTAAAAACTCAAGAATATCACAATAACTGTTCAAAAGATTGTATACTTAATCTAATAGAAACTTTTTATGCAAAAAAGGACATTTTTGTGTTGTAAACCACTAAAAACGGAGGGGTTTCTTTACTATGAGAAGATCCTAATATCATAATTAAAAAGCAAAGAAAAATAAAATACTTTTTTATATGCATCCCAATCAACAAGCCCATCCTTTTGTGGTTTAGCCATTTCAAGCCAAATGCTACAAATATAAAAGGTCATTAAATTAATTAGCATTAATTCAAAAATGCGTACGGGGATCCTTTAATTTCCCTAAACATCAACTCCTTCACTGCCTTATCTGCATCATCATCATTCGAAAAGTCAACGAAAGCATAATTATTCTAAAATTAGGGAATAAGAATTTTAAAGATCTTGATATTTTTAGTATGGTTAATTTTGTTAATATGTTAAATTCATAGTTAAAATTGAAATGTAACAAAAAGTCTACATGAAAATGTTAAAATCAGCCAGACTTTCAGGAATGACATTAAAACAAAAATTTAACTGTAAATATGCCGAGTGATAAGGATTTAAAAGATTTTGCGAAAATCATAATCTGGAATGGTCTGCCATCTAAATCTCATTAGGAAATAATTCAAACCGTATCCAAAATAAAAAATAATTTGGTGAGTCATTCGAAAAATGTTAGAAGAGGCATATGCCTGAAAGACGACTGATAAAGGGCAAAACCGATAAAATTTCCAAAATTTGTAAAGAAATGACAGGATCAATTTCGGAACACTAAACAGATTCCGATTAGGACATACCTATTATATGTTATTCGACTCAGCTCGGCGAGCTCTTTCGAATGAGGTATAATTTGCATTTTCGAATTTTTCACCCCAAAAAAGTGCTTGGTCCCTCCTATGGTTTTTCGAAATTTAGGGTGCTGTATCTCGGCCCATAGTTACGTCCCAATCGAAATTTTGATGTCATTCAACTCAGCTCGACTAGCCCTTTCGATTGACATATTTGTCCCAATCGGAGTCTGTTTAGTATTCCGAAATTATACCTCAATTTCAATTTTTATAAAAATCGTATCAGTTTTTAAGAATTAAAAATGTTAAATGTAAACTTGTGCAATCCTGATATTGCTTATCTCGCCATAACCAGAGAAAAAAGATATTAAGTCCTTCATGTTGAGATTTTTTGGAATATTCCTCAACTAAATTTGTTTAAATAAAATTTAATTATTTAATTTAAAAAAATACATAAACAGATTTCTGGAGCGGTGAAGAAATAGAAAAGTTTCGGCATACTATTTTTGTCAAAAAATTGTGAAGCATCTCAATAATTAAAAAATAATTTTTGATTGAAATTGAGATAGCTAAGAAAAGAAAAATTAATTTAAAAGAACAGATGAAGTTACAAATGCAAAACAAATATATGTATAAACCATGGGAAATGTTAAAAATTTCCCATAATTTGTCCTTCCCCGAATTCGTCCCATATAAAAATGTACAATAGACTAAAATATTACAAATATGACCAAAAATCAGAATTTTTTGTGGAACGAAATCGGTATGGAAAAATTTGTTTTGCAGCGCTGTAGGCTTGAAAAATTAAAAAATAAATTTGTTATAATTATAAACAATTTGAAAAATCATCTTCATTATAGAAAAACTCTTTATTCATAATGAATTTAAATAGTAAAAGTGAATTTAACTAGATTTTAAAGGAAAAGTCTAATTTCACAAAGGCAAAAATACACCTAAAAATGGGAGGTAATAAAAAAATAGAAAAAAAAGTTTAGTTATGTTCTCCCTCAATTAGAAATCCATTAGTTAAAAGTTCATTCAAATTTTCTAATGATTGTTGATTTTCTAATGGTGGAGGATCTATTTCTTCTTCAGGGATTGGCGCTGGTGGTTTTTTCTAAATAAAAAATTTTTAAAATTAAGGTATTGGAATAAATAGATTTTATTTTAGCGAAAAAGGAAAAAGTGTTAGTTAAAATTGGGAACAGAGCCGAGGCCTCACTATTTAGTTTAGGATAACGGAAGGTTAAAAGAAACCCCGATAAAAATATTTTTCAAAGTAAAGCATTGTCTTTGAAAAGTATCCAGAGGAAGTTTTGAAAAAATAATATGACACCCAGAATTGTTAAAACAGTCAGATCTTGTTTATATATCAACTTGAGTTTGGAATAGTATATTAAGATAAGAGGTATTTCACTTGGGAAGTTACAGCGGCCAAACAAAAATCGACTCGGATAGTTGAAAATCTTCGGATATCGTATCCAGTACCCGAACCGAAAATTTCCTGGTATCCGGCCTTTTTCCGAATCCGGATCTGACAGCCTTAGACTGTGATACATATACAAACTAAATCTGACTGTATTCTGACAGGCTTTAAGATTCTCCCAGAACAAAATGAAAGTGGGAAAAGATTAAAAGCCAAAAAGCACATTTAAAAAAAGAACGAAAAAACAATTTAACGTCGTCCAATGTTTTTTTTTGTATAAACTTAGTCGATTAATTTTAAATTTTATTTATTCAATGTTTTTTCGATCTCAAGCAGAATTAATTTTGAAAAGACAAAAACATTCACAAAACAAAAAAGAAAAACAAAAAATAAAAGCTTTTTAACTAACCAGGGAGAGCGAGTGAGAGGAACATCTCCTTCCGAATATTCCCACTACAAAGGCACAAATGAATTTAAATTTATTTTTTTTTATTTTTTAGCAAGATGAAAGCAATAAATGTAAAGAGATTTTGAATGAAACGAATAAATAAGTAAAAATTTAAGCAAAGGAACCGGGAATATAAAAAGAAATTTCAAAAAAATTTTTTTTAAACTTACCACCTCTCCAGGTTTAGCTCTATAAGTATCAACAGCATCTACTTTGAATTTAAACATTTCGATTAGACAACCTAAAAAGAATTTTTAAATAATTATTTAAAAGTAGAAAAAATAATTTTAAGGATCCAAAGATTTTTTGCAAACAATATTTGTCGACAAATTTTTTTCCGAAAATATCTTCGGAAAAGTCTGATGTATAAAGGGTGGTAACAAAATGTCCAATGTCTGGATTTCAAAATTTTCTTCGGGGTAGTTTAGGTCAACTAGAGAATTTTCATAAAAATTTCCATGAAAAATGTTGGGTTTCGCGTGTCGCGTTTCGGGTCAAAAAAAGTTCGGAAACTCGAATTACCCCTGTTATATAGCTCACAAAAATTTATCTAAATAAAGCAGTTTGTGGAGAACAAAAGCTTTTATTTCGTTTGCTCGTAAATAATGTCAATAAAAATTTCCTCGGAAAAAAACTAGAAAAAGTACAAAACTAACTATAAGCTTTTGGTGTCAGTTTAATTACTGTGTGCAATGGGACATCCAAATAAGGCAACTCTTCACGATTTTTATTATTAAAATAAGCAAGAATACCTTAAAATTTGTTTAAAAATTAAAAATGTTTTAAAGAATTTACAGCGGAGAACAGCTTGATGTGAAACAACAAGGACGTTTGACTGCCTAAAAATTGTTTTAAAAAATTATAAAATTGTTAAACACATTTTTAAAAAGGTTTCTAGTTAGGGTTGTCGTTTAAGAGTCGAATCGGGGGGTCGTTTAAGTTTTTCCAACTCCATAATATCCCAAAAATCAATTTTATAAAGCGAGGCTTTTGAACTATTCTAGCAAACCATAATTTATGATAAGGGAACACCGCGAACTATCACCAAAAATTTTGTTATGTAACACACACCCTCGTGTAGAGAGTGGTCGATAGCCTATCCCCATTTGTGGCTTTTTTTTGCCCCCACTTCGAAAAGTTATAGGTCTTCAAAGTTTTCGACTTTTGGAGCGGTAACTTTCTCCCAATGGATATCCCTCTTTCCTTATTATTTTTTTTCCTAAAGAGAAAAAACTCTTTTTACTTAAAAAGAGGTCAAGCAAAAAAAAACAGAAATTATGTCCCTTCTCTATGGTCAAAAATTCAGGTTTAAATATTTACGAATTTAGATTACCAAAAAATAAAATAAAAACAAACCTTTCCAGCTCCATAATTACAGGCTCTAAACGAGCAACCAAATCTTCATAACTTTCTCCCGATGGATATCTGTAGTGATATTTGTCTTTGTCTCTTTCAATAAATTGTGTTGGATAACGTAATTCAAAATCTTTGTAAGTCAATCCTTCACAAATTCCCTTTAAAAATAAAAAAATTTTATTCAAAAATTCAAAAATATACAGCATCAATTTCATCCAAAACTTTCCAATATTCTACATGTGCAGCCAAATCTTTGAGGTAATTGGCTGTTTGGGCAGCTCTGATTTTTTGAGAACTCCAAATTCGTAAATCACCAATATTCTCATGCTTAAATTTAAAAAATAAAATTTTCTGATTTTATAATTCTAAAAAAGGACAAAATGTCACTTAATGGCTATAACATTTTATTCGACTGGTAATAATTAGAGACAGGCAAAATCGCACTTCCAGGATCACGAGTCGGGATTTTTTCTTAACCGATGCCGGGATCCTGAGGGATAAATCTCAAAAAAATCCCGGATCCCGAAAATAAAAAAAGTCCGGGATTTCGGGATCCCGGAAAATACCGTCGGGATCCCGTCCCACGCCGGTCTCTAGTAAAAATAATTTACTAGTAATTTTGTTACCTAAGCATTTTATAATATTTAATTTGTTTAAAAAAATTTATATCTCAAATAACAAAAAAATTAAAAACCTGAAAATATCCATGCAGTTTTTGTGCATAATTAATACCATTTTCGCTAAGGGGACTGTCCCCTCCTAATCTCCCAATTCTATTATATTCACTCTCTCCATGCTTAAAATAAAAATTAAAAAAAATCTTTAAAAATTAATTTACCCTTGTTAAATAAATTGAACGAGGCAATAAATGAATATTCATCAAAAAATAGACTACTCGACTTTGGACGTGACCATTTACGTTGTGAACATAAAAAGAACGTCCAGCATTAATTACCTTTAAAATTAAAAATAAATAGGCGATAAAAATTATTTTAGATAGACAAAGCTAATTGTCTATGAGTAATTGGAAAATTCAGAATTTCATCCCAAAAGGAATGTGAGGTTCTGATATATGGGGTATTTTAACAAAACTTATCACAGTAAGAGACCCAACGTCAGAAAAATTTTTAAGCCTCGAAAATTTTTTTCAAAAGAAAATAACAAACCTTAATATAAGAAAGGTCGTCATCAATATCGTCATTTAAAGGCTCATATTGAATTTTATAATTTTCAATTCGTTTTAAAAAATCTTGACGTGCTTCTTCTTCAGTCATTTTTCCCATATAATCGGGAGAACTTATTTTGACTTCCTAAAAATTTAAAATAAAAGTTTTTGAAATTTTAATAAATTTCAATGTTTCTTTTTATTTGGGAATGTCGATCTCGAATCCGACATTATGTAATTATCTATTTGTTTCAGAAAAATATAATTTTTCTTTGAAGGAAAGAGTTGTTTAATTTTCTAATAAATTAATCAACAAAATATTAGTGTTTCACAGGAACCGGTATTCTGACCGAAGCCGGATCCAATTTGAGTTCCGGTTCCCGGAACCAGAAAAACACAGGAACTTTCCGGAACCGGAAAGGTCCGGTGAATCTACAAAATATATTATTCGTGTTCAACATTGCCTAAAAACAACAAAAAAATTGCCAAAAAATTAATTTCTTTAATTAAAAAAAGAAGAGCGAACTTCTCTCTTCAAAAAAACTTTTAAAAAACTAACCGCAATATTCGAATTAATAATTTCTGGATCGTCACAAATACTTTCAATAAAAAATATTCGAAATTTTGGCTCCCTTTCCCCTTCCTGACAAAAATCGACTAGCCACCTTCTCCTTTCCCTTGTTGTATTTGTTGCATCAAAAATCTTTAAAAAAATTTTTTTTATTTTAAAAAAACCTTCACAAACCGCAACTTCTCCCTCTTTATTTTCCAAATATCTACCCATATCTTCCATTGCAAGTTTGGCACAGTGGCTTAAAAATAAAATTTTTTTAATCTTTTAAAAATTATAATTAACTCTCGAATTTGTGTTCCTTGTTCATTAAGTGGACTAAAAAAATCTGAAGCACCTTGTTGAAAAAAATCACAGGCTTGGCGTCTATATTCACCAACATTAAAGGCTAAAAATTTTATTTTTAAATAAATTTGAAGAAAAATGAATGGAAAATGAATTTTTGAGATCTTCAATCTCGTAAAAATTAAAATAATGTTTTCGATTAGTCTGGAAGGAAATTTGAATTGTCAGACAGATCTGGGAGAAAACAGAAAGTTTCAAACCCGAAATAGATAGTCATTAATTACATTATTAGTGATCGAGATGTTAACAAGTATGAGTAAAGTACTAATTTTCGAAAACTCTTAATGGGTAGGAGCATGGATCGAAAAACCCCAGCCGTATGAAAACACCCTAAATATCCAAAACGTCTAGGTAATCTACACAAACACCGACATTTCGATTTGTAGAAAATTTTAGTTTAATGAACAAACTAAATTTTCAATAAATATTAAAATACCTTTAGTTTTAATTCCAATCCAATTCAAATATCTACAAAGTTTGTGGGAAATATCTTTAAAAAAATTTAAATTAGATCAGATTTTAGTGAATTTTTCTCATCCTAAACTTTTTAACTCTCCCTCTAAAAATGACTTTGAAAACGATCAAAGCCAAAAATGGGAAAGTTTGGATGAAATAAAAATTCAAAGACATTTTTTTGTTCTTACAAGTTTTTCCCCTAGCAGGCAATCCAACCAAAGCAATGACATTAGGTACCCGTACTTGATCGCGTGTTGAATCTAAAATTAATTTTTAGAAAAATGTTTTTTTAATTAATAATATAATTTGTTTACACTGATGAACTCTTGTATGCATCTTTTGTGTTTTTACAAATAGTTAAGATTAGGTAGAATTATATTTCTAGTTAATTTACAAAATAATTATTTTTATGTACATTTATTTTATCTAGAAAAATTATGGTATATTCATTTATTGGAAAAAGAAAATAGTAACAGGAAATATTTACAAGGACAAATATTAAAGTAATTAATTAACAAAAAACTGTCCGCAATTAACAAAAAAATGTCCGCAAAATAAATCCGCAAAAAATAAAAAACATTTCGCCAAATTATTCTAAAATTTGAAAATGTCAGAACTTGAACAAAAGTTGCAGTGCAATCCTTCCCAAAATCAGCAACTCATTAAACATCCCAAACTTTAATTTCCTTACCTTGAATTCCTTTAACTTCAAAATATGTCATCTTTCTTTGTGGCACTATTCGACCCATCTTTTATTTTTAAACAAGTGTCAATTTATGAAATAAAGTCGAATCTCGGTTTTAAATATTAATTTTTATTTGTTTTTTCTGATTATTTAATATTTTTTTCTAAAACTTATCTAATGTGTGTTTTTATTTTCCCATTTATTTAATTAACCTCAATTTTCTATCAAAACCTAAATATTTTATTACAACACAAACATGTGTTTAATCAAAATAAATCAATTAATGACGAGTTAAAGATAAAATATAAAAAGATAGAGAAGGTAAAGAATAGGGGGAATTATTGGGTACTTTGGCCTTTAATGTTGTACATATATTTGGTTTTTTGGGGTTTTTTTGAAAACCTTTTTCTTTGGTTTTTTTTGAAAAACGGAAAAAAAACTCGTCTGGGAGAATTAATTATTGTTTAAGGAAAATTGGGGAATAAAAGAAATTAGGAAATTGAATTTTCCATGATCAGAAGAAAAGGTGATTTTTATACAATCAAGCTGCATTTTTAGATACTTCTTAAGGAAGAAAAAATCGTACTTTATATAATGTTAGTGACAATTTGAGTTTACAGTTAGTGACAACTTTGCACCCAGTGTCCAGCCAAATTGATTAATTAGGCGTGTCTTGGTGTGTCTTAAATTTTAGGTGTGTCTTGTGGGAGTATTTAAAAGTTAGTGCGTAATTTTATAAGATTCGAGTACCCTAACTACCCTAGCAAGTGAATAACCAAATATAAAGTTTATTCTAAAATTAATAACAAGACCTGAAAACAATTGTTTTTTTGTCTGAACGCGAAATTTATTTTTCTTTTATTTTTTTTTCTTTTAACTTCCTTTCTTCCCCGCTCACATAGTTAACTCCTAAAAATTGATAAAAATATTCAATTTAAAAAATATTAAAAAAAACCAACCATTATAGCATTAACCAAATCATTATCAGCTTTTCGGAGCGCTTTTATTGCTTTGTTTCTAGAAACATTCGCTTGCGACATAACTAACTCAATATCCTTTTCCTCAATTCCAGTGGCATCCACCTAAATATTTAAAAGTCTTTTACTTGTTCCTGAGGGAAAAATTGAAAACAATGCTTAACTTGGATTTTCCCTCCAAACATTTTCTACACCTTGTTCGAGGATTTTTTTGAGAATATCCACCAACCAGTATTTTACTTATAGTCCGCATCAAAAAAGAAAAAGCTAATCGAGTTAATAAGCCACCTAATGTGAGAAGCTCACTCCCAAGTTACCCTTCTAAATTAAAAAAAGATAAACCTCTTCCTCATCACTTTCCTCCTCCGGTTGAGCCATTCTGTTACGCACATCACGAATAATTGAAGGAGGCTTCAAATTCTCAACATCAGTAATTTGCGCATGTTGAGCCAAATCTTCAATCTTTGCTTCACCAAAAACAATATAAGTGTCAGAACCAGGGCTTTTATAGACATCTGGTTTGTTGATAACAAAAAGAATATTCTTGGATTTGCGAATGCAGACACGAGAAACGCCATGAACTTGTTTAAGGCCTAATAAAGAATTAGAAAAATATGTAAAATTAATTTAAATTTTATATACCAAGTTTGCTGAACAGCTTACGTGCCTTCTTCTCAGAACGCGATTGCTTGGCACCCTTATCAGTCACCTAGAAATTAAAAATAAATCATATCAGTACTATAAGCGATCGAGATTCAAATAGACATGGAAACCGGGGGATACCAAGAAATTCCAATGATAATTAAATTGAATCGCCCGAATAATCAGAATCAAAACAATCAAAGAAAGCATGTTTTAAAAACCTGTTCAGCAATCCCAGCAGCCTCGGCTACTTTCTTTTGGTCTTCAGTCACTTCCCCTTCCTCCAACTCTGGCACATCCCCATCAGAACTAGAACCATCATCAGCAGATTCTTTCTTCTCATTTTCATCCTTGTTTGGAACAGCGCTAGTAATGTCATCAGCAGTCACCATTTTTTCTTTAATTATTTTCCTGTTAACTGAAAACTTTTAAAATTTAAATTTTATAAAATTAAAGATATTTTTGAAAGTTAAAAACATAATTTTTATAAAAAATAAAAAAAGTCATTTATTTATTGGAAAGTAAATACACAAAATCTTTATTAGAAAACTGGCTTTAAATCTGCCTTTTCTTAAATTTACATTTATTTTCTCACATTATTTAGTCAACTTTGATTAAGAAATATTTTTAATAAAATACATATAAGAGTATTTACTTTAGTTAAACCTAATTTTTGTTAATCTCAAATAGCACAGAACACAATTATTGAATGTTTGGTTAGATAGCTTCAATTTTCTAAATATTTTCACATTTTTTTTAAATTAAAAGACATGGCCATAAATCAAATTCAAAATACTTTTTTCAGATTAGGAGAGGCTTAGAGAATTTTGTAACTTGAGATGAGGGAAGAGGGTCAAGTCCTCGAAAGAAATCAGTTAAGAAAAACATCCTAAAAAATGTGTTCCATAAAGAGATCCTTTTGGTGGTTACCACTCAAAATCTTTATCAAATCTATGGCCATACCCAAAACACATACATAGAATTTATCCGTATTTATTTTCTAATTTTTACTCTTTAAATATCTATTTTTTATTCGTTGCCAAAACCTTCAGTCATCTCAATGGCAGCAGTTAGTTTTTCTGCAAGTTGCTCATAAGAGCGATATGGTGGCAAATCAAGGCGATTAAAACAAGTATGTGAACGTGGCAACCATCCCTCTTTTCCTACCCTTTCAATACAAAATAATTGAGGGCCATTTGAACCAATTAATTCAGCAAAACCGCCAACAGGTACACGACATGTCCTAATCCATTTATATTATTTAAAAAATGAATATCAAAAAATAACAAACCCTGTAACAAATTGTAACAATTTGGAATGTTTTTCTTGATCCAAAGATCGAACAAATTGCCAGAACCACTGAATTTGTTTACTTTGTGGGGCATAATGTCGATAAACAGTATTTCGCTGCCAATCATCTACATCAATATTTTGCATTCCACATAAAAGCAATTCAAGTTCACGCTCATCAAAATACTAAAAAAAATTCTCTAATCTAAATATATTTTCTTTCCAAACCTGTAGCCATTGAAGAGGAAAAATAGATGTAAATCCTTGAAAGAAAGCATTTGTTTGTTGTTCAATTCCTCTATTAAATCTCCATTCTACCAATAATTCTATATATTCAACTTTATTCTCTTCATTAACGGCTATTTCAGTTCCATTTTCTTTTAATTCATGTGTCTTTACTTCACCCAACAATTCATAATCTACCACAAAATATAATTCCATATCACATTCATCAATGTTATTATCACGAACTTAAAAATAAAAATTTATCAATCTTATGCTCTCCCCTCAAAGAAACTGACTCCAAACAATAGAATTGTAAAACTCTGAGTCAACAGATTCCAAATCTTTAAGAGTTATTTTCCGGCTAAGCATCTTTTTGTAAAAAGGAAGAGTAAATCCGCTATAAATAAATTTTCCATGAAACAAAGCCTTTAAATAAAAATATTTTTTGAGGTTTTTAAGCCAAACCATTGCAATAAAACGACCGATAAATTCAAAATATTTTAAATGATCAGGATTTACAAAAGAAGCAGGGTTTATTTGAAGACTATAATTATTTGAATTGGCATATTCGAAGAGACAATACATAGGGTTGAGCACATCATGAGAAAGTAAGAAGAACCATTCTCTGTATAAGTAAAGAAATGAAGGTTTTTAAAACTTATTTGGAGACTCCAACTATCAACCGTTAGGAAACGACCTTCGACTTTTAGGACGAGATATCCCCAAGTACAAAATATGACACACATCAATAGTTTAGTTGAAAAGCATGAAAATAGCCCCAGTATGATTAATTAAAATTATATTATTCAAACAGTAACTAACCTAGCAACACCTCCATAGTCAAGCCCATCTTCTCCTTTAAATTGAATATATAAACGATTACGAAATTCTATTGGACTCTTTCTCATGACCTATTAGAAAATAAATTAAAAATAAATTTGACTTAAAGATAAAACCTCTTGAAACGAATCCTCAAACAGATTTTGACGAGTAACAGAAATTTTTACATGTTTAGGAAAAGCATTAGACTAAAAAACATTTTTGTATTCTTTAAATTAAAAAAACAACTTACATAACACAGATAACGAAATTGAGCAACTTTGTTCTTAAACGTCTTATCCGAAGCCATTTGAAGTCCAGGCCCTCCAAGAGGTCCAACAGGGCGGCCAGTACGAGGATGGTTATAAGTTGTTGACTTAGTATTGTGATCAATGAAGAAAGGAATTCCTTGTTCAGTTATACGCATTTCCCATCCTTCGGGTAGTGGAGCGTTAGGAAGACTGAATTTTTAAAGTTATACTCTTTCAAGAACAAAAAAACCCTTGAGTTCGTGGGTCCTCCCATTGTGTTGTTCGGTTTTGATGATTTACAAAGTAATTTCGTCCAGTGTTGGGTTCTACTCTGCGTTCCCATCCAGTAGGCAATGGACCCAAATGATCCTCTTCTTCAGACTTTAAATTAAAAATTTATTCAACAAACAACTTTTTTAACAAACGTTGTAAAGAAAACGCTGTTCCCATTGACTCATAGCTTGAGAACGATTGGAGTTCCATTGCTCGTGAGCAGCCAGCATATCAAGAGTGGGCCTTTGCCAAGTTGTAGTTCTAGTGTTATGATCAACATAGTAAACACGCCCTCGATTATCACGTCGCGATTCCCAACCTTGGGGTAGAGGTGTATTACTTGGTCTGAAAGCACTAATTTTAACGAATCAAAAATTTAGACTTCACCTGACCCATGTAGTACTTTTAGTCGTGTGGTCAACGTAGTAACGCCTTCCAAACTGGTCTGAACGCATTTCCCAACCTGAAGGAAGTGGCTCTTCACCAGCAACATTAAGAGCAGCCTCCGTTTGTGGCATTATTGTATCACGAGTTTTTGGCGCATTTACAAGTTCCCCATTAGTAACTAATAGAAAAGTTATTAAACAGGAAATTTTACTACCTGCATTTATTCCAGTTGATGTTGACGGCTCGTTACTCTCGTTACTAAAAGTAGCAGGAAGCTCTTGGACTACAGAAGGTGTAGCAGAAGTACCTCGTGTGCCTCCTTAACAATAAAAATGTTCCTATTGTTAGCCGAAATCAAAATTTCATTTAAAGTTCGAGGTAATTCTTGCGTTCGTACCCCCCCCCCTCCTTTTTCCTTCCTCAAAGTATTAAAAATGGTCAGTCTGATATCAAATTATAGAACTCGTCGAGCTGTGTCGAATGACACCAAAATCAACCCCCGGTCTTAACTTTGGGCCGAGATACAGACAAAAAGCCAGCGCAAAGCGCAGGTTTAGCAAAAGCGTCTCACCGACTACAATAGGATTACTTTATGTCATAACTTTGTCAAATCTTGTTCAATTACGTTAATTTTCATGTCATTCAAATCAGCTCGACAAGCTCTTTCGAATGAGCTATTATTTGTTTAATCGAATTTTTATATCAAAAAATCAGCTTGATCCCCCCTTTTATTTTTCAATTTTCTGGGGTCTGTATCTCGGCCCAAAGTTAAGACCTGGAGTTGATTTTGGTATCATTCAACACAGCTCGACGAGTTCTATAATTTGATATCAGACTGACCATTTTTTAATACTTTGAGGAAGGAAATAGGAGGGGGGGGGTACGAACGCAAGAATTACCAAGTTCGATCCAACTTTGGCAACCCAAGACATTCAGAAATAACTAACTAACAACATCGAAATCATGAACATATAGAAACACGGAAAACGAGGACCGGACCCTGATTGATAAGAAAAAGGCAAACCACGTCTAGTCCTTTCAATTGTTCCATTGACATAAACTTTAAGCTCGCCAGTCTTCGATTCACGATCCCTTGCATCTTTTGAGATTAATGGAATAGTTATCTTTACATTGTCAACTAAAAATTTTTTTGAACCAAACATTAACTAAAAAATAATCTTTACATTTGCCATTGTCAGATTCCTTCTTAACCCAATGCATAACCTTTATGGTCTTCGAAGCTATCAAATTGTCATCAAAAAATTTAGTTTTGCTAAAAATTTTGAATTCAATCAAGGAATTCTCTCCAACAATCAAATTAAAAGGCTCATCCCATTGAGGTGAATAAGTTCGCTTTTTGGTACTTGTTCTCTTTGCCAATTCAGCATTTGAGTCAACAATAATCTCTAAATAAACATCTGGAGCTTTGTTGAACAAACCACCGCCATTTAGTCGAGCAGTATGAACTTTAAAAAGAAAATAAATTTAAACAAAAGTTTTGAATATTTTTAAAGAAACCTGTAAGTTGGATAGGAAATGTTCTTGAAGTAGGCTCTTGGATGTTGACATAACCATTTGAGAATACAGAAGCAAAACTGTTGCTGTGTGCCATCAAAAATATAAAAATTTCTTTACGATATACACAGCAACTTAAAAATTGTTAAAAAAAACTTTTTTGTTGATTAACCACAATGAACATATAACAAGGGGAGGAATACTACAAACAATTCTTCTTGAAGTACTCCTCCTTCCAAGATAATTACAAATCAATTTACTTACTAAGAAACCTCTACAATTTCATTTCATACTAATCAAATTTAAATAAAAAGTTAATAAACTAACACCTCGATGACGAATCCTTATCAAAACAACAACTGATTTTAAAACAAACAACTTAAAAAGAGATAAACGTGTGAAACGTCAATAAGTCCCAATTTGGGTGAAAATAGCGTGTAAAATAAAGAGAGACAGTTAGAGAGATTAAAAATACAATGGGAAAGGAAAAAGAAAAATCAAAGAACACAATGACAAATTGAGACCAATTTTAATTTTTTTTTTAAATTTTAGGGAAGGAATTTTCGTAAATCTTTGATTTTTTTGTTGGATTTTTTTCATTTAATTTTGATTTAGTGCTTTATTAAATGCAATTATTGGCAACAGAAGAACTTTATCTTATCAAGTCTGTAAATACAATATTAAAATGTTGTCGAAATACTTCAAATCTTTCTATATTTTATCATTCAGGTTACACATTTTTTTTAATATTTTTTTTATTTTCTTTAGATATAAGTGCACTTGAAGATCTTGAATTAATTGGAGATGTTTTTGCTTTTATTGGTTAGTTTTTTAAAATACTTTCATGAGGAAGAGAAGGATCCAGCTGGATAGCATTTAAAACGCTCACTAGACGGGGGTTTAAGATGGTAAAAGAGAAGGTGAAAGCTGCGTCACGGTAGCTCAGTTGGTAGAGCACCTGTACGTGGTGAGCGAAAGCGTCTAGCAATAACTGCCAGGAGGTCGCAGGGTCGAAGGGGGCCTGCCCGGGATTAAACTTTTACTTCATTAAAAGCTCTTTTTTATAGGTAAAGTTGTGATTGATGGAATTTCCTATCTTTTATTGGTCACTCAATGTTCTGAATTGGGAAAAATTTCTTCAAAAAATGACACAATTTATCGAATAGAAAAAGTCTGTGCTTTGCCTATTTTGGCTGATGGAATGAAATGCAAAACTTTTTTTGAGAATATTGATGGAATTGACAATTTGGAACGTTTAAAAAATCAACCAAAAAAGTTTGCTAAAATGATCTCACACAAAATGCCTATGCGTAATTTACCTATTTCTCCTAAACTTATTGATGAAATTGTAAGTTTTTTATTTAATTTAAATTTATTTTTTGTTTAAAAAGTTCATTAATAGGCTACGCTCCATCCTGGCTACGCTCCCATACCCAAGGGCGTAGCCAAGTTTTAGCACCAGAATCCCTCTGGCCACGCCCTTGCCTATATCTCATCGTTTTTGGGCTAAGACCCTGCACTGCAAGTCTCAACTTCGACAAACTCGAACTCCTTACTACTCTATCCTGAAAAGTCTGGGTCCAACACTCGTTTAAACAATCGCATTTTTCTTGTTATGCTTTTGACCTTTAACTGAAATTGAAATGTATTTTTAGGTTGTATTTTTAAGTCAACCAAACAGTTTTTATTTTGCACATAATTTTGATATTACAAGAAGTTTACAAAGTGCAACATCAAACACTGATTTGTCAGATTCTCGTTTCTTTTGGAATAGGCAATTATTGGATGGTTAATATTTATTTTTTAAATAACAAAATTTTTTAAAATTTTCTTAGAATTTTTTGTTCGTGATGGAACACCAATTCCAGCATTTAAAGATTGGATAACACCAATAATACATGGCTATGTTGATCAACAAACAATTTCTTTTGATATAGACTCCCCTCTGTTAACTCTTACTTTAATTTCTAGACGATCTATTAAAAGGGCGGGTGTTCGCTATTTACGGAGAGGAATTGATGAAGATGGGGATGTTGCCAATTTTGTAGAAACTGAATTTATTGTATGTATGTTTGATCATTGTCTTTCTTTTGTACAGGTTTTTGGATTTAATAGAGGACTATTAAAATTTTATATATTTTTTAGTGTCGTGGTTCAGTCCCAATTTTTTGGAGTCAGAAAGGTTATCGTCTAAAACCTCCACTTGTTATTGACCGCCCTTTGGAGGAATCATTGCCCACTTTTAGCATACACATTGAACAATTATTACATTTATACTCAATTCCACTTGTTATTGTAAATTTAGCTGATCAGACAGGGAGAGAAGCTGTTCTTTGTGATGCTTATCTTCAAGTTTGTTTTATTTCTTTTGGTATAAAGAATTATAAAATAAAGTCAGATCTCACCATAACCCAGTACTAGATACACTCCAGCTTAAGATCATTTTTTAAATTTGATTGCCCACTATGTGGGAAGATGTCCAAGCGATTCCTCTTATCTAACATAAGACACACTTCATTACTTAACGATTTTTCATATCAATTTTTATATTCTAGCGAACTTAAACTTTAGAAGACCTTTTAAATCATTTAAAATTTAGCACATTTTGGCTTTTAATTGTAACAATGTCACCTACCATTCATTCGATTTTCACCGAGTTTGTGGCAATAGACGACATCACAAACTGTCAGAATTAATGGAAACCTTGAAAGAAGAAATTGGATCAATTGGTTTTTGTTGGATTGATAAAAGTGGAAAAGTAGTAATGCGACAGAAAGGAGTAATTAGAACGGTTTGGAATTTAAAAAGTTTTTTGTTGATGATTTTTAAAATTTTTTAAAGAATTGTATTGACTGTCTAGATCGAACTAATGTTGTTCAAAGTGCAATTTCCCAAGCTGTATGTTTAATTCAATGTAGAAAGTTGGGAATTATTGAAGCGGAAGCTAGTGCTCCTGAACAGTTTGTGCGGTTATTACAACGAATGTGGGCAGATCATGGAGATTCGATTTCTAAACAGGTTTTGACTTTCAAATTTCTCAGTAAATTTCTTCTTTAATTTTCTTAATTTTTAGTATGCAGGCACTAGTGCATTGAAGGGAGATATAACTCGAAATGGACAACGTAAAATTTCTGGTTTAGTCAAAGATGGATATAATTCAGCTTCTCGTTATTATTTATCCCAAATGTGTGATGCAAATAGACAACGAGTTATTGATGCTATCTTGGGGTTGTCAATAACAGAAGAAGATGCGTAATTTTGTGGAATGTTTGGGGTATTGGTATTATATACTCAAGAAAATTTCCAAAAAATATTTTTTAAAATCTTGTCAAACTGTATAAGGACTTCTTTATGTTTTCAGAACCGTTTTATGTTTTTCTTCCTTTTTTGATTTTCAAACTTTATTTCAAACAGTTTTGGTCGTTAGGTGTAACGGATGTTAATTGTCTATTAATCGGTTACCTAATTTCATTTTTATTTTTTGGAGAACCTCTATTCGGGCCGGACATTTAGATCTACTTGGGGAATAATAGATTTCCAAAAGAATATTTCCCTCATATATTTTAATCCTTCAAAAACATCCAAAAACTGATGTGTGTTTTTGAAATAATTTGAATCAAAACAAAGAAAAGTCTCTTACCTTCACAATTCAATTTCTATTTTTATTTCTAAAAAAAAATCTTTTCTTTTATATCATCAAAAAGCTTTAGATTTTTATTTTTCTTTAAAAAAAATCCCAATTTTATGCATTTTATTTTTCTTATCAAAATATTTCCTTATCAAAATTCTTGTCTTTTTTGTATTTTTATATATTGACTCCCCTCCCTTCTCTACCAATTTATTTATTTACATATTTTTATAATACAAATTCCTATTTTTCAATGTAAAAATAACCAAAAAAATATTATTTAAAAAAACTCAAAAAATATTTTCCCCTCAATTAAATATTCACTTGTCAATTTTTATCTTTTCTCTCCTGTATTATTTTTTAACAAACATTTTTATTCTAACTGCGATAAATATATAAATTCTTTTATTTGTAAAAAAAAGAAAAAAAGTATTTTTTAATTGTCATTCAATTTAAGCTCTGACTAGAAAATTTTTTTTATTTGTTTATTCACTCGTCTAAAATATAAATCTAAATTTATTTTTTAAGTAAAAAAATTTTTTAATTGAGAGAGCTAAGATTAAATGACACGTAAATTTATTAAAAATCTGTCAATTATTCAATTAAATATTTTTTAACAAACGTAGAGGGTCGATATATGTATAAATATATTTTTTTGATACAGAATTATGTATGCCTCTAAAACAATTGGTTTTTTGTTAGTATTCACAGGAGCTTAAACACGTTTTTGTATATATGTGGAAGAAAGTTAATTTATTGGCGAATAAACTTACAGAGAAAAAAATTTGAAAATTAAAAAGAAAAAATTTTAAGAATATTTTTTACTTTAAAATTCACATTAAATGTAAAATTTTGCAAAAAATATACTTAACTTTCATTTAATTCATCTACACTAAAAAGATCCGAACTTAACTTGTATCTTGCTGTTTTTAATTTTATAAGCGAGCTAACCGACTAAACCACAAATACAACAACAAGTATGCTTAAAACAATTTCTACTTATCTTAAACTCCTGTGATTATTAGCAACAATTTCCAAAAAAAATTTATTTTTTAATCATTATTTACCCACTGTTTTTTTTTCTAATTTTTTTCTAATTTAGTAAATTAATTCCAAATTTATGGCAAATCCACTAAAAAATGCAAAAAATGTTTTAGTTTTAATAACGGGTGCTAGTCGAGGAATTGGGTATGAATTGGCTTTGCAATTTGGACAAATATTTGCTGGGACTCGTTTTCAGTTCTTTTTGTTGGCAAGAAGTAGAGGCGGACTTGAAGAAGTTGCCGAAAAGATTTGTAAAATTAAGTTGGTTTTTGAAAATTTTTAAAAAATGTTTTGTTAATTGTGTCGTTTAAGCTGTATATTTTCCTTGTTTTGATTACATAAACTAGGGAAGCAGCAGATCCAACTGGTCAGCATCTAAAACGTTTACTAGGCGCGGGTTTAATATAAAAAAAGGTACAATCAACCTCAATAACTCAGAGGCCGTAAAATAAGAACTCGGTCATCTGACAATAGTTACCAGACCATGGTCACCTAATTATCGGGGTAATGGTAACTTTACGACCCTCTTATTTTACCGGTAAAAATCGCCGGTTGGTGGTTACACAACCAACAACTGAGTTCTTATTTTACGGCCCCAAAGGGTTGAGTTTTGTACATTGTGAGAGAAAGCGTTTAGCAATAACTGCCAGATTTTTTCATATTTTTTTGTTATTTCTTTTAAAATAAAATATTTAAACAATCAAAAATATTTCCTCCAATTTTTAAAGAAACGCCTCTTCTGGAAATGTCGAAATAGTTGTAGCTGATTTATCCACCCCAGAATGTTCTTCAGCCTTCGAAAACATTCAACAAAAAATAAAAGAATTGGAAACTAAAAATAAATTTGATTTATGTTTAATTATTCACAATGCTGGGACTGTCGGGGATTTAACTAAAAAATCGTCAGAATTAAATGAAATAGAACAATGGCAAAATTATTTACAAACAAATTTATTATCAACAATTTTACTTAATAATTTAATTTATTCGGTTATTTGTAAAGAAGAAAAGGTTTTCTTTTTTTATTTTTTAAAAATTAATTTTCTTTTTAATTTTAAAGAAAATATTTATAATTAATGTAACTTCTTTACTTTCTGTTAAACCTTATCCTTCATTTACTCAATATTCTGTTGGGAAGGCTGCTAGAGAGGTTTCTTTTTTAATTTTTCTGTTTAAAAATTTTTAAGAAAAATTTTTTGTTTTAAAATATTTCTTTAATTTTAATGAAAAATATTATTTTAAAAAATATTTGGAATTAAAAGAAAATTTGAACCGGCAACTAAAAATACATTTTTAATTAACTATTTTCCGTCCCTTTATCAATCTTAATTTCTAATTTAATCTAACTTTGTTTGTAGTTTAGTGGTAGTGTTCCTGTCTAAAATTTTTTCTTATATAGGTTCGAGTCCTGCCGTCACCAAAAATTTTTTAAATTTAATTTAAAAATTATTTTTAATTATTTTAGGCATATTTTCGAGCTTTTGCAATAGAACATCCAAATTGTCGTGTTCTCAGTTACTCTCCTGGTCCTGTTGATACAACAATGCATAGTGAAGTTGCAGAAAAGTAATTTAAAAATATTAAAATTTAATTCAAAAAATTCCTTCTTTTTTTAAAAGAACTTATGATGCTGGAGTAAGAGAAGTTTTTGGAAAGAAGAGACATGATAGTAATTTGCATAGAAAGCTTCTAACCCCTTCAGAAACTGTTCAACGCTTAATTCATTTATTGGAGAAAAACAATTTTGAGAATGGATCTAGGGTAGATTATTTTGATAAATAGTAAAAATAACTTTTTTTTTCCTAAAACAATGATATTAATTAATATTTTATTTATTTCCACTTCTTTTAATTTTACAAATTTCAAATTGTTCTTTTAACACTTCATTATCTTTTATTTGCTTTAATATAATAGTCGAAACAATTTTGAGAACGGATCGGGGGTAGCGTAAAAAATTTTATCTTGCTTCAATTAATTGAAATTTTCGGATGTTATCGGGAATTTAATTAACAAAGTCAGGAATTTACTGATTTCGGGGATTAAATCTGCGAGATATTGTTTTTCTTTTCCTACTACTTTCTCCATATTTTTATTAACGTTCGATCAAAACACTGTCCAAACATTGGAGTAAATTATCTGTAAAAATGAATAGGGTTTTTACTTTAATGTCAGGGACTGTGTTTTGTCTTCACCCACAAAATTTTTTTAAATTTCCATTTTATCTTTTATTGAATAAAATTTCCAAAAAGAAAAAAATAAAATTTCCAACTAGTAAATAAAATAGACAAACATTTATTGAAATTTTGTCATAACGGAATACATAAAAAGGCGTAAAGCAAATTTAAGGTGTTTTTTTGGAAAAGAACGAAACAAAAAAGATCTTTTAAGCTTTTAAGTAGAAAATATATTTTAAGGTATTTATAGAATAGAGAAAAAACCAAAAAAAGAAAATTTAAAAATTGAGTAGGCTTCTTCTTATTGCAAAATTTTTGTGTGTATTTTTTCGTTAAATAAAATAGGTATGGCTTATAATTTTCAAAAATATCTAGTTTTTATTGTTAATATATTTATAGAGAGAAGAGAGTAGTTAGAAAAGATTGAGCTGCTAAAAATAAGTGCAAAGGGGGATGGACGGATGTTGGAGAGAGAGAGAGAGTATGTCGGTAGATTTTATAGATCCTCGATTTGTAAACAGTCAAAATATAATTATCAGAAAACCAGAAAAGATAAAACTACTAGGCTTTTTTTGATGAGATTACGATTGAATAAAAATAAATACTTTAATTGACAACTGTTCACTTATAAAAATTAATAATTTTTTGTTTCCCCTATTTTTAATAAAAAATTTTTTCTCTCCAAACTTTTCTCCCCCAAAAATTGTTGTCAATCAAAGTAAAAACAATTTCAAAGAATTAAAGAATATATTTTTATAATATAAATGAAGCATTTTCTCTCTCATCTTTATTTTTTATATATTTACCCAAAATTAATAAGCGTAGGCTCAGGCGGATGCATTTCTTCATTTCCATGTCCATTATTCATATGTGGATCCTCTGGAGGAGTCCGAATTGATTTATAGTTGTCATGCTGTGAATTATGTCCATTTGTTTCGTTCTTCTCTTCAGAATGGAAAACTGCATTGACCGGAGGATTTTTCGCCATGATCGTAGCAGAAACCTTTTTTAATAGTAAGAAATGAAAGATTTTTTTAAAAATGTTAGTGGCCAGTGAAAAAGTAAAAATTAAAAACATTTCCTCTTCAATCTTCGATAACTTACTTGTCCGGGAAGTTGCGGCTGTCCATCCCCACCATTAGTTTCCTGCATAGATTTATTCATCGCACGACGACGTTCTTGCAAAAATTCCTAAAAAATAAATTTAAAAAAACAAGTTAAAAATATAACCGCTAAAGCAGTCCTATCAGACATCTTTGTCATAAGCGGATTTGCAACAGCAATGTTAGGAGAAGTCATAGTATCCGAAAACATATTCTAAAAAAATAATTAAAAAAACCATTTTTTCTTACATCATTTTTTGCCAATCCATTACTACTAGAATGGTGGATTGTTGGTGTTTGTGGACTTGCACCATTCTCTGGACGAATCTTCTGAAGAATTTCATTAAGTTGTTGACGACGTTGATTCCGCTTTTCCTCCAGGATCGGAGGAATTTGAACTGGTGGAATCGTTGGTTTTGGTGAAATAACTTCACTTTCATCTAGTGAAATTCGATTATAACTTGGTGGACGTTGCTCCTAAAAATAAACATGACCAAAAATATGGAAAAGTTCTAAAAGAATTTTCTTAATATTTTGGAAAAAATCTAGATAATTTAATTCTCGTATTTGTAGCTACAAAATAGTCCAATACTAGCATACACCCCATTAAGATTAAAAATATTCTACAAATAATGAGGCTATAACTTATGATTGCATCTTATGCGACCAAAGGATACGTTAAAATCTTTAAAATTAAAGACAAAACCTCAGTTGATGGAACCAAAGTAGCATCCGTTGTATCAACAATATTCAAAGAATCATCCTTATCAACCTAAAATTATTTAAAATTAAATTTGAATATAATGTTATAATATACTCGAGAAAGAATGAGTGTTTTATCGCTCATAATACTCTCGCGATTACGATGTTCAGTTGGAGAGTGCTTTAAATAAAAAAATAAAAATAAATTTTAATAACAAAAAAACCTCCAAAACTTCTTCCATTTGGTCGTGTAAAGACGTATAAGGACCGCTACTTGAAGCCAAGTAAGTTTTGTTAAACTCATCACTAGAATCATGAAGATTTGGAGATTTAACCTCATCAATTGGAATCGAATTGGAACAACCCTGAAAATGGAAATTGAATAATTTATTTTCTCCTTTGATTTTTTTAAAATTATGTTAATGTCAATTTTTACACATCCCGATATAGAAAATTGAAAAGTAAAAATGAAGAATCGAGATATAAAATGATACATAGGTTAAGAGTGAGAGAGATTGTAATATAAGACAAGAAAATCCAACCATTTTATTAACTCCAAGATCCAGATTATCCTTTGGCAATTGATCAGGTTCAAAAGCAGGAACAACGTTCTGTTTCTGGACAACAATATCTTCTTCAAAAGTTTTTTCCATAGTCATATTGAAATCAATTGTTGGCTGTTGAAAATGTGTTGATATAGTCGCAGAGGTGCCGGCAACTGGACTTTTCAAAACCTTTGCTTTGTCTTCAACCTTACGGCGGATGACTGGTCGACGTTGCTGACGCGGATCAATATCACTAAAATTGAAAGTATTTTAATATTTTAAAAACTTGCAACTAAAAACTTATAGAAACATACGTGTTATTTTTCGAAACTTCAGGAGTTTTTGCTTTAGAAGGTGCAGATTTTGGAGACCCATTTTGCAAAGGTTTCGCTAAATTAAATAAATATAATTTAATACATTTAGTAATCATTTACAAGAATAAAGTGATTGAGTCATCAAAGGTTGTGGAGCACTCTTAGTGCTTGTAGTTGAACTAAGTGGCGATCTTGTTTGCTTCTTGACCGCTGAAGGCTTACGTCGTGGAGATGTTGCTTGTTTATTATTATTAGCAGAAGTAGAGCTAGTAAGATAGCCAAAAACACTACGAGTCATAGTATTCGATGACGGAATAGGCTTTTCGCCTCGGTAATGAGAAGTTGTAAACCGAGAAGGAACACGAGCAGTTGGTGGCTCACTACGTAAGTTCTGAAAATTATAAATTTAATTCAATCCAACATTCGAAACAAATAACCTGCTGGGGAGAAGCAGATCCTCTCGAATTCGTAGATAAGGCTTGATTTGATCGTTTCTGTTGACCACCCTTCTCCAAAAAACACAATTCCCGCGGTGTCGAACTGCCAAAAGCAAATACAGGTTTGTTTTGTTGCCGATTGGCTGCCACGCGTGAAGCTTTCTGATGATTCTTTTGCAAAATTTCCTTAAAAAGTCCTTAATATTTATTCAAATGAATCATTAAACCTCCTTTTTAGCATTCAATTTGTCCAACTGAGCACAGCGACGGTCCAACGCAGCCTTTTGCCTCTCCATTTCCCTCTGCTGACGTTCACGAATTCGCTCACGAAGATCGGCTTCCTTCTGATTTCTGGCGCGCTCAATACGTTCGGCTTGTTCCTTCATTTTTGCCTCGCGTCTAAAATTTTACATGAGTTTTAGTTATTAGTTAGAAAGACAACATACCGAGCCAACAACTCCTTTTCAGCTGCTTCCTTCCGTTTGAGAACTTCTGCAGTTTTATCTATTCCAATATAAATGCTCCGCGTCATACTCATATTCATTAGGTTATTGTCAGGTTGTGCCATTATTAAAAAACAAACTAAAAATGATTAAAAAGGTTTAGAAAAAATAAGATACTAGACGTGCTTTGTTAGCATTAGAAAAAAATTGATAAAATAATAACAATTTAATCACAAAAAATAATTAAAACAATTAAAATTAACAAAAAAAATTATTTCCTTCCAGATTTGGCCATTTTATCTCGACGTTTCTTAACCTTTTTTGGCACTTTATTTTTCCTTTGATCCCTTTTCTCTTCCTTAACAGCCTCTTTACGTGCCTTTCTTGCTTCATTCGACTCTCCTTTTATTCTTGGATGACGTTGGTGAATAAACTTTTTGTCTTGTTTATCCAAATTTTCAATAGAATTTTCTTCGTCATTCTCATTTTCACAACTGTTTTCATCACTTGATTCATCTGTTGTTGAATCATTTTCTTCTTTTGATGTTGACAATCTTTCTAATTCTTCAACATTCTTATCTTCATTATCAAGCGTTTTGCCAATAACTTTTTGAAACGGATTGTTTGGTTCATATCCTTGTTTTTCCATTAAATGATCCCTCTCAAAAGTAACAATTTGTTCAAGTTTATGTGGAATATACGCATTCATGAAAAAACTGTCATCTGGCAAATTATCACAACTTCGCTCGCTTGTTAAGGCTTCAGCGAATTTTAATTCATCAATCAATGGATCAACAATGATCTAAATTTTTGGATTAAAATTTATAAGTTCTCCTTTAAAATTTAAAATTAATTTCACTAAAAAATTAAAAATTTACTTCAAAAAGCCTTTTCATTCCAAAAACTTTCGCTCCCCTCTCCATAAAAAATTTTGTCACATTGCCTATATCAGATCGCAAAAATGTTAAAGCGTATGGATGATCGTGTTCAACAGATTGAGAGACATCAATAATTATAAGATGATTATCATAAAATAAAATGTTGAATTCAGAAAGATCTGAAAACATTTCAATATCCAAAAGAAATCAATAAAACTTATACCAGCATGAACAAGTCTGCACTTTCTATACATATTACGCATAATTGTAACGCATTCTACATAAAGTTGATCAGCCAATTCTTCGTCCATCTTAAGAACATTTTTAAGTAAAGGAGCTGGACAACCATCCTCACCAATAAATTCCATTACTAACACGTGACCCTAATGAATAAATGTTTTAGTGTTAATTGAATCCGATCGTAAGACTACAAGTGAAACAACAAAATCAGAAATTATAGTATTAATTCAGAGATAAAAAAGAGGGAATTCCTCACCTTAAGCAAGATAGGTTTAGGAACTGGAATGCCAGCCAAATACATTCTTTGCAAATTTCTAATTTCTTTTTCTGCCCATGTTGCAACCATTTTTCTAGGATTATGACGGCAATATCCTTTGCGGTATCTAAAAAGAATGAGAAAACAAAAAATTTAAACAAATACCTAAATTCACCAGCGACATATCTGTCCCGGTCTTTAAACGTCAAAATGCTCGTCTTGTAAATTTTAACAGCCAAACTTCCATTTTCTGTGATGCCATGATAGACATTTGCTTCTTTTCCTGTACTGATACAACCTTCAACAGTATCAAAAAATCCTCTTTGAATCAATTGAAAAAGTATTAGCCTTGTCCGAGGATCTAAAACTTGTTCCACAGTTGCTCTATTAGATCGATCATTGTGCCTTCTATGTTCTTTTGATGCTTCAATTTTGCTCATATGTGACTGGATATATGCTTCACCACTTCGCAATGATTGAGAACGAAGAGCTGAAGCAGAATCGGAGTTGTGGTGTTGACGATTAGGCTACAAAAATAAAAGATTACGATTATCGTAATTGAAAAAATTACCCTATAATTAGTATGGCCAGCAGAGGTAAATATTTTTGTTAAATCTAAAAAAATATGTAATTTGCTTAAGGAAATAAAAAATATACCTCCAGTAAATTCTTCACAGTCGTCAGCAAACTCCTCAAAATCTTCTCCACTTCCATTCTCTTCGTCATAATCGTCTTGTTCAAATATTGGGTCGCATGAAAGATTAAAAGGATCCATATGAATATGCATTGTAATGCTAAATTTCCTTGAAAATAGATTATTCAATAACTATGAATGGTTTGGGAACAAAAAGAACGACTAAAAATTTGATGAAAATAACATGCAAAAATTCCAAACGACTTTATAATTTGGATTTCGTTTTTTGCATTTTGATACTTTAATTAAGTCTTATTTACAAAACATCTAAAGTCAAAACCGTCACAACTGACAGTTTTTACATTCTGTCTCAATTAAATTCCATGAAATCGGGACTTTTCGTAGCATTGAATTTTTTTAGCAAGTCTCGATATTTATTTTCTCATTCATTTTTCTACGTTACGGTTATTTTAAGCAACAATTTGTCTTTGATAAATAAGCAGATTAAAATCACATGGGAAAGTAGATAACAATAAAAAATTTTTGTTTAGATTAGTTAAAGAATATTTAAATAAATATGGGAGTTCCAGCATTCTTTCGATGGCTTTCCCGCAAATATGTCTCAATTATTGTGGATGCTGTAGAGGAACGACGTAAAGAAGTTGAAGGAATAAAAATTCCAGTTGATTGTACTCAGCCGAATCTAAACTATCAGGTTAAATTAATTTGATGTTTTTAAAAAATTAATTTTGTTTTCAGGAATTTGATATTTTGTATCTCGATATGAACGGTATCATTCACCCATGTACCCATCCAGAAGATCGCCCAGCGCCAAAAACTGAAGAGGAGATGTTTATTTTAATTTTTGAATATGTTGATCGTCTCTTTTCGATTGTTCGTCCACGACGACTCCTATACATGGCTATTGATGGGGTTGCTCCTCGAGCTAAGGTCTATAGCACTTTGAAACATTTTAATTTAAAATTATTCTAGATGAACCAACAACGAAGTCGTCGTTTTCGTGCAGCAAAGGAGGCGGCGGAAAAACGTGAGCAGATTGCTAGCATTCGCAAGAGATTAGAGAATGAGGGTATTCCTCTCCCACCACCACGTAAAGAAGAAGAACACTTCGATTCTAATTGCATTACACCTGGAACACCGTTTATGGCTCGTTTATCAACAGCTTTGCGTTACTATATTCATAAACGGATTACTTATGATCCTGCTTGGATGAAAATACAGGTTTTGTATTATGAAAGTGAGATGACTAACAATTTGTTTTTTCTAGGTTATCCTTTCTGATGCCAATGCTCCAGGTGAAGGAGAGCATAAAATAATGGACTACATTCGACGTCAACGAGCATCTCCTTCACATGACCCCAACACAGTTCATTGTTTATGTGGCGCAGATGCAGACTTGATTATGCTTGGGTTGGCCACGCACGAAGCAAACTTTAACATTATCCGAGAAGAATTCGTTCCAAATCAGCCAAAAGCATGTGAACTCTGTGGACAGTATGGACACGAATTAGAACATTGTCAAGGATTAGCAAGAGCAGAAGCTGGACCCGACCAAGCTGATCCGTTGAAGAAGGAGAAGAATTTTATCTTTATTCGCCTCCCGGTTCTTCGTGAATATCTGGAACGTGAATTGTTTATGCCGAATTTGCCTTTTGCTTATGATTTGGAACGAGCTATTGATGATTGGGTATTTTTTAATTTTTTTAAATTAGTCTTCTAATTATTCAGGTAATGATGTGTTTCTTTGTTGGCAACGATTTCCTTCCCCATTTACCTTCTCTCGAAATTCGTGAAAATGCTATTGATCGTCTAGTCAAACTTTACAAGAATATGGTCTATCAAACGGGTGGTTGGTTGACAAACGATGGTGTTGTTAATATTGATCGTGTGAAGATGATTATGCATGAATTGGGGAAGGTCGAAGATCAGATATTCAGAGAGCGACAGGTAGTATTTTAAGGATATTTGTGGGAGTCTTTTTAGTTGCTAGAAAGATTTAATTTTTGTGATAAATTTTTGGTGAAACTAGGTCATAATATAGGGGCAGGGAAATTTATTCGACTTTTTTTCATCTCGATAACTTAATTTTTCAATATTTAGCTTCGCGAGCTAAAATTCAAAGAAAGCCAGAAGCAACGGAAGAGGAGAGCCAAAGAAGCAGCAGAAATGCTAATGCCTTATAATGCTTCATTAATTGCTCCACAGCCTATTTCCTCACAAAATTTGAACAAAAGTGGCGAGGAAATAAGAAAGATGGCATCAGATGATAGAAAACAGGTTTAGAAAATTTTTCAATTATTATTTATCATGGCTAATGATGTTTTTTTAATGAGAAGCTACTTTGATCTTATTTGACCCTTTTCATAAATGGGTTTGATATGAAACGAGAACTGAAGCCTTTTTTAATATTTAACTATTTTTATTATTTAAACTAAATTATGTTTTTTTATTTAAGATGCAGCTAGCTGCAGAACAAGCTCAAAAATTGAAGTCATTGTTGACTCCTGTCGCCGTCTCTGAACAAAAAACAATTGGAACTAAGCGAAAAATGGAACAAACATTAAATGATTCGCCAAGTGGATCGCCTCCTATAAAGGTTTGATTTTATTTAAATCTTTGTTGTTTTTCTTTATTTGATTTTTAATTTTGTTTTGTTTTGGTGCTTTAATAATACCTTTTACTTTCTTTTAGTCGTTTAAGGACGGTCGAGTTATTGAAGAGAAGAGTACATCAGATGGTCCAAAACCAACAATTGTTTTTACAACACCTTCTGGAGGTAAAGCTCCTTTGGCTAAAGGTGCTGTTGGTGCACTTATGAACGATGATTCGGATGAGGAAGAGGCAACAGATGAAATTAGACTTTGGGAAGAAGGCTGGAAGGAAAGATATTATCGAGCAAAATTTAATGTTGATGAGAATGATACAGAATTGAGGAAGAATGTTGTATGCGCTTACATTGAAGGTCTTTCTTGGGTGTTACTCTACTATTATCAGGTTTTCATTTTATTACAAATTTGATGTTTTTGGTGAACAATTCAGTTGGGGCTGATAATCCGTCTTATGTTTTTCTTATTTTAGCCCGGATAGCGCCAGTGTTTTTTACGATGTTTATTTTTTTACGATAGAATACATTACGATAAAGTTTAATATATTCAAAAAAATAAATATTGGCATGTATAAAATATTTTAAGGGTTGTGCAAGTTGGACATGGTACTTTCCCTATCACTATGCACCGTTTGCTTCTGATTTTCATTTGGCTGGAGATTACAAACCCAGCTTTAATAAACCAACTAGACCATTCAAACCTTTGGAACAGCTAATGGGCGTCTTTCCCGCCGCTAGCAGGTTTTTTAATTTTTGGTGAAATATATCTTTGTTAATTTTTAGAGCACATATTCCAGAAGGATGGCATTGGTTAATGACAGACGAGAAATCACCAATTATTGATTTTTATCCGAATGACTTTGAAATTGATCTGAATGGAAAGAAATATGCGTGGCAAGGAGTTGCATTATTGCCTTTTGTTGATGAAAAGCGTCTTTTAGATGCTCTTACCTTGGTTTCTTAATTTAAATATTCTAATGTTAATTTTTCTTATTTAGGTCTATGATACATTAGACGACGAAGAACGGGCTAGAAATGATACGGGTCCTGACAGACTTTTCGTTGGAAAACAACATGGACTTTTTGAATTAATGCAATCTGTGCATCAGTTAACAAAGGAGAATAATGAAAATTCTATTGTAACTAGCAGTGTAGAACGTTCAGCATCTTCTACGGGTACTACTCATCGTTCTGTTGAAAGTGAACGAAGTCAATCAAATGGAGAGAATACTAATGAAAGAAGTCAGTCAACTGAAGAATCAAACGAAAGAAGCCAAACAAGTGAAGAGAATTCTAATGAGAGAAGTCAGTCTAATGATGAGGAAACTAATGAAGAACAAAGTCATTCCACAGGGGAGCAAAGTCATTCTACAGGGGAAGAACAAAGTAAAACTACTACAAATGAAACAAATAGCGACGAGAATAATGGTAATAAATTGGCTACTTTTGATTCTTCATCCTTTGAATTTTATTTTTAATGGCTAAATTCATATTTCTTAATTTTAGGTAATGTTGTGGCCAATGTTGAAAAACAATGGGTAATTATTGATGCAAGTAAAGCTTACGGAATGGCTGGTGAAATTTCTCCTGATGAAAGTGCTATTGATTATGGCGTTGATTATGTTTCAATGTTTAGAGGTTCTATTGAATTTGGCGATATAAAGGTGTTTTTAAATATTTATTAAATAATTTTCGAATCCTTTTTTAGAAAAATAGTTGTATTATGGCACAATTTCGCGATCCGCAATTTCCGCCACATTTTCAATTCAAAGCTTGTCGTCTCGAGGGAATTAAAGAATTGCCTCGTGCATTGAAACCTAAGGATTACGATGATCGACGTCAAGGATCTTATCGTCCTCAAATTGGATTCAGTCGAGATATTCCAAGAGCTTCTCTTTCTGCAAGTGGACACCGAACTCTTGATCATCATATTACTCAACAAAATCGAAGAAGTAAATTAAAATTTTTATTTTGTTTCCTTATGTTAGCTCAAAAACAAAGTAAACTAGTTTCATCACTTTTCTTCTAGTGAATGAGGAAGATTTAGTTTTACGATTTAACAAATGGGAGAGAAATATGTGTCTAAATGTAACATTTCTTTTTAAGGTGGACCAGCTTCTCTTATGGCTTATCAAACACAACAGCCTCAACAACAAATGCAGTCATCGCCTCAACAACATCTTCCTTGGCATAGTGGTGCAGCACAGCAACAATATCAACAGTTGATGCCTTCTGACAACTTTCAGCATCCAATGCCCTTAAATTTTATGCAAATGGCAATGCCTCCTCCTCCACTTCCTCCACAACATTGGGTTGATTCAATGCAACAACAACAAATGCAACAACCATATATGGCACAATGGGGACAACCACCTTCTTTGTTACAAAACCAAAATTACGGAAATAACAATAATTCTGACACATGGCGACGTCGAAGTGATGATGGAGGCGGGGGATCATCTCGCTCAAATCAACAACATTTGCCATATCATAACCAATATGGGCGACATAGTGGTGGGGGTGGTGGACGCAACTACAATAATGATGACAATCGTGATTCTTCACAAAGAGAGTATAGATCATCAAACTATAGACGTCAATAAAGACTGGAGATCTTTTTAAAATATATTGGAGTGTTTTTATAAGTACTTTTTTTTTAATAAGTTGTTCTATTTTTCTTATTTATCGTCGGGGTTATTTTTTCTCAAAATTCTAATTAATTTGAGATTTCAGACCCTCCATAATTCTTACTAATTGGGGTTATTTGATAGGGAAGATAATTCTTCCGATCTCGTCAGATTAAGAAACGAATTTAAAATTAACTGAATCTGGGTGACATTTCTCCCAAATCCTTGTCTCTAATGATAAGTGTTGATTAATAATTTTGAAGTTTTTACAAAATAACCTGACACAAGATTAATAGTATAATTATACTAGTTTTGTTAACTGTGAAAATTGTCTCTATATGTTTTTTGTTATTTCAAGATTTGTTTAAGATTATTTTAAAATTTATTATTTTCTTTGTTTTTTTTTCATCAAATGTGGAGCTGGAGATGTACAGACAACCCTTTAAATATATTTGCTTTGCTCTATTTTGTTGCTTAATCGCGTATAATTGGAGAAATTTTTGAATCAAAAATAGCAAAAAATAATTTTAAATTTTTACGATTCTTTAAGAAATTTTAAAATTTCTCCAATCTTCCAAAAAAATTTCTTGAGTTACATGCATGTCTTTTCCATCCATCTAATTACTCTTTGTTGTTCTTGGTAGTTTTTCTTTTTTAAAAAATATTCTTTTCTCTAATAATTAATATTGTTGAGCCTATTTTTGGTTCATTTCAGGATGTTGTGTACACCTCCATTCTTGAATTTCACCTCAAAACTCAATTTGTTTTTCCGCCTTTTTTATTCGTTCAAAACAAATGTTATTTTGCTTTTTTCTGGTCCAAAATCTCATTATTCATTTGTTTTTTAAACTCGAACGAAATTTTGAATAATTTTATTGTTTTTTTTGTTTTAAAGGCCTTTATTTGGCATATAATTTTTTTCATATTTTTAGTTTATTTAAACTATTTGTTTTATTTTTAGAAATGTCGGTAAAATTGTTTGATCGGAAAAGACGTTGTTTGGACAATCATTTAAAGCAAAATGATCAGGTCTAATTGATCAAAAAATATACAGTCTTACTATAAGATACCCCCTCGGGACTGAAAAGTTTACACACACATTTATACTCTTAAATGGGGGGGGGGGTGTATTTAGTATTTTGTGTATCTTATGGTGAAATCCGACTGCATTTTTAAAATTAAGTAATCCCCCAGGGGGATTATTGTTTCAACCCATCTCTAGGGTGGGGGATTAATAGAGCCTGGGGGATTATTAGAGTGGGGTAGAAAGAGGGGGATTATTGTTTCAACCCATCTCTAGGGTGGGGGATTAATAGAGCCTGGGGGATTAATAAAGGACTGGGGGATTAATAGAGCAAATACGGTACCTAAGATGTTTTTTAGATAACTGCAGTTTCTGGCTTTGGAACAATTATTGTTGTTGGAACATATTCGGGAATGTTGATGATCTTTAATACGTGCCCAGAAGGTTCATCTGCTGAATGGGAATTGGAAGCAAATATTTGTTTATCAGAAGAGAAGGTGGGTTTTAAAATAATTGTTTTGGTTGGAGGGAATCTATGCCTGGGACGGAAAGAGCTTTATGAACATTATAAGGCTATTTTATCAGAGGGGTGGGATGTGATAAAAATATACTACACTAAAAATATACTACAAAAATATACTACACATTTTTACTCAAACAGAAAATTAATGCACACACAAAAATACAATAAACGTATATATTATAGAATCACATATTATACAATTTGTTACATTTATCAACAATATCAACTGTCTTCTTAGTCTCATTCCTTCTCATCCGATTCGCTCGAAGACTTTGTCTCCTTTTCTTCCAACAAGGCCTCACTTTCAACCTTTTCAGCTTCCTTTTCATTCTTTTCCTTGTTTGATTCTTTGTCGTCTTTTTTACGGACAGAAATCGTTACAGATTTAGTACCTCCGCCTTTACCCACTTCAACAGATTTTTGAATGGCTGAAGAAGTGTTGCCAGCACTAATTGACTTTTGAGTTTCCTTGACAGATTTTTCTTTTGGCGGAATGAACTCTATTGCTGTTCTAGTTGACATTTGTGTGATGCTGACCGACTTTTGCCCCTTGTCTTTGCCGTCTTTCTGAAAATTGAAAAAAAATTTTTTTTTAATTACTCGTTTCAGACTTCTCTCTCATTTATCTACAAAAAATCGGAATACAGTATCTGATTTTCTCAGCCCCAAGAAGGTGAGAGACATCCAAAAATAAATTTTTAAATTTTCTATTTACCCCAGATTTAGTGGCCTCCAATTCCTTTATAAGTTTCTCCTTCAGTTCAAGTGTCGTCTCCAAAGACATCTCCTTTTCGCGAGTTCGTTGGCCAGTTTCACGCGACAGTGGATTTGATTCGCTTGTAGAGCTAACTGAATTTGCACTTTCAACCGATATTGCCATTGCTTCCGTTTCTTTTAATTTGTCTAGCTGTTTGACATATTCGGAATTGTCTTTTTTCTTCTTTTTTGTCTTAGAATTTGTCATAGAAACTGTACTTGTTGTTGGCTTTGAATTTTTCTTTTTCTTGGATTTTGATTTCTAAAAACGAAAAAAATTAGTGGAGATTAAGTTTTTTACCTTTTTGCAACACGGCACAAGAACAAACACAGAAACGAGAAGCAGGGCAACAACAATCCATGATGGCGTTAGGAACGGGTAGAAGAACATTATTTGAAGAGATTATTTTTGGGCGTAGTAATAGAGTTTGTGTTGTTGAGTTTGGATTAAGCAACATCCTTTTATAGTGAAAAAACGTGTAATAAAATTTAGTTGTAATACAAGAAAGTAAAGGATTATCATGTAACGATCTTGCTCTCGAGCTGTATATCTATTTAAAATCTCCACACCTATCTGGATTTAGACAATCGGGTTGTTGAAGAAAGAGTCCTTTCATTTATTCAAATTTTTTTCACAATTTTTAACTTTTTAAAATTCTTTTCAAAGGATCGAGGAGCACCAGTTACACAAATTTGTTGTGCTTCTGCAATAGGGCTTTTAATTATTGTTGTTGGGGAAAGAGTACTTAATTTAATATTAGAAGAAGAAATGAGGATTGAAGAATTATTTAAAGCAAAAAGAATATCATTAAATACACATCCAATAAATAATTTAAATCCTTTTTCTATTCAATTAGCTATAATTACAAATAATAATCAAATATTAATTGGAAGAATTTCTTCAGAAAATAATTATTTATTTATTAAAGAAAAAAAATTAACAACAAATTTTGGGAATATTGTTGAAATTGTTTTTAATGGAAATTGTGTTTGTTATGCTACAAATAATTGCTATTTTGTTCAGAATATTAACGAGAAAAATGGAATTAAATTATTTGATGTAGCTGATTGTGAAGTTCTGAAAGTTATTTGTTCTGTTGGAATGGTTGGGGAGAAAATTAAAAAAAATTTTTTTTGGGAGAAAAGGATGTGAGGACTAGTGTTCCGCAGGAAGTTCCAATTCCGATAGGCCGTAAGTTCCGGGATTTTTGGTTCCGGTTCCGGCCAAATTTGCGGTTCCGGCGAAACACTAGTGAGGACCCAAATAAAAATAGAAATCTTCCATTAGACCTCAATCTAAGATTATTTTTTTCCAAATATTGGTGGGCCGCCATGAGGATAAGCTTTCTAATAATCGTAACTGTACCCCCTAATATATCCATAATTATATGACACGATTTTTCAGCTTCAAGGGTGTATGTAAAATTAGGATCCAACCGTATTTCATAATTTTTTTTTTTAGGAAGAATTTTGTGTTGCTGGAATTCAGAGTCTTTTAATGTTTGTAAATGGAGAAGGGGCATCCACAAGGCCTCCATTATCTTTACCTGGACAGGAACCTCCTATTGGAATTTGTCTTAAAGAGCCTTATTTAAATGTTTTGGACACTGCTGGAATTCTGTTTATTTTTAGGTGAAATTTTGAAAATTTCGGAAATTTTTGTTGTGATTAGCAGATTAACTAGTTCTAGCCATTTTCTATTATTTCAACTTTCCCAAATTATCCCAGGTCTCTCATTTTTTTCAGAGACATACATATTACTCTCTAAATTTACCTTTGGAGTGCGACAACTCAGAGGTTTTAGATCTCCCAGTTATACATACTGGCTGAAGACAGTCATACTTTAATCATTGAATAAGCCAGAGATTAAAAAATAATTATTTTTTAATTTTTTCCAGTATTCAAGATGGTTCTTTAAAACAAAGTCTCGAGTTTCCCAGTGACGATGAAAGTGAACAACAACAACAATCCCTCAATCAAAAACAAAATTTATATCAATTAGCTAATATAGATGGACAAACATTTATAATTCCGCCTTTTAGTGGATGTTTTTTTGAATTAATTGCGATGACTATATATTCACAAATTGAAGAAAATATTTTACATGGATATTTGGATATTGCTTGCTCTATGTTGGAAGAACAAATTTCTGTTAATTTTGAGAATTTGAATGAATTAATGGTGAATTGGGAGAGGGGGGGCTTTAATTAATTTAGGAATGCTTACATTTTGGGAGTACCTACTGTGAAGTCTGTCTACCATAAAGTCATGAATTGATTTTTAGATCACCAATTCTTCAAATTTCCTATTTCCGTGTTTCCTTAATTGGGTTATTTTAGATTTATGATACCTCCTCACTTCTGATTTAGATATCCGTTTTCCTAAATAATATTTAAATATTTTTTTTAATTTTATCCTTCTTAAGCAATTAAAACAATTACAACAAAAAATAGCCATAATATTTCTTCAAAAAGGTAATTTCCTCAAAGCAATTAATTTACTTGTTGAAAGTGAAGCTAACCTAAATATTTTACTTTCATTAATTGCAAAACAAAATAAAGACATTTTTGAGGATTTTGAAGAATTTGAATTGGGAAATAAATTAAAAGAAAATGAAATACCCATTGAAAATATTCCTGTTGAATTAGTAAAGGATTATTTACTTAGAATTAGAATATCCAAAAATAATGATGAGGTAAGTAATAGGGTAGAGAGATGAAGGTGAAGGTTTAGCTGCGGGCAGGCATTAATTCACTCGGAGCTACCTTCACCATCTCTTTTAATAGAAATTCAAAAGGTGAAGGAACTTGCCGTCTTGCCGTCTAACTGAACTCTAACTTGCCGTCTCTTAACTGAATTTCCCTTCCATAAAATTATTAAAAATTTAATAAAATTTTTAAAATTAATAACAGACAAAATTCATTTACGAGATTCCATATCTCGGAGTAATTTTTAATTTCTAGGAGTTAATTTTCTAGTAGTAATTTCATGTTCCTTCGAATCAAAAAATTGCGGGATTACTGGAGCAAAACCCCCGCAAACCTGTTTTTACAAGATATCCACTTTACTTTTTTTATTCTACTTACTTACAAACGTTCCTCGTTCAGAAAATAAATATTTTAATTAATTAAAAAAATTTTTTTCAGTTAATAGAAAGTTCATTAGCCAGAATATTTGTATATTTAAATCAAAATAATAATTTAAATGAAGAATTATTAAATACAAAACATATTTGGAATAAACAAAAATTTCGTTTATGGATAATTAATAAAAATTTTCAAAATTTGAATTTTGCTGCAAAATTGGCTTTTGAAGATGGAAATTTGGAAGAATCTTTTAATTATTGGAAAAAAATTATTTTTGAGGAAAATGTTGATGAAGAAACGAAGGAAATGGCTTTAAATGATTGCTTTGAGGCTTTGGAACGGTAAATAAACGGATAAAAATAGAATAGCCGTTCAACACAATAATTTTAATTTGCAGTTCCAGTTTCTTTATTTTTTTTTCAAAAAAATTTTTGTTTTCAAATTTTGATTTTTCTTTCCTTTCTATTCCTAAATCACCAAAAAATTCGGAAAAACTTGCCAAAACCTATAACTCGGCATAAAACCGTTTGAATTTTTGGAATTGGCAATCAGCCTTCAAAATAATATTTTTCTAGGCTTCTCTATGATTTTTCCTACAAAAAACTTTTAATTCAATTTCAGTATTGATGTTAATTTATTAAAATCAGTACTTGTCTGGTTAATTCCAATAAATCCAAATTTGTGTATGGAAAAAATAGAATATTTGGAGAATAATAAACAAATTAAATTACTTACAGAATTAATTATTGAATTATTTAAAAATGAAGATTTTGATGAATTAATTTATAATTATTTGGATAAAAAAGGAATTAATGAATTGGTAATATTAAGTAATTAATAATTAGTATAGAATTAAGGGGCATCTCTAGTGTAGAAATTAAGGGCTAAACTTATTCTTTTAATTATTCTTGCGTATATCTTTCAAATTGTTTTCTTGATTCCAAAATCCAAAGTCTTTGGAAATGATCCCATAACCGGAAAAATGCCGATATAAACTTTTAAAAACCGTTTTTTTGGAAAATAAAAATTTTTAAAAATAATTACGGGCGGAAAATAGTCGAAAAGAATAAGGGGAAGTTTGGGTGAATAAGCCTTTTTTACAATAGACGAGACCTGGACCCATATAATTATCAATCTATAAATTCAAGTTATCGTCTTGAGTTGCGATAGATCCTCTGGTCCACTCTATCCCACTCTTAATGATTTTTTAAATAAAATTCTTTTATTTTTTAAAGGGTTCACAAGCTTCAGTACACAATAAATTTCTTGCATTATTAACACAAAAATATAAACAACAAAAACAAAAAAATAATTTTGAGTTGAGGAATAAAATTTGGAATTTTTTACTTTTTTCATCTTTTTATGATAAAACAAAAGCTTTGAAATTATTTAAAGAAGAAAAAGACAAAAATGAATTTTTTGTGGAAAAATTGTTTATAAGGGCAAATGTAAAAGAATTTTGATTTTAAAGAAAAACATTGTAATTTGGCCTCACTTTAGGAGTTGAAAAAATTATTTTTATAGATAGGTTCATCTTAATTTGTGAGTGAAGGTGGTTCACTCGTACAGCCCCTAACCCTAAATTTTGAAGATTGACTGTTTTGGATATTTTGTCTGAAAATAAAATTATAAAAAAATTTTTTTAATTTTTTCTTAAGGAAAATAATTCTATGGAGTGTCTAAATGAATTGGCTAATATTTTTGAATTAAATGAGAATATGGGTGAAATATTGGTTGATGCTGCTGAACTTCTTTGTACACGTTTTCCGAGTCCAGAAATGCTTAAACCTTTGTTGACTTTACATTTACTTATTTCCAAGTATTTTTTAAAAGAAAATTTAAAAAATTATTTTTGTTGAGACTCCGGTAATGTTAAGGACAATAACTATAAATTAATCTACTCTGTTTAAAAAAGAGTTTGGCAAAAGTTTAGCTACCGGACAGGATCTGCGACCTCCTGACAGTTACTGCTAGGCGCTTTCACTCACAGGAGCCCTACTATCACTGAGCTATCGTGGCATCGACTAATGCTTTCTCTTCTATCCTTTTAGATTCTTTAACCCCCACCTAAGCGCTTGCTCTAGGTGAAGCATCCTTACACTTATATCAAAATCCAGTTACATATAATGGATTTTTCTAATTCTCTCTAAATCCCTTCCAAAAGGCGGAGAATCAAAAGCTTTATTATATTCATTTAAAATTTTCTAAATACATAATTTTTCCCCTTTTTTTAGATCAAATTCAACACTTCAAACAAAAATTCCCCATTTACTTTCTCTTTTAGAAAGTGAATTAAATAATGGAGAACAAGTATTAAATAATCTTCCAAATAATTTATCCTCAACAGAATTAATAAATAATTTTCTACACAGACATGTCTCCAATCGTTTAAATACTTTTAATTGGCAAAATATTTATTTAAAAATGGCTAATTTAGAAATTAAAAATTTAGAAAAACTTTTGGAAGAAAAATTAAATAAAAAAAGATTTAAATTGGATGAAAATAATATTTGTATTTTTTGTGAAAGAAATTTATTAAATATTGTTGGAGAAGAAGAATTTGTTTATATACCTAATAATAATGAAGATGTTGGTGGAGGACAATTTGCACATTTGAGGTGTTTTAGAGCTAGAAAAGAAAGAGCTTTACTTGATTAAAAATAAAAATTAATTAAATCAGAATTTATTTTAAAAATCAGAATTTAAATCAGAACCTATTATTTTAATGTTATTCCGAAAAGATAATTCTGAAATAACTCAAAGCTTTCCGGAAAATAATTTTAATTCTGATTATTATTTTATATACCTATTTTCTTTTTTTTCTAATTAAAAATTCTTTTTTTTCAAAAATTCTGTTTTTGTTTCAGAATAATAAATAAAGACAATATACATATATTTTTCTTAACAAAACAAAAAAAACAATAAAAAAATTTATTTGCAAACCCCTACCATGTCTTATTCAATTTGTATATTTTTTTATTGTCACCACTCTTGAAAGCATTTTTTGTCTAAAGAAAAAATTTTTTTCTTAAAAACAATATTTTATTTAAAAAAATATTAAATTCCCCAATTTTGGCATAAATAATTTAAAGCAATTTATCAATTCCGTGGGAAATAAGGAAAAGCTTTTTTTAAGGCTTTGTTTGTGTATTTCTTTCTGTTATTGCTTTGCTTATATAAAATAAATAAATATCTTTATTTCAATTTTTTTGCCATTTTTATTTACTCAAAAAAATTTAGTAAAAAAATAAATAAAAAAATAAATTAACTAGTCCTCATATGTTTTTATTAAAAAAATATTTGATAGGTTTTTAAAGCAATGTTTTAAATAAAACCTCATTTTACTGAAAAAGTTTCTTTTTTCCACATTTTTAAATGATTTATGCTTTCTTTGTTGGAAACATTAAAGAAACTTAAAAAAAAGAAACATTCTTTGAATATAAGTTTCTTTATTTTCCCTTTATTTTCCTTAGGTTAAACAAAAAAGAATTTAAATATTTATTCAACTTTTCCGGAAACAATTCTGAAAATTAACTTTGTAAATATTTTCGGAAAGTTTCCGGAAAATATTTTAATATTCTGTTTTGGTAACAAATATACCTAAACATTTTATTAAATTAAAAATCAGAATTCTTTTCAGAAATACATACCGTGTTTACTCGATTCCCTCCCCCTGCCACGAATGGGTTGAAAATAATTTCCCGAGGGAATTAATCGGGTAAATAAACTAAATAATAATTCTGATTTTAATTATTTACCATTTATTTAGAGGAAGCGTTTCCGAAATTATTTGTTCTGAAACTTTTATAAAAGTTAACCTTTTTCTGATAATTTATCTATAAAATACCCAGTATATTGTCTTTTTCTCCAAAAATTTTTCTATTTAAAATTTATTTAAAAAAATTTAATAATTAAAAAAACATTTTCCTCCTTTTATTTTTAACCTAGAAACGAAATTAGTAATCCTCACTTTTTTTAAAAAAAGGACTTCGAAAAACTCCTCGGTAACTAACCAAAACCGGTGAGAGGATGCTAATGAATTTGTAAAAAAATATTTAGAAAAAGCTAGAGAAAATGTGGAAATGAGAAAATAAGCAAAATGAAAAAAGGAAAAAAAGTACTTTATTTGTTAATGCATTTTATTTTTATTTTGAAAGAGGACACTACTAAATTAGTTAGTAGCATTGTTATTTTTACTAATTTAACTTTAAATAAAGTAAAAATTTTTTTGAAACAATTTCAGAAAAAAATATTTTTTCTGAATTATTCACAAAATTTCAGAATTAAATAAAAGTTGTTTTTCAGGATTATTTTAGTAATATAATTCAAGATTATTTATTTTCCTGAAAAGTTTTAGAATTATTTCAGAATTATTTCCGGAATAACATAAAAATAATAATTAAATTCTGAATTTTTTCAGAATTGTTTTCCGGAAAAGTTTTAAAAATAATTATATTTTCCGGATAATTTTCAGAATTATTTAAAGATAAATTCTGACCTACATATTTTAAAAAATTTTCCGGAAATATTTATAAAAATAATTTTACGGTATTTTCCGAAAAGCTTTCAAATCAAAAAATAATATAGAAATTTAAATTAAATTTTCAGACTTTCTCAAAATAAAATTTAATTAAAAAATGTCGTCAACTCCATTAAATGAAGACAATTTATTACAGCAAACAACAGAAGAATCCCCCTCTTCTTCAATTTGTTCCCAACATATTTTTGCTTTTGAATGTCAAAATTCAAGTTGTTGTGCTTCTTATCATCAACGATTTTTAATGCTTTTATTTTCAATTTTTATTTTTATAATTGCTTTAATTGTTTTTATTTTTATGATTATTTCTGTTCAATGGAGACCTCTGAGACAAAGGTAAAAATATCTATTTGATATAATAATTATTTTCCGGAAAAGTTTTCAGAATTATTTCAGAATTAATTATTTCCGGAACAAGTTTAAAATAAAAATAAATTCTGATTTTTTCAGAATTGTTTTTCTGAAAAATTATTCTTAAAAAAGTTTTAAAATATAAATTCTGATTTAAATTTTTAGAAGAGAAAAAAGAATATCAGAAGTTGAATTAAAAAGTTTTGAAGAAACAAAATATTTGAGAAGAATGTCAGAATTAAAGTAAATAATTAATTTAAAATAGTTTTAATTATTTTTTTTTTAATTTTAGTCCAAATATAAGACGCGAAACAGGCGAATAAGAATAAAAGAATTTAATTAAAAAAGTATTTTTTAAAATTTTTTAAACAATTTTTTAACGTTTCTTGTTTTAATAAAAAATTTTAAATATTCTTTTTTCGATTCAAAAGGCTTCCTGATATCCCTCCAAAAAACGAATCTCTCTTAACCCTTCCATTCACATTAATTCAACAATAATCATCCAAATCCAACAATAATCCCACCGTTTAATCCCGCAACTCTTATACAGCCAAATCCACTATACCCCGATATCCCCTACCTAAAATTAACAAATAAATACCCCCCCTCTCCTCCATAAATATCCCTCTTAAATTATCCACCCTAGAATTAAAAATAACAAAAAAACATTAAAAAATTTTTTTAACTTCTTTTAAAAATTACCAACCTTGAAACTATCGGATTTTCAAATTTAAAAATATATAAATATAATTAAAGTTTTAGAGGGAATTTACTTTTAGAATGAACATACATACATATGTACTTTTAGAGTTTATAGACCTCCTCTACCTCCTTTTTATAAAAAATTAAATTAAAAAAATCAATGTTACTAATTAAAAATTATTTCTTAAAAGTGATTTTCTTTTTCTTTAATTATTCCTCTCCTTTCTTTAAAATTTTACCTCGAGTTTTCCTCTCTTTCAAAATTTTTTAATTTAGCGTTGTCAATGGCTAGGCGAGAGAATTTAAAAGAAAAAGGCAGTCTAAAATTATAAATTTAATTGGAAAGTTGCCAAAAAAATTTTTTTTGGGGAGGGGTGGAGGGGCCTGCCTAGCCATTGATAACGCTACGTTATTAAATTTATTGTGTAAGAAGGGAGGGGCATAAGGTTACTTAAATATCCTCTACTTTAATTGCCAATGCCATTCATAATTTATAAATTTATTTTCTTTTAAATTTTTTTTAAGTTTTTAAAATATTTTATATATTTCAAAGTAAATCTTAGACAAAAATTAGAAAAAAAATTTTTTTTTAAATAAATTTTTTTCTACTTCGCTAAAAAATAACATCGGCTGTGTTTAATATATGTATTAAACTAAAACAATCAACGGAAGGTCCAGTAAAGCAGCTGGGCTATAGGTAGCTATTTCCAGACCTGGTCACGGATACTGATCTTGGTATCCGTATCCGCATATTTACGGCGGATACAGGCGGATATCCGCAGGCATTTTGATTGTCAGTAGACCGGACTGATGTGTTATCCATTACACCACTCCGCCTACTATGTACACAGCCTTAGGAATTAAATAGCTACTATATGCTTTACAGTCCTTAAACATTTAGATTTTCTTGACGACAGAAAATTATAAAATTAAAAAAATTTTTTTTTGTAAATTTCCCAAGACGAGAAAGTAAGAAATTTCCAAATACTGACACCAAGTGTGTATTTAACATCGACTGTACTGTATTTAAATTTTTAAACAAATTTTTTTTATCATTTTTAGATAAAAAACGAAAGGAAATTTTTTGAAGAAAATTATGAATTTTCTTCAAAAAACCTTTCGTTATTTAACAATTATTTTTGTTTTTATTTTTGTGAGTCAATTTATTTGTGTTTTGGGAAAAAGGAATTTTGAAGAAGAATTGGGAAATTTGGAACGTTTTTTAGATCAAATTGGAGAAATTAAAATTGAAAATTTTGAAAAATTTAAAGAAAAATTGCCTGAAGGAAAATATATAAATTTTGAAATTTTGAATGGATTGAAGAGTGTTGATGAGGTAGTAAGTAGATTTTAAAACTTATTTTATAAGTTTTGTGTGTATTTTTGAATGAGGCTGACGAAGATTCGACCCTTCCCAAAAGAAGGGCGGACTCAGACAGACAAAACACGGACGGACACGGGTCGGTCAAACGTCTTCTGACCCGAGTCCGTCCGTGTTTTGTTTGTCCATGTCCATCCGTCTCATTCTTTCCTTCCATTTTTCCTTTCCTTGGAGGTAATGAAAAAAAACGATTCCACCCTTCTTTTGGGATAGGGCCAAGTTTTCTTTCATACCCCCATTTGATAATAATTTTGATTTTTAGAACGTTCAAGATGATTTTGAAATGTTAAAAATATTTATTGAAGTATATGAACAATGCTCTCATTTTGAAAAACAAAAAAACCCAGTTTTTGAGAAATACAAAACTAATTGTAGAAATTATTTAAATAAATTGGAAAGAATTAGTAAAGTATTAGGTATTGAATATATTAAGGGGGAAATTGAAGGAAAATACCCAAAATATATTTTTAACAAGTTACCTTTATATGAAATGATTGGAAATGAGGAACTTAGAATGAAACAGATGCAAGAAATTGGAAATTTTGAGATAATAAAACAAAAATTGCCTGAGGGGAAATATATAAATTTGAAAATTTTGAAAAGTTTGAAAGGTGTAGATACTAATTCTGACTTTGAATTTCTAACAAATATAAGTAAAATATATGAAGATTGTACTCATTACAAAAT